CCTGATGCAAACCATTGGATCCTGATGCAAACCATTGGATCCTGATGCAAACCATTGAGTCCTGATGCAAACCATTGAGTCCTGATGCAAACCATTGAATCCTGATGCAAACCATTGGATCCTAATGCAAACCATTGGATCCTGATGCAAACCATTGAATCCTAATGCAAACCATTGGATCATAATGCAAACCATTGAGTCCTAATGCAAACCATTGGATCCTGATGCAAACCATTGGATCCTGATGCAAACCATTGAGTCCTTATGCAAACCATTGATTGGATCCTAATGCAAACCATTGAGTCCTAATGCAAACCATTGAATCCTGATGCAAACCATTAAATTCGTCTGCAAAACCATTGACTCTAACAGTCAGTGGCATCCTATTGTCAAGCAAACTTTTAGACATTTGATGCTAATTGCTAATGCCATTAAATTAATCTGCTAGACCATTGAACTATCTAGTCAAACCATTGACTTCAACTGTCAAACCATTAACTCTTGCTGTCAGACATTTTATCCCATGTAAGACCTTCATTGTATTCAGAAAGCAAACGAATTACCATTATCAAAGAGATATTTTTTCTCTTCATTCCCAGTTAATGAGAAATTGACTTTATCAACGTTAAAATGACCCTTATTTTGTTCCCCACGTTATGGAGGTATTGTCTATTTACAAGCACCCTGAAGGTTACACGTCCAACTAGTGTCAACTCTTGTGTGGTACTGTCCGGCGGTAACAACTATTCAGATTAAGTTTAAACAATATTCTTATTCAATATTCAACAATATAACACACACACACACATATGATGCGTTTGGGATGGAAAAACAAGCTTAGAGCATATATAAAATTCTTTCCCAAATTTGATGGCGTAGGAAAATATTAAAACCATTTCTACTGTAATGACACAAATCGGAAACTTCAACATCTATGTACAACAAGTAACATTTCCATTTCATATCCAGAATTGTAGGCATAGTGTCATAGAGATAAACAAATCCTTGGGTTATATTACCAATGGATAGTTTATCTCTGTGGCGTTTTTTATACCCCCATCTTAGACTTAAATCTTTAGTTTTATACATGTACAACTTGAATTGAGTGATTATCTAAAAAGTTTTAGATATGTACTATTTTTGTTAGTTGTATATGTACATACGTCGTTTAATAAAACGGCCATATTTCAATTCAGATTTTGTGTTTGTTGTTTACTTTGATGTATAAGTCTAACAAGCTTGCCATGGTTATGACAGGAATCTTTTATAAAATATATTAAATACTTTGTGTTGGTATATTGGACTACACAACCAAAGATGTTATTTCTGTCCTCGGCAATCAGCTTGAACAATTCAAGCAAACCATCTAAGGCCGCCATTTTGAGCAATGTAAACTACGGCTGCCATCTTCGATTACAAATTTAAGTATTTTGGGAAGTTATTGTCGGTGATGTCTGTTATATATAGAGATGAAATTCGTTGAAGATGTATCATAAATATTTACATGTAACCTTTGTTGAATGGTCGACTTATCCAATTTATAGATCAAATACAATTATTTCAATCTCGAAATAATTTTCAATTATTAGGTTAATCAATACATATGTCCTTTCCTTCAGATAATGACAAGATGGTACATGAAAGTTGTCAACATCTATAAAATATACAAATACCGTTACCTTTGAGATGAGAGTGTTAACGCCGGCCTCCAACACTATCTATACCGACAGTATGGTATAGCGCCTCAATATATACACATACCATAGAGAGGCCCAGGAGGGGTCAGGCTTCAGGACATAAAGAGATTCAGTGTCACGTTTTAGCATGCCATTTTGCAAAATGTCTTGTTGTGAAGAAAGTTCGGGGTTAAAATTGTTCACAACACAATTCGTACAGAAAGGGATAGAAATCAAACAAGAAACTTGCTACTTTTAACTATTGCACTTTATTGTGACTTCAGGCAATTTTTTAAAATCCACATTTAATTTTTTAATTTCCAAAATTATATAGAATGACATATTTTCAGACGATATTAGAAAATAAAATGTGCATAGAAGTTAATGATACGATAGGAGAACATAGAACGTGGATGACTTTTAAATCTAATTAACTTCGGCGGAGAAATATCGATACAGTACAGATAAAGCTACACAAGCCATTACGGAACTCTGACGTCACGACCATCGATACGTTTAGTATACCAGCACCAGCACACATTAAGGTAGAAAATGAAAAATGCCTCTAGTCTGTGTATTACCTGCCGAGCTCGCCGTCAGGAACATACCTGGTATATATGTGCAATATAACAGGAGACAGCAATGTGTAACCTTTGTAAACATGTTATGGTGAACATTAAGGAAAATCTAGTACCGTTTTTCTTACCCTGTCTGTTGATATATTGTTAGCCACCTGTTATATATATTAGACATACCTTAATTTCTTTCTTGTTTCCAGCAAAATTATCATAATTTTGAACACGGTGTTCCCTTTTTGGGTATACAGCACTGTAACTGATATACACTCGTGTATATATACCATTTCTTAATCTTTATATTAAATAAAAGTTAATACCAAAAATATCGTTTACACTGTACATTAATTTACACATTTTCGATAACGTACAATGGTCCCAATATAAACAGTATCAATATCAGCAGTTTAATTGACAATAAACAAAATATGTTAAAACGTTAGAAAAAAATACACATAGCATATAGCCTGCTTGACCATAGTGTCAGCTGATCTGGATTCATTCAATGGAAATCTCAACAAGCAGGTGGTCGTTTATTTAAATATATACATTTATATATAAATTTCTATAGGTCTACACAAGCTTTTTCATGTATTCCATTTTTTAGTCTTAACATCGATTGCCTAACGAAGAAACATCAATGTTGTATGTCATAGAACTTTAACGCTCCACGTGATGGTAAATGTAGCGGCAACAACGCCAAATAGGATATAAAATGTAAAACAGTTTTTCCAGTTAGGTGGGATAGTAGGTCCTTTCACGATCTTTGCTAATGGTCCGATAAACAGCGTCAAATCCAGTTATCGTTGGTATTCTTTTACCGTCTGTACACCGTTCCTGTTTTATCTTCCCCAGCTGTACCCAGAATATATAATAACCGTTGTCGCCTTACTTTTAATGCCGTCACTATGACCCTGAAAGGTCAGGATGAGGTTTTGGCCTATCACTGTAGGACTTCTGACTAGAACAACAACCTATTCATTTAACCGATGCCTTTATCACTGAACACCATCAATCCTGAAGTCAAAGTTTACTCTGAAATGTTTTGGCGGTGACGTATGTATATCTGCTTTGATATGATAATGCAGCGTGTTTTGACATTGTTTGAGTGGCACGCTCTGTATTCATTTTTATCGATGATGCGTTTTCATATTCTAAACTTTATTAATGTGACATATACTCTCTTCTCGTGGATGAATCTGACAATAAATGATAAATAAGAAACCCTTTTAACTGAATTAGGACTCCGTATACCTACCAAGGTAATCAGTGCGACTTTTCAAATGAACTTTTTTCAGTTGGCGTAGGAAAAGATTTTGTGCCATCCTTAAAGTTTGGATTATCTCCCCTTGACCCAAGAACTATTTGTGCAATTCACATTTCATGCTAAAAACATAAATCAGATTAAATAACTGATGAAGAAAAATAAAGAATGTAGGGATAAAACACGTGTTTGTATTTGTCTCTCTTTGGTCTCACCGGTATCTCAGGTACTCCTAAATCAAGTTCCTTCGCTGTTTCAATGATAGACCCCATTTTGTGTATTGAAACTAAACCCCAGCTTCTTCATACTGAGCTAAATATTGCATTTCCTCTGTGTTTGTCTTCTCTGAGGTAGCATTTGAGAACATGTAATTCACCGAGAAGTTGAAAATTGCCAATACTTAACTACACTGAAACATGATTTTTCCCATGCGCTTTATTTTCTTCACCATGACAAAATATCACTTAATTTTTCATTAATCTGATTTTTTTTATACACGAGAACGTGAATTGCACAAATAGTTCATGGAACAAGGGGAGTTAATCCAAACTTTAGAGATGACATAATACATTCCTTCGCCAACTTGGAAGTTCATTGGAAAATAACCTCTGACTATCTTGGTAGGTATAGCGAGTCCTTCTTCGATGTAAATATAAATACAAATTAAACTTTGTTTAATGTAATTTATGAATGTTCCGCAAGATATTTTTATTTTTAATTAAAATTAATTATATAAGAATGTTACGGAAATGATTATTATTACATAAAACAGATTGAGAGGAGGTGATTGGTTGAGGGAGCACAGTTTCGTATCTATTTTTAGCTCACTATATAAGTACAAGTTCACTGGACTCAGAGGTCAGAGGCTGCTGATAAGATGGATGAGCAAGGTCTGTACATGTTACATAATGATTAGTTTTGCTGTTTAATAGCTACGCTGAAAGTTTATCTCTTTATTATTGGGTGTACTTGTATATGCCTTCATATTCGTTCTTTCGACATGTCGACCGTGCTGATCATTGGACACAGTTTTGTGAAACGCCTTGACCGCGCACTCGAGGGTTCATGGACGAATCTCGGGTTTCATAACAGCCCCAGGGATATTGTTGTGTCTTGTGTTGGTAAAAGTGGTGGTAAACTGCCCGATATTTACACTCGTGACGTATCAGATATGTTGTTGGAACAATTTCCCGATTTAGTTTTACTACAAATTGGAGGCAATGATTTGGACTGTTTACGTTTTGCTGATGTCAAGGACTCTCTTGTGATAGATTTCTTGTCGGTGGTTGAGTGGTTAATCTCAGGATTATCAGTGACGAAAGTTGGCGTTTTACAACTGTTTTACCGACAGCGTACGAGACACGTTCCAGTCCGACAGTACAATGGCTTTGTTTTCGTCACTTTCGCCAATCCTATATTCTTGTGTATGCTTTATGGGAGGCTACTCGCATTCTTGTTTTTGTTTTTTAAGCGCTACTACTCCGTTCACACTTTCGTCTGTTTTGAGCCACTGCAAATTTTCTTACGCGGGTCATCCATCAGATTGGTTTGTGTGCCGTAAGCGTGTCGCTTTACGTTATTCTTACGAAAATAAAATTTAAAAAAATGCTTCCCAAACAGTACTGTCGACTCATGGAGTTTGTGTCTGTCTGGTTTTGTTCCCGGGGGTATGCCTGGGTTGCCCTGGGGGTATTCCCAGGTTGTACGTTCTATTCTCGTTATCCGGGGGTATGCCTGGATTGTACTGGGGGAATTCCCAGTTGTGTGTGTGTGTGTGTGTTTTTTTTTCCGGGGGTATGCCTGGATTTGACCTGGGGGAATTCCCGGGTTTTTGTTGTCTATTTTTGTATGCCTGGATTGATCTGGGGGAATTCCCAGTTTTGTGTTGTTGTGTTTTGATTTCATCCGGAGGTATGCCTGGGTTGTACTGGGGGAATTCCAGTTATCCGGGGGTATGCCTGGATTTGACCTGGGGGAATTCCCGGGTTTTTGTTGTCTAGTTTTGTTATCCGGGGGTATGCCTGGATTGTTCTGGGGTAATTCCCAGTTTTGTTTTGTTGTGTTTTGATTTCTTACGGGGGTATGCCTGGAGTGAATTGGGGGAATTCCCAGGTTTTTGTTAGGTTCCTGGTCATCTGGGGGCATGCCTGGATTGTTCGATGGGACTTCTCAGTTTTTTCCTTGGCACTTTCAAAATTTCCTTACATTCAATTAACCTGTAATTATATCTACAGGTGTATTGATGAATTTGCGTTAATACTGTTTTTCAAGCTTGCATGGTATTACATAGTTGGTTTAATGTTTATACTCTTGGGAGGTACCCGGTGTCTGCTTTACCTTTCGCAGCCTGTACCTTTGAGTTAATTATATGTCACATCAGGTAAAGCCATTAGCATGCACCCATTACTTCCTATATACACCTATTGAAAGTTGAATTGGTTATGGTTTAACTTTCTGCTGTTATTATTCATGTTGTAGTACTTTCAAGTCATTAGAAATTTGATGGAGTACTTGGGCTCCGCTTTCATAGATGTTTGCCAAGGTGAAAGCATAGCGTAATTTTTGCCACCCAGGTCCTTCCAGGGTTTTTCTACATTATATACCGGTACATCATACGCTTACATTGGGATACTTCGTTTAACACTTATGTTTCCAGACAATCCTGGCTCCATCGGGGCAGTGCGACGATCTCGCCGTCGGGCAGCACGCAATCACACCCTAGTAACTGTGACACCACCTGTCACTAGGACAGATACGACACAGACTGCTGGATGACGTAGGCGGCAATCCGTCGCGCCAACAGACACAGTTAATGAGACAGCAACTGGGCATCAAGCATCCGCCAATGTGTCTATCCCTGACCTAGCTGCACAGCTGTTTAACTATATGAAAGAGGCGGGGTATACTATCAACCCTCCAGCAACTGCCAGTGCGACAGATATGGGCGGGGCGAGTCAGAACATTCCATTAGTATCAGTGCCAGCTCCAGCAGCCCCCGTCCCACTTAATGTAAATATGGACTTCCAACTTTCACCCCAGTCTTTTCCGCACAGTGTTAGCTCCACCATCATCCCGGCAGCTGCAGCGGGATCCTCCAATCAACAGGCATCTCAGCCTGTATTGTCGTCAGTATTCCTTACAGTAATCCCATCAGAGTCCACCCGGGGTACCATCCCATACCATCCCATACCATCCCGGCAGCAGCAACAGGATTGGCAGATCAGCCACCAACACAACAAGTGCTGCAATCATCTGCCTTTACAGCCACAGGAACAGGGCATACCAGCCCACTCGTCGACAGGCCTGTGTCTTATACCAATCTTTTTCGGGATGTAGCTGGTGAGACCCCAAATGTTACTTGTATAAGCATTGCTCGTCCTCTTGATATGTTTGTAGATGTCAAAATTAAGTCTAAAATTTTCAATAATGAATATGTGGAATTAGGCTTATTGCTTAAACGGACACCCCATGAAAATGACACTTTGAAAGCTGAAGTACAAGGGCAGCAATTAGTGCTGAGTAAAAATAATAAAGGTTTTTCCTTTAAATCTATTGAACAGTGGATATCTGCTTTTCATATCTTTGTGTCCATCTATGTCCAGGCTTATCCTCAGGCAGCTGCCAGCCTAATGAAGTATGCAGATATCGTACAAACTCTCAACAAGAGGTCGGGCATTGCTGCTGCTATGCATTATGATGCTAATTTTAGAATGTGGCATCAATTATATCCCAGTTCCCCTTGGCACCTACCCCATTCTGAGCTGTACATGGAGGCAACTGCTATTGGCCTTCGTGCTCTCTGCCCTCCACAGCCCTTTCAGGGTCAGAAGCCCAGCATGCGCAACAAGAAAGTGTGCTGGGCTTATGACAGGCATGGTAAGTGTGCCAAGGGCAGCAGGTGTAAATTCTGGCATGGGTGTGAGGTCTGCAGTGGCAGACATAAACAGAAAAACTGTCCTAACACCTCCAAACCTGACAGCCAGCCAGTTGCTGGCTCCGGTAACTCCCCAGCTCAACCAGGTAAACAGCAACGTCAACCTCCCCGAAAGTAGTTCCTTACCTACTCCAATCAGGGTTCCTAAATTTCTGGAGTACCTACAGGGTTATCCCCCCCTCAAAATTCGCCTTTTTAGAACAGGGTTTTATGTTCGGCTTTCATTTACAGTATGAAGGGCCTAGAATTTTTCGTGAGGCTAATAATCCGAAGTCGGCAGTAGAACAGATTGACATTTTAAAAAATAAAATCCAAAAAGAACTTGACAACAGTCGCTGTAGCGGTCCTTTTACTGAGCCACCATTTCCTAATTTACAAGTTTCTCCTTTAGGGTTGGTTCCCAAAAAAGAGCCAAATGAGTACAGAGTTATACATCATTTATCCTTGCCTGAGGGTTCTTCAATTAATGATGGTATTTCTCCGGAATATTCTACTGTCAGTTATCAAACAATTGATCATGCCATTCAGCTTATGAAAACATATGGGAGAGGGTCGCTATTAGCTAAGACAGACATAGAGTCAGCTTTTCGGCTAATCCCCATTCATCCAGAGGATTATGAACTGTTAGGTTTTAAGATAGAGGGTCACTATTATTTTGATCGGGTTCTGCCCATGGGCTGTTCCATTTCTTGCAGGTTGTTTGAGGCCTTCAGCTCTGCCATTCATTGGATTTTAGAACACAAGTTTAACGTAGCAGGGGTAGTTCATGTTTTGGATGATTTTCTTTTTGTAGGCCCTCCTAATACTGAAAAATGTCTCACGGATCTAACAACTTTTTTTACAGTTTTGTTCTGATACTGCCATTCCAATCAAACAAAGCAAAACAGAGTTCTCCACAACCTGCCTCACTTTTCTAGGTATTGAGTTGGATAGCGTTGCTATGGTTGCTCGACTCCCCATGGATAAATTAGAGAAAAGGCGGGATTGTGTGAAGTTGTTTTCTAGATGCCGCAAAGTCACTCTTAAGGAACTCCAGTCACTGATAGACTTGCTTAACTTTGCTTGTAGGGTTGTTTTGCCAGGTCGCCCTTTTTTGCGTCGATTGATTGATCTAACTTGTGGCTTAACAAAACCACATCATCACAGGAGGCTGAACAAAGAGGCTCGGGCTGATTTAGCCGCTTGGGGACTATTTTTGGACTATTTTAACGGCACATCCATGTTTTTATCTGATAAGTGGGAAACATCAGCACATTTACAGTTTTACACTGATGCGAGTAATGTGGGTTTTGGCGGAATTTTTCAAACAGCCTGGATGTATGGGAAATGGCCATCTGAACGGGAATCTTTCCACATAACTGTTAAAGAATTTTTTGCTGTAGTTCTCGCGTTGGAAATTTGGGGCCCCTCCCTCTTGAACCGCTGTATCATCTTTCATTGTGATAATCATGCTGTGGTAGACATTATCAACAAACAAACCAGTAAAGACAAAATCCTCATGAGACTAGTTCGGCGTTTTGTAGTGACAGCATTAAAACTGAATATTTTATGTACTTCGCAACATATACCTGGTAAGTGCAATACCTTAAGTGACCATCTGTCTCGTTTACAGGTGGACTCCTTTCGTCAACTGGCCCTACATATGGAGGCACACCCAACTTCCATTCCACCCCAGTTCATGTACGTTTGACTAGTACCATCCATTCGTTGCTGGTGAAAGCTACATCAATGCAAACTTCTCGTGTTTATGAGAGAGCATATTCTCTCCTTTGCCATTTTGTTACCTCAGTTTTTTCGGGTACTCCAGTCTTGCCAACCTCATATCCTGTACTTGCATTTTTCATTGCACATTTGTTTGACCACCACTTAGCATCCGCCACTATTTCCACATATGTTGCAGCTATATGTTACATAAATAAGATTTGTGGTTATCGTGATCCCACACAATCCTTCCAGATAAAGAAATTATTAAATTCCATTCAGCGTGGTACTTATCGCGTAGACAGCCGTCTGCCGATTACGCCGGAGATCCTTGCGAAACTTGTGACATCTTTAAAATTTACCACCTCATCACCTTATCAATACCATCTGCTGAAAGCCATGTATCTGTTAGCTTTTCATGCATTTTTGCGTGTAGGTGAAATAACACACAGCCGATCTGCTGGCAATTGTTTACAGTTTAAAGATATTAGGATTATCACCAATTCGTCAGGGTCCCTGTGTACTTTGGAATTAAAGTTCCATTCATTCAAAGCACACTATAACATCAGACCAATAACTCTGGCCATTTCTGCCGCTGGAAAACCTAGTGATTGTTGTCCTGTTTTTGCCATGCAGCAGTATTTGCTGTTAAGGGGTGTGCATCCTGGACCATTGTTTTGTTTCCCTAATCTGCAGGCTGTTTCATATGCTTATTTTAGTGCTTGCCTTAAACATTCGCTATGTTGGGCTGGACTCTTGCATTTTCGTTTGACGACTCATAGCTTTCGTATAGGTGCTGCCAGTTCTGCGGCAGCTCGTGGTATCCCAGATGATGAAATTCAGCAGATGGGAAGGTGGCAGTCTATGGCATTTAAACGATATATAAGGTTACCTTCGATTTTTGATATGTAATAGAAATACTGTTTTTGATATGTTATAGAAATACTGTCAGTGTAACCCTGCTGCAACATCTGTGTGACCTTTAGTCATGGGGTCTACCGGTCAATAATTGGCATTATACATTACCTTGTACAAATATGTTGTTGTTTTAAAGCTGTTTTTGTCGTCGTGTTTATTGGGCCTATTGGCATTGGGTCGATAGGTCTAAAAAATGTTCTTCCTTTTGATTATCACATGAATTATGTATATCAATTGTGGGGTCTCATCAGCTATTATGACGTCAAGGAGGTAACCATCTGGACAATTCCTCATAGACTTGGATGCAATGACAATATTGTGCTGTGTTGCTTTACAAACTTACTTTTGCGCTATATGCCATAACGTTCTATGTATATATATTGTTTGAGGATACTACTTCCGGGCATTGGGTCGGGAAGTCGTGTATATTTTCTTGAATTTTATCTTGTTTCAACCATGTATGGTAGTTATGCTTACAAACCAGTTATCAGATATCGTTTATATAATATCACAACAGTGATTTGATACTGGCTTTGTGTGAAATATATTTTCATACATTTAATTCATTACTTAGTTATGATACTGCCGTGTACATTTACACGCCATTCCATTTACCAGTGGGCTTTTGGCCTTGAAGTTCTGTGTATGCCTATATTGCGTGACACTCCTGCCTTCGGGCATTAAGTCGAGAGGTCTTATAAAAGTTTCTAGTCTTAATCGTTTTCCTTGTTATACCCATATATGATATCCGTTTTACCTGCTATGCTTGTATTTCGCTTTGCATGTTCCTTTTCATGCAGTTATAATCCTTAATTTGGCACTCTACATGGCTGCGGATGGGGGAGAGATAAACAAATCCTTGGGTTATTACCCATGGATAGTTTATCTCTGTGGCGTTTTTTATACCCCCATCTTAGACTTAAATCTTTAGTTTTATACATGTACAACTTGAATTGAGTGATTATCTAAAAAGTTTTAGATATGTACTATTTTTGTTAGTTGTATATGTACATACGTCGTTTAATAAAACGGCCATATTTCAGTTCAGATTTTGTGTTTGTTGTTTACTTGATGTATAAGTCTAACAAGCTTGCCATGGTTATGATAGGAATCATTTATAAATACAAATTAAACTTTGTTTAATGTAATTTATGAATGTTCCGCAAGATATTTTTGTTTTTAATTAAAATTAATTATATAAGAATGTTACGGAAATGATTATTATTACATAAAACAGATTGAGAGGAGGTGATTGGTTGAGGGAGCACAGTTTCGTATCTATTTTTAGCTCACTATATAAGTACAAGTTCACTGGACTCAGAGGTCAGAGGCTGCTATCAAGCCTGTGATCGATGAAAATGAAAAACGCTTGAAGCATGTAGAAATGTTGGCTTCGATTTTATTCCAGAAAAAGCAATACTTCAAGTATGTCGCTAACACGCAGAAGTCAAACGAAGTACAACATGTTGATCGATGTATGTATCTAGATCAGACTACGGATGTGAGCATGTATGTAGTGAAAAACTGAAAAAACAAAATGAACACTCATAAGTCACTTACCAAAATTTGGGCACACAACACGAGTAATTGGGAAAAATCTACTACGGCTCCTATTTAGCAAAAACATAGAAAGAACACGAAATCGAGATGGGAGCAAATAGTGGGTCGATTCAGGATGAAAACATTATGGGGCGAAATGGGACAGTGGAAAAATTGGCAAATTGGTAATAAGTTCCAACTTGTGTAGCGTATCAAAGGCAGTGACTATTTTACAACAATTGGAAGAACATAATTCTTCAACTTGTATGGGACAATAAACTCACTCTTTGGGGGACTAGAGACGGTAAAATTCCTAGAATTGTACTGTGTGAATCGCTCAGCGATGTAAACACGTCCGACATCTTGAAACGTTCAGCATACGACACAGATAATGGAAATCCCCGCTACCAAATATAGACAGGAGTTCCGAGAAGGGGGATAACCCTGCTACACTAACATGACACTCCCCGTCTGATTTCTAATCACTCAAGTTCATGAAAAGTTTCACAAGATCTATAACTTAGATCGAAATACGAATCGAGTCAACAGCAACTAAACACTGAAAACACATAAATCAATATAGCTGAGTTCATAAGTTGACATTGCACAGTCTCTGCATCTAAATGTCACAACAGTTCGCATCACACTTGGCACTAATACACGAAAAAGTTATTCACAGGAATCAAGCAGCGGAATCACTTCCGAAATGGGTCGAATGAAAACACTAGGTTTTCCGTCTTTCACAACCCGGATCTCTAGTTTACGCACTAGTCCGTCATCACTCGGAAAGATTTTGGTAACAAGACCAGTCGGCCACGAAAGACGGGGACATCCCTTGTCCCGGAGAAACACAACATCACCTACTTTATGATTAATAGTCTCTAAGTTCCACTTAGAACGAGCTTGTCGAGCAAACAGAGATTCCGATTTCCAGCGTTTCCAAAAGGTGTTCGCCATGACCTGGACCATTCGCCACTGCGAGCGGTACATATCCTTGATACTTAAGTCCTGCGGGACGATTATGTCGTCACTGGTCTTCTGAGTTAGTAACTTTCCTGGCGACAGCAAATGAGGCATCTCGCAATCCGAAGAAACAGCAACCAAAGGTCTAGAATTCATTATAGCAGCAACCTCGGCCATGAAAGTCGCTAGCACTTCATCTGTCAGCTGTCCATGTTTGACGTCAAGAAGCATCGTCGAGAATGCGTCGGGCTATTTCTATCATTCTCTCCCATACTCAGCCGAAATGAGATGCATGGGGAAGATTAAATCTCCAGATCATGTTGTTGGTGTCCAGGTAAGTTTTCACTTGAGGATCTCCCACGTTGATAGAGTGAATTCCAAGCTCATTGACCGCTCCTACAAAATTACTACCGCAATCTGAGCGGAACTCCGAAACTTCACCTCGGACGGCAATGAACCTCCGCATGGCGTTGATAAATGATGATGACGTCATCTCTGGGATGATCTCAATGTGGACTGCTCGGCTGTACAAACAGGTAAAGAGGACTGCCCATCGTTTCGAACTTGCGTTTCCGCCTCTTGTACGTCGAGTGATGATGTTCCAAGGACCGAATACATCAACACCAACCAGTGTGAATGGCGGTGAAGGAGTCAGGTGATCTACAGGCAGATCCGACATTTTCTGAGAGGAAAACTTCCCTCGTAGTCTGCGACATGTCACACAGTGATGTATCGTGGAAGCAATCAGACGTTTTGCTCCGGTTACCCAAAGTCCAGCATTACGAATTGCACCTTCGGTCATGTGGCGTCCTTGATGTTGTACCTGCAAGTGGTGATGTTGCACAAGGAGCTTGGCAATATGACTGCGACCTGGTATCAAGATGGGATTTTTCTCGGTCTCATGAAAGTCACCTCGGTTAATGCGTCCACCAACCCGCAGCAGTCCCTTCTCATCAAGGTGAGGATTCAAGCAAAGCACAGAGCTATCCTTAGGCAAAGACTTGGAAGAACGAAGCGCTTGAATTTCTTTACTGAAGTAGGTCATCTGGAGCTCTTTGATGACGAAAAGCTCAACCTCGCGTCTGGTAAGATCATTCTGGATATTGAAACGACTCCTCAACCGAACTCGTATAGTACGGATAGCACGCACAAGGCTGTTCCAACTGGAGAAACGATTGAATCTAGATGTTCCCAGTGTAGTACGTATGTTAGTCTTCCACGAGTGAACATCAGGTCGTACTTCTTTGTCCGATTCTGGCTCCACCAAAGAATATTCGACATCAAGATCAGGGCTGATGTGATTGCGAAGGAAGGATGGTCCATTAAACCATAGACTGTCAGCAAACTGCTCTGGGGAGAAACCACGTGTCCCCTCATCGGCTGGATTCTCCTCTGTAGGGACATACTGCCACTGTGTAGGTGAGGAAATTTTCCTTATTCTAGCGACTCTGTTGGAAACGTAAACATAGAATCTCCTACGTTCATTTGAAAGATATCCAAGCACTATTCGGCTGTCGGTATAATAACGCAGGTGATCGAGGGGAATGTCCAACTGTTCCGAAAGCATCTCGCCGATTTCGGTAGCCAAAACAGCAGCACATAACTCGAGGCGCGGTATTGTGTGGCCGTGCTTCGGCGCAACCTTCGACTTCCCGAAGACAAATCCAGTGAAGACCTCTCCATCCTCGTTGACACCTCTGAGGAATGCACATGCAGCTACTGCTAACTCAGATGCGTCAGAGAAGATATGCAAAGTTCTTGTAACACACTTCGAGAAAGACACAGTCAGGAAACATCTAGGGATATGTATATCACAAAGCTTGCTCAGCTGTTCAGTCCAAGACCTCCAAACCTTCTCAGTGTGAGGCAATAAGGGATCGTCCCAGCCATTTGCTTCATTCACAGCATCACGCATAATAATCTTGCCCCTGATGATAATCGGCGCCAAGAAGCCCAATGGATCGAAAATCCCATTCACCGTTGAAAGAAGACCTCGCTTTGTGAACGGTTTCTGGTTTTCAGATGTGTTGTAAGTAAAGGTATCTGTGGATAGTTCCCATGCCATACCCAGGCTATGATGGAGTGGCAGTTCATCATGTGTCAAGTCTAGTGGCTCTAATGTCTTAGCCAAATCAGCAGCAGGAAACTGTGACATCACCTCTTCACTACTGGATGCAATTTTGTGGAGTTTCAGGTTCCCGCCTTCCAACAGTGCTCTCTGAGCTTTCTTAAGAACGTCGACCGCCTCGGTTACTGTGGGAAAGGACATTAAACCGTCATCAACGTAAAAATTGCGAGTCACGAACTCCTGCAAGTCCACGTCACAAGGATTGCCACAATCTTCAACACATCTCCGTAGACCGTAGGTGGCAACAGCCGGCGAAGGACTGTTGCCAAAAACATGTTCACACATTCTGTACTCTATCAAAGGTTGATCAACGTCGTTGTCGGCGTGCCAGAAAAATCTGAGGTAATCCCGGTGGCATTCGTCAACATAAAATCCGAAGAACATCTGTTGTATATCTGCTACTACAGCAACTGTCTCTTTCCTGAACCTGAGCAGAACACCATCAAGTCGATTCATCAAGTCAGGGCCTTGCATCAAGACATTGTTGAGGGATATACCTTCATACTTGCAAGAAGAATCAAATACAACACGTATCTGGTCAACTTTCTTCGGGTGGTAGACTCCGAACAGAAGGAGATACCATACTTCAGAGTCATCTGCTACTGGTGGTACGACCTCTGCATGACCGGAAGTCAGGATTCGTTCCATGAACTTGACGAAATGCTCGCGTTTTACAGGGTTTTTCCGAAGACTGGATTGTAACATGAGTGCTCGTTTCAATGCCCTTGTCTGTTGTTGGGAAGTACAGGCCTAGGTTCCCTGAAAGGAAGAGGAGCTGTCCAATTGCCTGAAGACGTTTTCTTGAACTCTTTATCCATGAGATGTATGAATTGTTCGTCCTCGATAGATGGTCCAATGTTATTATCATTACAATCCCGAACGAAAAGATTGCTGTCATCCATTTTCAAGGAGAGGTCGCATTCTGTGAAGGTACTCACTCGGCCATCTTTGGTGACGGAAGTCTTCAAAACACTCAGCCTATCTGGAGGATGAACGTTACCCAGGCACACATTACCAACAAGGACCCATCCAAGTGCAAGCTTCTGAGCAAACGGTGTACCTTTCGGACCTGTACGTTGATCTTCTGTGTGATGCGCCTCTGGCAGGTCTCGACCAATCAGCAGAAGGATGGGGGCATCCGGATCGTAAGGAGGAATCGGAACATCTCTAAGATGATTGTGGTATCGAGTAATTTCTGGCGTAGGAATCTCGCTTCTCTCATCTGGGATCGCGCTACATTCTGTGATAATTGGCAGATCCAGTTTAGAAGTACCATCAGCTGACTCAATGACAAATCCTTTCGCTTGCCTACCACTCATAGTTGTCTGTCCTGCGCAAGAGGTGAGAGTATAAGTTGTCATTGTTGACATGGGTATGTTCATCCTATCGAAGAACTCCGCTCTCGCTAAAGTTGAGGTACTCTGATCGTCGAGTAGACCATACAATCGGATACGAATATGAGGCTTCCCCACTGGATATACGTTTACCAGACACGCTTTCGCACATGAACGCCCATTGAAGTTTTGACCACATACAGATGTACATTTGGTTACCAAGGATTCCTCCCCGCCATGGTTTTGTCCAGGGGCCGAAGATTTCCTATCTTGAATAGTTGCCTTATGTTGGGAAGAATTAGCATCTATGTGCATTGCAGTGGCGTGATAAGTGTTCCCACAAGTGTCGCACTTCACTATGGCTTCGCAAGTTCTGTAATTGTGGTCCGTCGACAAACAACACTTGAAGCAAAATCCGTAATCCTTCAACAGTTTTCTCCTCTCGTTAAGGGTTAACTTCTGGAAGGATTTGCACTGGTTGAGGTTGTGTCTTGCATCGTGCAGCATACAACGGTTATTATAGTCATGGTTAGACTAAACATTCGCGTCAATGGCAGTCTTCTTGACTCGTACATTGTCTTTGCGGTATGGCGGCTCTCGTTTTTGTACATCCGTGGAGTTAACGTTGTTGCGGTTAGGAGCGCTAGAGGTACGTTGACTGGTTTGTTGATAAGTAAACCCGGGGTCGTTCCGTACGCGACTCATCTCATTGATAAATTCTACCAAGAACGCGAACGGCGGATAAGTCACTTGATTAGACGCGTTGTAGCTCGAGGCCACTTCTCCTGTAGATTGAAGGGGAGCTTAGATATGATAGGTCGCATACCTGTAGATGAATCGAAAAAGCTCAGTGAACGACTGTACACGGGATCCTTCATCCTGGACAGTATTTCGGAAAGTAGATCAGCCAAATCATACAATCGAGCATTGTCGTTGGGTGTCAGTTGGGGGAATGCATCTATGCGGGCCTTCAAGGATGTCTCTAGAAGCACAGGACTTCCATATCGCTCATCTAAACGTTTCCAAACCATCTCAACGGCACGTGTAGGACAAATGGCATTCGCAGACCTTATACTAATGGCATGCTGTTTAGATTTGGGTCCCAGATATTTCAACAGCAAATCTAGTTCCTCCCTAGGATTTGTTCTCAGTTCTGCCTTGAGGATGTCGAAACTGATCTTCCAGGATTGATACGTCTCGGGCTTATCGTCGAATTCTATCAGCCGCAGAGGTAGCATTTCACGCTTCATCAGATAATTGGAAAATGCATTCATTTCGTTGGCAATTGGATCTCTCCCATGAACATTAAGTGCACTGGATACATCGGGGGGTATGTGAGTGACCTGAGGAGGTACTTGAGTGCTACAACTGTGTAATGGAGCAGCAGGCATGCTGGTACGTAATAAACTCGATATCAAGCTGGTAGGATTAGTTACCATAACAGAACACGGGGCAGTAGTAACCACAGTTTGAGGGATAGGTGCAGGATTTATCGTGTTACTAGAATATTGAACACCAGGTTCGAACTCAACAGTTTGATGTACATGTTCCTCACCCATAGGGGCTTTGTTCTGGTCAAATGCAGTAGGAATAGGGGATGAGATGGAATGACTAGGTTGCTGTATCGCTGTCGGTGCATTCATTGTCGACACGATAGGTTTACCAATATCCGCGGGTTGTGGACGGGCAGTGTGGATCGAATGGTCAGGTTGGGTATTGACCTGTATATTACCTGTAGTGTCTGGATTCATGGAATCAAAATACCGATTCATACTGTCGCTTCTGTTGACGTTATCCGAGCTACTTTTTCGGTCATCATACAGCTCTTCCTTCATACCGGCATACTCTGCACTCGCGACTGCAGCCTCCTTTTCTACTTCCAGTAGTTCCATCTTGATGGAGAGTAGAGCAGCTTCTTGCTTCATAGCAGCTTCTTTCTGCGCGAAACGTAATCTAGCTTTAGCCCCATCCAGTTTGACTCGTTGGCGACCTAATACCGTCGATGCTGAAGATCTTTTAGAACTTGACTTAGATGACCTTCTAGAACTTACAAGGGATGGTGTTAGTTTCTCAGATGAATGTTGGTCACAAAGTTCAGCTGTCGCGTATTCAAGCTGTTTTTTGAATTTCGAAACTTTATTCACGTAGACCTCTTTCAGAGATGCAAGGCTTGCCTGTTCGTTGGCACTTTCAGGGGTATTGTACTTGACCAGGAAGTTCAACAATTCAACACAAAGTTTATCGTAGCGATTATATGTTTCGGTTAAGCGTGAGTGTAAATCAGCAATGGCAGCATGGGATGTTGGGACCACACATTCAACAATACTGTCAATTTCCCTAGCAATTTTGGTCAGTTTATTCAAATTATGATCCAAGCTTTCCCTGAAAAATGACTGGCCTCTTTCTGTCAGAGTATGTTGCCGTTTGGATGTTGAATCCATTTATTCAGGATCGTCCTGGTTAATTTCGTCCCGTTGGTCCGAAAAAGACATGATGAAACTCTATAGTTTGAAACAATTCGTTTCTCTGGGTCGAGCTGACCTTATAAATGTTCTACATTGCGTCCTCTGGACCGAGATGGTATTTCACTTTGTGTCTCTTGACTGAGTAGATTTATCATTTTGCGTCTCTAGACCGACTAGATTTTTCACTATCAAGCCTGTGATCGATGAAAATGAAAAACGCTTGAAGCATGTAGAAATGTTGGCTTCGATTTTATTCCAGAAAAAGCAATACTTCAAGTATGTCGTTAACACGCAGAAGTCAAACGAAGTACAACATGTTGATCGATGTATGTATCTAGATCAGACTACGGATGTGAGCATGTATGTAGTGAAAAACTGAAAAAACAAAATGAACACTCATAAGTCACTTACCAAAATTTGGGCACACAACACGAGTAATTGGGAAAAATCTACTACGGCTCCTATTTAGCAAAAACATAGAAAGAACACGAAATCGAGATGGGAGCAAATAGTGGGTCGATTCAGGATGAAAACATTATGGGGCGAAATGGGACAGTGGAAAAATTGGCAAATTGGTAATAAGTTCCAACTTGTGTAGCGTATCAAAGGCAGTGACTATTTTACAACAATTGGAAGAACATAATTCTTCAACTTGTATGGGACAATAAACTCACTCTTTGGGGGACTAGAGACGGTAAAATTCCTAGAATTGTACTGTGTGAATCGCTCAGCGATGTAAACACGTCCGACATCTTGAAACGTTCAGCATACGACACAGATAATGGAAATCCCCGCTACCAAATATAGACAGGAGTTCCGAGAAGGGGGATAACCCTGCTACACTAACATGACAGCTGCTGATAAGACGGATGAGCAAGGTCTGTACATGTTACATAATTATTAATTTTGCTGTTTAATAGCTACGCTGAAAGTTTATCTCTTTACCCACCACCTCCCCTCCAATCCTCCGTTGTACTATGAGTTTATTTGCCTGCTGGCTTTTGGGTTCTAGCAGATACTTAATTTCTGTTTGGGATGTCCCATACTGTTTGAGATGTCCCATACTTTAAAAGACGGTACTGGCAGGTTGAGGTCGAGGAAAGCGATAAGGAAAAGACTGCATTTTCTGTTGGCAACCTGGGATTCTGGGAAACCAATAGAATGGGGTTTGGTCTTACTTGTGCCCCAGCTACCTTCCAGCGCTTAATGGAAAAGTGCATGGGAGATATGCATCTTAAGGAATGTCTCATCTTCCTTGATGACATCCTAATCTTTTCGCGCACCTTTGACGAACACTTGGATAGACTAGAATCAGTATTCGCCAGACTCATCCAACATGGCTTGAAACTCAAACCGTCCAAGTGTGAGTTCCTCAAATCAAGAGTAACGTATCTCGGTCATGTCGTATCAGATCAAGGTATAGCTATAGACCCAGAGAAGGTATCTGCGGTCAAGTCTTGGCCAGCACCTACAAATTTAAAGGAGCTGCGTCAGTTTTTAAGATTTAGTGGATACTATCGAAGGTTTGTTAAAGACTATGCTAAGATAGTACAACCCTTGAATAAGCTTCTGCAGGGTCATGACTTAACTAAAAAGGCTTCTAAGTCTAGTAAGACTGCAAAGTCTGGTAAGATCAAGTCAGGTAAGTCAAAACAGACTCAAAAATCTAAATGGGTCTGGGGCGAAGCTCAGCAGAGTGCCTTTGATTCTGTGAAGGAGAAGCTTATTAGTCCTCCCGTACTTGCCTATGCGGATTACTCGAAACCTTTTATACTACATACTGATGCTAGTAGTACTGGTTTAGGAGCAGTACTCTACCAGACGCATGAAGGTAAGAAGAGAGTTATTGCATATGCAAGTCGAGGGCTTAGACCAAGTGAGCGCAATTACCCAGCTCATAAGCTTGAGTTTTTAGCACTTAAGTGGGCTATCACTGATAAATTTCATGATTACCTCTATGGTAATACCTTCGAAGTTGTCACAGATAATAATCCGCTTACATATGTGCTGAGTAAAGCTAAACTGGATGCCACCAGTCATCGGTGGGTTGCCGCTCTAGCAAACTACAACTTTACCTTGACATACCGAGCTGGGAAGAATAATGCTGATGCAGACGGTCTCTCACGCATCTCATTCTGTAACTCTGACGTTGTCAAAGCAGTATGTCAGTCCTCAGTTGTTGATGCACCTCTGATTGACAGTGTAACAGACCATGTGGGGTTACCTTCTTATCTGGCCAATGAGGGTGGAAACCCGGATGATGGTCTGAGCTCAATTGATTGGCGGCAGCAACAACAAGAGGATGAAGATATTGCCAGGGTTATAGAACTCAAGAGAACCGGTTTTCATCCCAGGGGGAAAAACCGCAAGCAGGAATCCCCATATGTGCAAAAGTTCATGAGGACTTGGAAAAGATTTTGTCTACATAATGGTGTATTGTACAGAACCGCTTCTCTAGACGGTCAGGCAGTGAAACAGCTGGTGCTACCAAAGCGATACCATGCCCTGGCTCTTAAGGGAGTCCATGATGATGTCGGTCATCAGGGGAAGGAGAAAACCCTTTGGTTAGCCAGACAGAGGTTTTACTGGCCAGGTATGGAGAAGGATGTAGACGAGAGAGTTGAGAACTGTGGACGCTGCATAAGACGCAAGACTCCGGTGAAGCCTCAGGCTGAACTGGTTCCAATTCAATCCACACGGCCAATGGAGTTGGTCTGTATTGACTTCCTCACATTGGAGCCCTCAAAAGGTGGTTGTGAAAACATTCTGGTGATCACTGACCATTTTACTAGGTACGCTCAGGCGGTGCCATGTCGCAATCAGACGGCCCATACAACTGCAAAGGCGTTATATGAAAACTTCATAGCCTTCTACAGTTTTCCTGAACGTCTCCACAGTGATCAGGGTCGTAACTTTGAAAGTAAAGTTATCCGTGAACTCTGTAAGATCGCTGGAGTTCAGAAAACCAGAACAACTCCCTACCATCCTATGGGAAATGGGGCTGCAGAGCGCTTCAACCGTACCCTTCTGGGCATGCTCGCAACCCTTGAGGAGGAAAAAAAACGGATTGGAAGTCCTATGTTGCTCCACTGGTCCAAGCCTAAAATGCTTCGAAAAGCGATGCCACCGGATACTCGCCTCACTTTCTTATGTTTGGTTGGCATCCCCGCCTGTCCGTGGACGCTTTCCTCGGAACAGATCCCTGTGAGCAAGGTGCAGCAGACCACTCCTCATACGTGAGTAAACTTCGTGATAGGATGAAACATGCCTATAAGGCTGCTAGTACTGAGGCCTCTAAATTATCTGCTCGCAACAAAAGTCGTTATGACAGGTCAGTCCGTGAGACCAAACTTGAAGTTGGTGACCGTGTCCTTGTGAGAAAGGTCGGTCTTAAAGGGAAAAGTAAGTTGGCTGATAGATGGGAGCAGGAACCCTGTCGGGTAACCCGTATACCCAATAGTGATATTCCTGTATATGAGGTACAGTTAGAAACCGGAAAGGGACGTAAACGTACCTTACACCGGAATATGTTGATGTACTTCAATGCTATACCTGTAGATGTTCCCATCGTGGAGACTTGCTGCAAGGCAAGGTCTACAAAGCCACCTTCCCGTACTCACCATGACGAAACCTCTGAATCTGTAGACTCTTCAGAGTCAGATTCTGATGAGGAACCTGTAGTACGGCTCAGGAGTTCCAGGAAAAAGTCACTGAGAAAGCCCCAAGGTAACCTGACTATAGATGCTTCCGAACCATTATCTGTGGAAGCCAGTACAACCCCTGGTGTTGGTACCACTTCAGTAGCACCTGATACAATAATCGGTGGCTCTGATATAGAGTCTGCTACTGAAAATACTGGTCATAGCGGTGACCATTCTGCCTCTAATGTCGGTAACCCCGAGGTTACAGACCCCGTCAGGGATCAGTCACCTGACCCACCATTCCGGAGGTCCACCAGGACACGTAAACCACCTGATAGGTATGGTCAGTGGGCCTATTCTCAACAGGCAGAGCTGATGAGATCTGGTGAACATGAAATATTTGTGTGATCTAGTCTGTGATATGATTTTATTGTTTCAAATCCAGTTTATCCAGTTTTTAATGAATATTGTTTTATTTTTGCGCTTGCATAGCAAGGGACAATGTAGAATGTTCTCCTGCGAGTAGGTAGGGGGTTCCCCAACCACTCCAGCAGTGAGTTATGTCGTTATCTGTTCTTTGTTGTTTTTATTAGTATATTGTTTTACTTTGTTTGACAATCATTAGGTTTGACTTCCGGTAGGAAATGGAGTGGGTCCAATCGATCAATTCGATTTGGCTATATCCACTCCTGTCCCCAAATCTCCTTTTCTATTGTAAAATAGACTAGTTATTATATTTTGAATATAATGGATGCCTTATTTTGGTATCAGGAGTTGAACTTCACCTGAACTTCATTATTACTAGTGCAATGATGCTATGCACTATTTATCCTATATGTGATAAAATTGTGTACAAGTTCCTTAATTAATGGATTCCCTCTAAGTTATACTGGGTTTACCAATTGGAATGTCGGGTGCCATTCAGGAAAGTGGGGGAATATGTAACAGGGTGTACTCAATGTAGTCAATGCACTAAGCTATTTATGTTTACGTACATAATATCTGTCCTGTGCTCGTGTCATAACTAGTACGAAGTTTGTATGAAGAGTGTATGTTGCACGGGTATTTACGTACTCACGCCACCCTGCACACATACCAAAGCCCTGTTCACGTCCACTACCAGTCACTTTCCATCTGACTTCTGGACGATCATGATCAAGACTCTTAGAGACAGCTGTGCCACGTACCTCATGGGTCTCTGGTAAGTCTTAGGAAATAATCAAATATTCCAAACCAATTTATATTGTCGCGACAGTTAAATGTATATCATGTGTCCCTACAACGAAAGTGAAAGTAAGTTCCTTAGTTTCGTATTTATTATGTTGTAGGTTTTCTTAATTATTGATTAAATGGAAGTACCAAACTTTTGAGTCGTCTCATCACTAAAGAGCTCATGGGTTACATATGTATCGTGGGGTGTTTTTTTTTTATATATAACCCTACATTTACAACATTTTAAAAGATGGTTGTATAGTGGGGCGTTTTTTATACCCCCATCTTAGACTTAAATCTTTAGTTTTATACATGTACAACTTGAATTGAGTGATTATCTAAAAAGTTTTAGATATGTACTATTTTTGTTAGTTGTATATGTACATACGTCGTTTAATAAAACGGCCATATTTCAATTCATTTTTGTTAGGTGTATATGTACATACGTCATTTAATAAAACGGCCATATTTCAATTCTGTAAATATAAATGATATATGCTGACATTTGATTGGACAGCGTGATTCTAAAATAAGAAGAGAACACGTGATCTTGTAGTCATTTAGTGGAAATTTCCTGTGTACAGTAAATGTGACAAATAGGATTAGGATTTGACAAACAAAGACCAGAAAGGAAAACCAGATAGCGAAATATTACGTGTTTTTCTCTCAGGACTGCCTGAATATGGCTAAGGTAATACAGGTTATTAGTTTTTCTGCGCTTTGTTGGTAATAGTGTATGTAAATACACTATGTATTTTAACGTGTGTGTTGCATATTATCTAGTTCACGAAGTTTATACCACCTAAACTTAAGCACTTAAATTTTGTTCGTATGAACATGATCCCTGTTAAGTATTTTCCTTTACATTATGTTATGAATAACATTGCTGATTATTTCGTCTCAGAACATGTTCTAGTGTGCATGTCTTCGATACTGTACAACGGTTAGTAGGTATCACATACACACTGGTGTGTTCAGTACGCTTTGTACAACAGCTTTTGTGATATTTATTGATAAAAGAAATTGATGAAAATTATATTTGTATATCTCCAAATAGTAATATTTATTGAAGTACCATTAGTCACCCAGATCATGAAAGATCGAATGTGGAATATGTCAATTTTGTAAATGAATTTCTCGTATTAAAGCAAAATGGCAAGATAGTAATATTTTCATCAGGTGGAATAGTATTATGTTTGTTATGTGGAATGTTAGTATGTTAATACGAAAAAGCAACGAGAAAACACCAATATGTGAACATTCCACCTTATAAACATACTAACATTCCACATTGTAAACATACTAACATTCCACCTTATAAACATACTAACATTCCACTTTATAAACATACTAACATTCCACTTTATAAACATACTAACATTCCACCTTATAAACATACTAACATTCCACATTATAAACATACTAACATTCCACCTTATAAACATACTAACATTCCACCTTATAAACATACTAACATTCCACCTTATAAACATACTAACATTCCACCTTATAAACATACTAACATTCCTTATAAACATACTAACATTCCACCTTATAAACATACTAACATTCCACCTTATAAACATACTAACATTCCTTATAAACATACTAACATTCCACTTTATAAACATACTAACATTCCACCTTATAAACATACTAACATTCCACCTTATAAACATACTAACATTCCTTATAAACATACTAACATTCCTTATAAACATACTAACATTCCACCTTATAAACATACTAACATTCCACTTTATAAACATACTAACACTCCACCTTATAAACATACTTATATTCCACCTTATAAACATACTAACATTCCACCTTATTCCATTCCTTATAAACATACTAACATTCCACCTTATAAACATACTAACATTCCTTATAAACATACTAACATTCCAATAAACATACTAACATTCCACCTTATAAACATACTTATATTCCACCTTATAAACATACTAACATTCCACCTTACAAACATACTAACATTCCACATTGTAAACATACTAACATTCCACTTTATAAACATACTAACATTCCACCTTGTAAACATACTAACATTCCACTTTATAAACAGACTAACATTCCACCTTGTAAACATACTAACATTCAACCTTATAAACATACTAACATTCCTTATAAACATACTAACATTCCACCCTATAAACATACTAACATTCAACCTTATAAACATACTAACATTCCTTATAAACATACTAACATTCCACCCTATAAACATACTAACATTCAACCTTATAAACATACTAACATTCCTTATAAACATACTAACATTCCACCTTATAAACATACTAACATTCCACCTTATAAACATACTAACATTCCACATTATAAACATACTAACATTCCACCTTATAAACATACACTGGATTTTCTTTCAGAGATACTGAGGAAAATGTCGTTTCTTTCAAAAGCATAATAGAAACTTCAGGTGACTGGTTTTTTTTTAAATCAAAGAAAATGAACATCATATTGTGTGAGGTTACTTCATTGGTCATTTAGAAGTGCATGTTTATGGGGAAAAATTTTAAATTCTTGAACATATCTGAGAGCTTCAATCTTACAAAAACTACTATAAACATTAGTCTCACCTATTTAAAGAAAAATCTGAAGAAAATTTGCACTGGAGTGAATTATGGCTTACAGGATCAAGATGATGTACATGTATTGAAAAACTACAGGTCAGTGGTTGGATTTGAAAAATCCTGCAGTGTAAAATGGCGATCAAGGAATTGCAGGTGGTTTTGGGTCCAAACAGAACACTTGTATCAATTGCAGAAAGCTACATACTATACTAGCGAGAAAAAAATGTGATCATGTTACAAGTACAGAAATTAACATTAGACTGACAGAGGAAGACCACACTGATATGCAGTTAATACTTAATCACAATAAACTTCGTGCTATGTGGTATTTTTACGCATACATACCATGATACTAGCCCTTCATTTGACATCTCCGAAAATTTTCTGATTTTTGTTCCATATTTCCGGCAATGTTTAAAAATTCCGCGTTTTTACTGTACCCGTAACCTACCTTGATTTTACGTGTATCCATACTGCTCTCGGAACGCCTCTAAAAAAGTTTAAAATGATATATCCTACAAGTGGGTGGAAATACCCGTACTAAATATAGAATACATAGAATTCGCTAAATATGGCAGCTTACTGGTGTGCTGACAGGATCGTGGATTCTGAAGAAGGCCTATCGGATACATACGCGGATTTGTTTACTGTTCATTTGTGATTCTCTTAAGATAATCATATACATTCAAATTATTCAATCCATTAAAATAAAGTTAGTCAAAAAAACAACAACAAAGAGAAGTAGTTTCATATAGTGTCTCTTAATACGTGTTCGGAAATGTCAAATAGAACTGTTCTGTATCTAAAGCATCACTGAAAACATTTCACCGCCCTTTTGTGATTTAAACAAACCCATACTCACCATTTTGCCACACAAAGTAAAATACGTTATTCTAGGTTAAAACTAAGGATGGTTATCAATTTTCTGTTGTAATGTTACCTGGGTGGGTGGAGGGGGCATGGGAAGGTGGTTTTGAGCAGGGTTGGGGATCACAGTTTTCATGTCGAAGTCTGAGGAGGGAATAAGATAGCATTAATATGATATAAATAGAAATATTTATAGGCTGTTTTGTAACTTCAGTAAAATTCTTCAAACTTATCGTGAAAAGCAGAAATTCTAACTGTCCATATTGTCTCATTTCAGATAATTCCAAATGGCTAGGGGACATTTACCAACAGATGAAGGATACAAGCATACCGAAAATAATTCCAGGCATGATCACAATGACAGTACTGTTCAGAATGGAGCTTCTGGAGGTTTCTCCAATGGAAAAGATTCCAGAACTGGTCAAGATTTATTAACTGAAAAGGGAGGTAAACTACAGCAGGCAGAACAACTGACCGTGGACCAAACGAAGGTTCTGCCTCCAGTGGATTACTTCAAAACAGACTCGCAGTGTTCTAAACAAACAGGAAAGGTTCTCCCTTCCCGACCGTCTATCCCCAGATCTACACAGCATTCTACTGTGTCATCTCCCTCACCATTTCTACCAGCAGCTGATGTTGAGGTATGTAGATATGAAATATTTGTTAGATATTGATTTTAACACTGACCGATGAATTTTTTCTTGAAAAGTCCATTGTCATTTACATTTTTAAACAATGTCCGTTAGAAAAGTCAAGTAAGATCTGCAACATTTTTCTTATTGTAAGAAATTTGTAATCATTATGAAGAGTGTCATTTTAATGAAAATGATAATGATGTGTTACAAAAATTGTGTCTCTACCTGTTAGTAATTTCTTACTGTATTGGTGTCACTGTCCAAAAAAAAAAAAACTTAGATTCACTGTTGCACACTTGTTACTTAGCAACTTGGTCGTGTCACAATGTATGTGTTACATGTTATTTTCATTAGTGATGTCCTCTGTTGTCTTCATTAATGACATCCTCTGTTATCTTCATTAATGACGTCCTCTGTTATCTTCATTAATGACGTCCAGTTACCTTCATTAATGACATCCTCTGTTATTTTCATTAATGACGTCCTCTGTTATCTTCATTATTGACGTCCACTGTTTTTTTCATTAACGACGTCCACTGTTACTTTCATTAATGACGTCCTCTGTTATCATCATTAATGACGTCCTCTGTTATCTTCATTAATGACGTCCTCTTTTATCTTCATTAATGACGTCCTCTTTTATCTTCATTAATGACGTCCTCTGTTATCTTTGTTAATGACGTCCTCTGTTTTCTTCATTAATGACGTCCTCTTTTATCTTCATTAATGACATCCTCTTTTATCTTCATTATTGACGTCCACTGTTACTTTCATTAATGACGTCCTCTGTTATCATCATTAATGACGTCCTCTTTTATCTTCATTAATGACGTCCTCTTTTATCTTCATTAATGACGTCCTCTTTTATCTTCATTAATGACATCCTCTTTTATCTTCATTAATGACGTCTTCTTTTATCTTCATTAATGACGTCCTCTTTTATCTTCATTAATGACGTCCTCTGTTTTCTTCATTAATGACGTCCTCTTTTATCTTCATTAATGACGTCCTCTTTTATCTTAATTAATGACGTCCTCTTATCTTCATTAATGACATCCACTGTTACCTTGATTATAACTCTCACTAGTTGTTTTCTCTGTTGTCTGAATTACTGACTTTCTCTGTAATTTAAATCAATAACTTCCTCTATCATCTTGATTATAATAACTTAATCTGTTATCAAAATTACTGACTTCCTTTGTTATTTGAATTAATTACTTCCTCTCTTATCTTTATTAATGACTTTTTTATTGACGACTCTCATTTTTACCTTGATTAATATTTTCTGTTATTTGGATGAATGTCTTCCTCTGATCTTGATTACTTACCTTGTAGTATGACTTCCGTCATTATCTGGATTGATAATAACTTCCACCTCTTGTCATATCAGTATATTATTGCTCGACTCTAACTAATGTTTTCAGGAAATACATTGAATGTGCTTTGCCCGAGTAAGATTGATACAATAGTTAAATATCACTGGAATTTCAAGAATGACACATAGCACATATCTGTAGTTAAATCATCACAACCAGAGGCTCATTTGTCATGGTATGGCATTGAGTTACATACTAGAACTGCGGTATATATTTCAGTGCAAAGTGTTTTGTTCTCTCTTGTAGGAAGACTGTGACACAGACACACCCTGTACTGTTCAAACAAACCCTATTGCAGTAAGTGTTCTTGTCAAACGAGATAAAAGTATATTGTTAAAACATAACTTCAGATTGATATTGTTGATCAACAACTTAAAAATGGTTTAACTCCTTAAGATTTTCTTGGTCACTGTACACTTTTCATTACGTCAATGCAGTAATCCTTTTTTCTGTTTACTCTTTATTTTGATTTTATTGACCTTCAAGGTTCTGTTGAGTAGAGCAGTGAATCGAGAGGGTACCAACTTTGCTGAAGAAACTCAACCATCACAACCAGGTAAATATGTTGCGTAGAGAATCCAAATTGAGCAGGGATTCTGTAACATGTCAGTATAATTGGGGTTTTTAATTAATGTCAAAATTGTAAATTTAGAAGACTGAATAAGAATTTGTGAATTATTACAAGTTGTCAAGGGCCAAGTGAGCTTATGCCATAGCGCGGCGTCCATCGTCTGTCCGGCTGGCTGGCGTCTGATAACTTTTCATTTAAACAACTTCTTCTGAAATACCAAAAGGCGTAGAGATATCATATTTGGCTGGAAAGTTCCTTTGATGAAGCCCAACAAAGTTTGCAAAAAGAAATGACCTTGAGCCATATTCAAGGTCACAAAGTTAAATTGTGTAAAAACCTTTAAACAACTTCTTCCAAAATACCGGTAGGCCTAGAATCATTATATATGGCTGGAAGGTTCCTTTGATGAAGCCCAACAAAGATTGCAAAAAGAAATGACCTTGACCCATATTCAAGGTCACAGAGGTCAAATGTGTTAAAACATTTAAACAACTTCTTCTAAAATACCGGAAGGCCTAGAATCATTATATATGGCTGGAAGATTTCTTTGATGAAGCCCAACAAAGTTTGCACAAAGAAATGACCTTGACCCATATTCAAGGTCACAGAGGTCAAATGTTTTAAAACATTTATTTAAAAGACCCCCTTCCAAAATACTGGAAGGCCTAGAATCATTATATTTGATTGGGTAGTTCCTTTGATGAAGCCCAACAAAGTTTGTGAAAAAAATATCCTTTACCCATATTTAAGGTCACAGGAGTCAAATGTGTTAAAATGTTTAAACAATTTCTTCTGAAATTTTTTTTTTTAATTTATAAATTTTTTATTCATATTTTCGTCCATACATAGTACAATACACAAGATCATTAATATTCCTCATTAGCATTTACACACACTTTCACGCTACACATCGTAATATCCTAAATTTTAAAGTTGTACATATGTATTTCATGATAGAAGAAATTGGAAGAAGAAGAAAGGCATAAGGTAGGAGAGTTGAAGAAGAAGGAAGAAGAGCATACGACAGATGGTTGGGAGAGTGAAAAAAAAAAAAAAAAAAGGATTAAGGAATAAAAAGAAATTAGGAAAATGTTCCATTTTATTTGTCTGCATTGCAGCAACAACAACAGCAGGAAGTTACGATTGACATGAATACATACTATAGAGGTATCCGATTACAAAACTATGAAAGTAAAATTAAAATAACAAATAGTCTCAAAGTAATGGAAATCTTGCAAAGTTTTGTTAAAAAAAAAAAAAAAAAATCAAGGGGTCATAACTCTTCAAGCTGTGTTAAAAATATGTAAGAAGTGAAATCATAACTGAAGAAGGTTAGTCCACTTTCCCCATTCATTTCGGAATTTTCTGAAAGAAGATTCACCTTTTCTAAATGAAGCATATTTTTGCACATGATAGTGATCCTTAATATTATTTAATAGAGCATTTACTGAAAGTGTATTGTTAAGACATCTTGTTTTGTAAATATAGTGCTTAATTATAAGTAGGATTTCATTATCAAGTCTACAAGTTGCCCCTGACTGTGTCATAATTCTTACCTGAAACCATTGGAATTTTGTACTATTAGTAACATTAAAAGGAATTAAAGATATTTTTCTCCATTTTTCATCATTAAAATCAAACAATTCTCCCCATTTTCTTCTACCAATTGGCAAACTCTCATTTTGTGTAAGTACACTGTAAAAATCTTTAGTTCCTTTTTTATGTCTGGAACAGATCTCAAGGCTTAATGGTAAGAAAGGACGCAGAAAGTCAGTACCTGTATTGTGGGGGATATTGTTTTGTCGAAGATACTTTCTTATTGTTGACAAGATACCATAATACTGTAAAAAATCTGTCTCTATGTTATATTTATCATTGAATTCATTTTGAGTATAAAATAATTGTGTGCCTCCATCCTTAATCAGATCGCTTACAATAGTAATTCCACAGTTGTACCAATCCTGATAGAAAATATGTGTTTGGCCTATTTTCAGATTTGAGTTGTACCACAGTGGTAATTTTAACCAAGTTTGTTTCTTGTCCCTTTTAAGTTCTTCTTTAATATTCAATCTGCACCAAGCTTTAAAAACATCTTTCCAAAATAGATTTTTACTTTTGTTTTGACACATTCTTATATAGTTATTACCACAGTTGATGAGATAATCAGTATTTATATAGGTTTTAAGTATTTCTTGCCATTTTCCCTGTTTTTGTAGTAACCTCCTTATCCAGCCTAGTTTGAGTGAATCTATGAATGACGAAAGATGTACCATCTTGAGCCCTCCATCTATATAATTTTTCACAACCACATCCCTCTTTATTTTATCAGTTTTACTCATCCAAAGAAACTCAAATAAGATAATGTTTAGTTTACTTAGAAACTTTCCACTTGGATTGGGTAAGGAAATAAACAGATGATTTAACTGAGATATCAATAATGATTTAATAATGTGTATTCTACCAATAGGTGTCAAAGTTCTTCTTTTCCAAGAATTGAGAATAGACTTTAATTTAACTAGCTTTTTGTCAAAGTTTAACTTTGGGATTCGATGTAGGTCCACATGAAATTCTATTCCAAGAAGTACAAAACGTTCCTCCCCCCAGCGAAGATCTATCTCTGGTAATAAGATGTCATTACTATACTTTTTGCTACCTATCCATATTACTTGTGTTTTAGTTAAATTCATTTTCAATCCAGATATTTTAGCATAAGTATTTAATTCATTTAATGATTCTTTAAGAGACTCTTCTGTACCATCTAATATAAGAGAACTATCATCAGCATACTGAGAAACTATAATTGGACATTCATTAACATTTATTCCTTTAATTTTCCTATTATTCCTTATTCGAATTGCTAGTATTTCAGCGCAGAGAATAAATATATAGGGTGCGATAGGGTCCCCTTGTCGACAGCCTCTTTTAATATCGAAGAATGAAGAAAGATTCCCCCCTTGATTTATAGCTGACATTGTATTATTATGTAAAAGTTTAATCCAGTTTCTTATACTATTACCAAATTTGAAAAATTTAAGAACCTTACCTATGAATTTCCATGACACAGAGTCGAAAGCTTTTTCAAAATCGATCATTAGCAGCATACCCGGTATATCATTTTCTTCTGAATATTGCATTATATCATAAATTAGCCTTGTATTCTCCCCCATATAACGCCCCACTAAAAATCCAGTTTGATCTGTGTTAATAAGTTTTTGTAAAACTGTTTTAATTCTACTTGCTATCGTTCCTGAGGCTATCTTGTACACTATATTCAAAAGGGAAATAGGATGCCAATTTTTTATAAAATGTCTGGGTTTATTGTCTTTTGATATGCATGTAATAATACCTTGTCTTTGAGTTATTAAAAATCTACCTACTTCATACCCATAATTTATTGATCTAACTACAAAAATACCTAGTTGTTTCCAAAAAAATTTTTAAAATTCTGCAGTATAACCATCTGACCCAGGGCTTTTATTGTTCTTCATAGATTTCAAAGTTGATGATGCCTCTTTAAGTGAAATAAACCCTTCTAAACTCTCTGATTCTGTAATATTTAATTTTGGAATCTCAAAACCCTGTAAGAAGTCTTCTAATTCAATATCTTCTATGTTACTGTCTGAAGTATAAAGCTTTTCATAGAATAACTTGACTTCATTAAGAATTTCATCCTGATTTGTAATAACCTCCCCATTATCTCTTTCTAATCTCTTTATTATTTTTGAAGTAAAATTTCAATTTTCTAAATTAAAAAAATAATTTGTAGGTTTTTCTCCTTCTTCCAGCCATTTTGCCCTTGATCTGACAATATTACCCTTAATCTTATGTAACCTTATTGTTTCTAACTCTTTTCTTTTCTGACTAATTTCCTCTATATCTACAGTTTCCCTATCCTCTAAATCTTAAATAACATCCCTGAGTATTTTTTCTCTCTGGTCTTATTGTTTTTTCCTAAAAGATGTATAGAAGATGGTTTTGCCCCTGATTTCCATCAAAAGTGTTTCTAAAATTAACTGATCATTGATTAAAAACTGAATAGACTCGTCAGTGATCATATGCAGATTGTCAGGATTATAAAGCCCCTTTCCTTTTTTGAATTCACTAAACTTTAAAGAAATTTTTGGACAAGAATGATCCGACCTATACCCTGCTTCTATACTTGCATGACATATACTATCTATTAAAGCCTCAGACACAAGAAAAAAATCTAGTCTTGCTTGTTTTATAGGATTGTTCTTTCGCCATGTATATCTTCTAGTATTCTGATGTTGTTCTCTGTAAATGTCTATTAAATTAAAAGTGTTCATCAGTTCCAAAACTTTATCTCTAGATCTAGGATTGTTTACCTGCCTATAAGTCTGATCATAGTCTAGATTGGGGTTTAATACCAAATTAAAATCACCACATACTATTACTAAATCATTATTAAACTCTAATAAGGTTTCAGATGTTTTCTCAAAAAAATCAGGGGAGTCTGAATTCGGACCATATAGTACAATGAGAGAAACTCTTGATCCTTCTATATCTAAATCGAGGCCCAAAAAATTCCCTGTTAGATCTTTTTTCTCTTTATATTCGAAATTTTTGTTGAATAAGATAGCAATGCCTCTAGAATTTGACCTATACGAGCTAAAAAAACACTGCAAACCCCACTCATTTTTTATGAAATCTTCCTTCTCCGGTGTGAAATGTGTGTCCTGAAGACAGTAAAGGTTACAAGATTTATCTCGAAGATATTTGAAAGCATCCTTTCTTTTAAAATTGTGACCCAGACCTTGACAGTTTGCCGACAGAATCGTTACATTTTCAGACATACTGAAAATTGTTAATTGCTGTGCAATGCAGGTGATAGCAATGGAACAGGAGCATGAAGAGAAGTGAGATTGGAGATGAGAAAAGTTCTAGAAACGAACGATTGAAACAAGGAAGAAAATAAATTAAAAACATATATAACAAGGTCAAAAAGTGTTGACTGCTATTAACTCACGCATAACAAAACATTCTTTCTTGCGATACACACATCTTTTCCACCAGAGAGGAAGCACAACAAACAAGAGGCGCGAAACCGGAAGTTCTAATTATACACTAATAAAGTTATGCACGTATGATCATATTCCGGAATCATGGAATAAACTTGAATGAAAAAATGAAAAAAAAAAACAAAAAAAAAAACAGCACATACCGATACTGTTCAAGAGGAAAACTTGCAAATATCCATTTTTTATATAAGCATAGAATAATTTGGAGAAGAAAAAAGATCAATCGTTAAAGCACGGAGCATATTTTACCGGGGGGTCATCTCGAGATAAGCCCATTTTCCCCATTCAAACAAAATGCATTGTATAATATATTTTTAAAAATGATACTATTTTCATTAGCTTTAATACGACATATCACCTAGAAATAATTACTTCTGTGAGAGTAGAAAACTAATTCAACAAAAGTCTAGCCGAAATTTTAGCACGATAGCTATCCTGAAGCATATGGAGATCAGCGGTTGGATAGAACAGAGGAACAGACTTTGTCGCATTGCGACCGTCAGCATAGTAGCAGAATCGCGAACAGTTTTCCGTCAACGCTGAAGGTGTTTTTAACACAGTTCAACCTGAAAGCTTCCTGAAGTCTCTGTTGGTTGAGGCGCGTGAGATCTTAAAAAATGGTACACCCTGAACCTTTCAGCTTCCTCCTTTCCTTCATTATCTCCTGTTTTTTCCGCCTATGGGTGAACTTTACTATGACATTCCGTGGTTTGTCCTTGGAGAATCTCCCTAACCTATGGGCAATGTCAATATCTTCACTCTGTAAACGCACTTTCAGTTTCTCAGACACAAATTTAACCACCTGTCCAACACACTCCTCCGCCGTCTCTTTTTCCAAGGGATCAGCCATTCCGGCTATCCTTATGGAATTTTTATGTCCGTGCTGCTCAAGGTCATTGTTTTTTAATGCAATGTCCTTCTGACCATGTTCCAACTCCTCAATTTTCAACTCCAGATGTCCTATAGTCTGCTTGAGTAACCCGTTTTCTGTCTCTAACTCGAATAGTCTTCCCTCAAATTTACCCAGGATAACCTCATTTTCCTCACTGATATCCATTTTCAGTTTCGCTAGCTGAGCGTCCATATATTCCTTGGTGATCAGAGTGCTGAGAATTTTGTTAATCTCATCTAACTTTTCATCTATCGATGTGGGTTTCTCGGAAAAGTCAACACCTGCTTCACTTTCCCTGGTACTCCTGGAACTCCGAGTGACGGAAGCTCCCGCTGAAGATTTGGTGGTGCCAGTTGATGATCTCATAATTATATGTATATCGTGTTACTTCGTATGAAAAAAAACCCAACTGTCCGTGTACAATGTGTATATCTATAAACGTATATACGAAGCGCGGTTAATAGTAGTCACCGTGGTCTGACTCAGTCCATTGTTACAAGTGGAAATGTCCAAAAGTTCACTTTCCGTAAGCAAATAATCACAGGTTTTTACACCAAAGGTATTATAATACGTATAACTATTCCATCGCCAAAAAAAATGGATGTAATTTTCACTAGAAAAGTATTTGACACAATTATGTATGAGGTCCAGAAGTGTCGACTGACCAGTTCACCGCGTGACCACGTGACTCAATTTCTTCTGAAATATCAAAAAGCCTAGAATCATTATATTTGGCCAGTATTTCCTTTTATGAAGTCCAAGAAAGTAAAAGAAATGACCTTGACCCATAGTCAAGGTCACAGGGGTCAAATGTGTTAAACGTGGAACATATGCACAGATATAGTAATGTTGGTCATAAAGATCCAGGTGAGCGATGCAGGCCCTCTGGGCCTCTTGTTACTTTCATATACATGTATCTGTAAACCATTGCCTCAGAAAGTTAAGAAACAATTTGTACGTGGTACCCCATGGATTTGGCAAAATGATTTATTTTTGTGTCCCCTGCTTATGTATGTGACATTATCACTTCCTCTTTCTTTTCTTTTCCAATGTTACTAGATGTTATTGCTTACTTTGACAAGAAAGTTAAGTTTGGCTTTTGTAGGTCACAATTTATTGGTTAAACGAATCAGTGTTGTAAACTTATCTTGGGTGTGCATGTTTGGTTCTTGTTTGTAATATGAATTTTCGGGGTGTTTTATTTTGTTGGTCAACCCACAAATTCCACAAAATTATAAACTGATATTGACTTGTTTCAGTACTAGTTAATCACTATATACTATTTATCCACAACAGCAAGTATTAACAGCGTTAATGGCAAATTTCTAAAAAAAAAAATCCTGAAAATAGGTGATTTTAGTCATTCAACACTACCAATGAAACTGATTAGATAATTATCCATAAGGTTTGAAATATGTTTCATTTGTTAATACAACATGGTATATACTGAATTTCTTTTCTTTGATCTCAGTACAGGGTGATCGAGTTATAAGTTACAAGTCTCCCAGTCATCTTCAGCAAAGTACTGATGGTAAGCATTTCTGTCTTATTTCATATGCTAATAAATTATAGTGTGACTATAATTCATCTACATATCAGTTTCATTGAAAGTTAAAAAATGAAAAAAAAAAAAATGCTATCAGCTATAGATATTTCAAGTCTGTTCCCTAGATCACACAAGTACTAAATGATAATTTGTCATCCCTTTAGTTTTAGGGGAGTTGCCATTGGAAGAACTGAATAAAAGACAGCATCAGGTAAAAAATTTTTTTTCAAAATTTCATTTGAACTCCATGTGGTATTATTTTCGGAGGAAGAGACATTTTATGCCTTAACCAGTATTCATATTTTGAATCAATACTGTTTTGTTTTATTTGTTTTTTTAGATGTTGGAGAAATTCATATTTGTATGTGCCAGGTGTGTTCAAATTGATACAATCCTCAAGTGTCCAAAATGTAAATTAGGGAAATTCCTTTACCTAGCAACAGAACAATACAACTGTCTACCATATTCAAGTTTCTCAATAAATCATTGATTTTATTATTATCATAATTTCTAAATAAACCAATGTATATATAAATTATATTTTACTGTTGGAGTACACTGTACACCAATATAACACGCTGTGCTGCCCTAATACATTGTACAACGTTGATATACAAGATCATTGGAGTCATAGACCATTATATTATTCCATTTCAATGGTAAAATATTATCATGTAAGTCATAATATATAAGTTGGTAATTATGGTGTAGGACATCGTAAGTACATCAGATTACAATTATACGGTTATGGTTTGTGATAATAACTTGTGATGTGTTGTATTATAAATATAATTTTGACAGTAATATTTAACAGTATATTGTATGTTATAGCATTTATCTAAAATACAACATAATATCCATCGTCTGATGTGAATTATTATCATACTATTTTTGACTATTTTTCATCTTGTACACTATATATAATATTGTACCATCTTAATGCGTTTTTATAATATTGTACCATCTTATATATAATATTGTACCATCTTAATGCGTTTTTATAATATTGTACCATCTTAATGCGTTTTTATAATATTGTACCATCTTAATGTGTATTTATAATATTGTACCATCTTAATGCGTATTTATAATATTGTACCATCTTAATGCGTTTTTATAATATTGTACCATCTTAATGCGTTTTTATAATATTGTACCATCTTAATGTGTATTTATAATATTGTACCATCTTAATGCGTATTTATAATATTGTACCATCTTAATGTGTATTTATAATATTGTACCATCTTAATGCGTATTTATAATATTGTACCATCTTAATGTGTATTTATAATATTGTACCATCTTAATGTGTATTTATAATATTGTACCATCTTAATGTGTATTTATAATATTGTACCATCTTAATGTGTATTTATAATATTGTACCATCTTAATGCGTATTTATAATATTGTACCATCTTAATGCGTTTTTATAATATTGTACCATCTTAATGTGTATTTATAATATTGTACCATCTTAATGCGTTTTTATAATATTGTACCATCTTAATGTGTATTTATAATGTTGTACCATCTTAATGTGTGTCTGCTTATGTAGATATGTCTTCTCTCTGATGCACTGTAAAGCACAATCAAGGAATGAATGATCTGATTAACAGGTATATGTAATTGCTAAATTATTGCCTTTCTATGCTTGTAGGAAAGACTGAATACCAGAATTGGTGACTGTGATAAATGTGACAACGGTTTCCATCCTACAGTTGTTCATGACTTTGACTCTCATCAAGGTAAAGAAAAAGATGTGTTGAAGGCATGCGGACAAAAGGTCGGCCAAATTAGTTGCAGCACTTGCAGTTATCTTGGGACATGTTTTCGTATCGGCGACCGTAACATTGTCACCTGCCGTCATGTAATTTACTCTAAATGTGAGTATACTCCCTGATATTCCGATACCTATAAACCTGTTTCAAACATCGATAAAATACTACATTCCCTTATGATTTCATCACTATACTTGTGTTGAATATTATTAGTAATACTGGATAGATGCACAGAATCTATAATAAGAAAGGAGTTGTAGAAATGGTATTATAATAAGGATGACCATACATTTTGTTTGAAACTACTTTAAATAACACCAAGTATATTTCAAAATCACACATAATCCATGTTTTCAGGTACAGTATTGTTGAATAAGAATTGACTCCTGTTGTTTTTATGATCACAGGTTTACAAGGGAACCATGACATTACAGCAATCTTCTACAAGCAAGAACTTAGCTGTCAAAGTAAATTAGTTTACAAGCTCAAGGAAATACCGATCAGAAATGCAGATGTTGACATCATCATTCTCAAACTCGATGACAATGGCAGAGGTTTCCCACCAGCCTTCACAAAGTTCAACAAAGCAGACTATACCATTGAGGAATATCTTGTGTATATTGCATTCTTTCAAAAAAATCTTGCCACCAATGAAATCAAACTTGCAGTAAACTGTAATACTGTCAGATTGAAGGATGACAAATTAGATTCTGAACACCTATATGACCAAAATTTGGAAATGATGGAAAAGTTTCCCTGTTTCAAAGGCGAACTTCCTTACGGATATTCAGACGAACATAGAAAAAGTGGAAGTGTTCTATTGTTGAGTGATGTCACTCATGGAGGATCCGGTGGTGTTGGTATTTTCCTGGATGCATCAGGGGACCCCGTTGTTGATTTTGTGTACTGCAGAGGATACCCTTCGTTCTATTACATTACAAAGACCGAAACAGCATTAAAGAAATTTGAGAAACAGAAATTTCCTGCATGTTGGAGAATGGAAACAGGGATTAAAGTTAAGAAAGGGATTGAAATTTCAGATCCAACACTTTGGCAAAGCGATAATTAACTGTTGATTTTATGCTTTGAACAAATCCACAGGGTTGTACCATGTTATATCGTATAACAAAGAAATGTATATGAAGGATGAACATTTGCTGACCAAAACCTGACTGGTTATTAAATTGCAGGAAACTGGTAATGTGACACAATAATTTAGAATGTGTCTATGTCTAGATTTGTGTCCCATTGACTTTATATACCATTGTAAATAATTAAAAAAATTGCTGTCCAATCTCCATTTGTGTCTACTTTAATATACATGTCTGTGCCCTTTAATCTGAAGGGCAAACAAATGCAGACCTTGAGTGAAAGAGAGGTAATAATGTTTTTAAAAGTTTCCCAATCCAGTACATGGATTTTTACAGATGAATGAATTAACTAAAATTAACATGGAAAATGATTGGATGAGGGGAATCAGTGCTGTATTAACAGATAGTTAAACCCACAAGGGTGCACTTATATAAGAAAATGAAGGGTTTGCATAAGATTAAAAGTAACATATGAATGACAAAACAAAATACAGAACATGAATAGTACTGTTGATATGCATTATATTTACGAATGACTTTTCAAATAAATCCATGGAGGTTATATATAGGACACTGCCTTAAAGGATCTTATTACAATAATATAAAGAGTGTTTTATCACCTAGTTGCCTTGATATTCAGTGAATATACCCATGTAATATCTTTGTGTACTACAGACGTAATGTCACGGCAAGGATGTGAAAAAGTATGGGGTTGTTACCAAACAAGATGGCTTTTTTTCTGGGTTCACCAGTTTCATTACAAAATAACACTCCTCACGACCTTCCATCTGGGCTTGTAACGCTTGTTTCACAATTGTTGTAAAGTGAGCTAAGTTTATATCTATTTTAAGACGATAAATTCTCAAACTTGGTCCATAAACTTGCATATCAAACATAAACTTCTATAAGATTCTATGTTTATCACAAAACTGTTCTGTTGTATCCGCCTAATAACACCTATGAAATGTTTTCTTTGTTTTTATGCTTCAGAAAAGGTAGCTAATAAAATATAACCTATATAACTGACAATAAACTACACTAACAGTGAGAACAGGGTCATCCGATCACAGATTCTCCATAGATGGTTTAATTATGAGAGAACAAAATCCCCCTCCGACTACAATCAACAAATTCTTTTTTCAAAACATGACTCCAAAGTTGTGTGATGCTTCATACTTAATAATTAGGTTCAACTTTAAAAAAAAACAAAACAAAAAAAAAAAAAAAAAACAATAAAACATGCAGTTTATATAAAATATGTGATTAATGCCTACAAAAGTAAATGACATGCATTAATAAAAAAATAATTTAGCACTTGGGTTTATAAAATTGTCATAACATATTGAATAAAAAGTGTCCGGTATAAATTATGTAAACAATATTGCCTTCATTAGATGGCACAAATTTGAGTATTATCAAATTTGACTGGAGGTTGGGGGTTGATTATAAAGCTTGTAAATGTAGCAATGATAATATAGTTGACTTGACCTTAGAGTACATAACAACACAACCTAAAACATACTAAAAGGACCACTTTTAAATGTAATAAAATTCTCAAAGTTACAAGTTATGTGTCCTGTAGCTCAAAAATGAACCTAAAAACATCACTCACTACAAATACATAATATAGCCTAACAGAACCAAAGTACTGCGTAGAAAGCTTTCTATTAATGATGAACGAAGATTTAATCAGCAGTTACCCAATAACTTGTTTCTGGCAGTATGGTAGATCTGTGTGACACCAGGGATCTTTGTTTCTGGCAGTATGGTAGATCTGTGTGACACCAGCGATCTTTGTTTCTGGCAGTATGGTAGATCTGTGTGACACCAGAGATCTTTGTTTCTGGCAGTATGGTAGATCTGTGTGACACCAGGGATCTTTGTTTCTGGCAGTATGGTAGATCTGTGTGACACCAGCGATCTTTGTTTCTGGCAGTATGGTAGATCTGTGTGACACCAGGGATCTTTGTTTCTGGCAGTATGGTAGATCTGTGTGACACCAGGGATCTTTGTTTCTGGCAGTATGGTAGATCTGTGTGACACCAGGGATCTTTGTTTCTGGCAGTATGGTAGATCTGTGTGACACCAGGGATCTTTGTTTCTGGCAGTATGGTAGATCTGTGTGACACCAGGGATCTTTGTTTCTGGCAGTATGGTAGATCTGTGTGACACCAGCGATCTTTGTTTCTGGCAGTATGGTAGATCTGTGTGACACCAGCGATCTTTGTTTCTGGCAGTATGGTAGATCTGTGTGACACCAGGGATCTTTGTTTCTGGCAGTATGGTAGATCTGTGTGACACCAGCGATCTTTGTTTCTGGCAGTATGGTAGATCTGTGTGACACCAGCGATCTTTGTTTCTGGCAGTATGGTAGATCTGTGTGACACCAGCGATCTTTGTTTCTGGCAGTATGGTAGATCTGTGTGACACCAGCGATCTTTGTTTCTGGCAGTATGGCTGATCTGTGTGACACCAGAGATCTTTGTTTCTGGCAGTATGGCTGATCTGTGTGACACCAGAGATCTTTGTTTCTGGCAGTATGGTAGATCTGTGTGACACCAGCGATCTTTGTTTCTGGCAGTATGGCTGATCTGTGTGACACCAGAGATCTTTGTTTCTGGCAGTATGGCTGATCTGTGTGACACCAGAGATCTTTGTTTCTGGCAGTATGGTAGATCTGTGTGATACCAGGGATCTTTGTTTCTGGCAGTATGGTAGATCTGTGTGACACCAGGGATCTTTGTTTCTGGCAGTATGGTAGATCTGTGTGACACCAGGGATCTTTGTTTCTGGCAGTATGGTAGATCTGTGTGACACCAGCGATCTTTGTTTCTGGCAGTATGGTAGATCTGTGTGACACCAGCGATCTTTGTTTCTGGCAGTATGGTAGATCTGTGTGATACCAGAGATCTTTGTTTCTGGCAGTATGGTAGATCTGTGTGATACCAGCGATCTTTGTTTCTGGCAGTATGGTAGATCTGTGTGACACCAGCGATCTTTGTTTCTGGCAGTATGGTAGATCTGTGTGAGATCTGTGTGATCTGTGTGACACCAGCGATCTTTGTTTCTGGCAGTATGGTAGATCTGTGTGACACCAGCGATCTTTGTTTCTGGCAGTATGGTAGATCTGTGTGACACCAGGGATCTTTGTTTCTGGCAGTATGGTAGATCTGTGTGACACCAGCGATCTTTGTTTCTGGCAGTATGGTAGATCTGTGTGACACCAGAGATCTTTGTTTCTGGCAGTATGGTAGATCTGTGTGACACCAGCGATCTTTGTTTCTGGCAGTATGGTAGATCTGTGTGACACCAGCGATCTTTGTTTCTGGCAGTATGGTAGATCTGTGTGACACCAGCGATCTTTGTTTCTGGCAGTATGGTAGATCTGTGTGACACCAGCGATCTTTGTTTCTGGCAGTATGGTAGATCTGTGTGACACCAGGGATCTTTGTTTCTGGCAGTATGGTAGATCTGTGTGACACCAGGGATCTTTGTTTCTGGCAGTATGGTAGATCTGTGTGACACCAGGGATCTTTGTTTCTGGCAGTATGGTAGATCTGTGTGACACCAGCGATCTTTGTTTCTGGCAGTATGGTAGATCTGTGTGACACCAGAGATCTTTGTTTCTGGCAGTATGGCTGATCTGTGTGACACCAGCGATCTTTGTTTCTGGCAGTATGGTAGATCTGTGTGACACCAGGGATCTTTGTTTCTGGCAGTATGGTAGATCTGTGTGACACCAGGGATCTTTGTTTCTGGCAGTATGGCTGATCTGTGTGACACCAGGGATCTTGCTGGTATTTTGGTGTGTTGAGGATAGCATGTCTTTTTTTTAAAAGATGAAATGGTCAATTTTTCATTACTATTGTGTTCTGCCGAGTTATTAAGTTTTAACTACTTTATGTCAACATTAAGTTTGTTTTCCAAATGACTGTTCAAATATGTCATCTTCTAAAGATCCCAGAAATCCCCTGAAATAAGAGAAAAGAAGGACAACTGTGTAATATCAACAACATCCTGTTCAGAAAATGAGGAATGATTTACATTTCAAAGTTTTCTTTTGTCTGATATGAATCAATGATTTCAATTAAATGGTTTCATTTTTAAAGCCTTATAAATTCATAATGTAATTATAACATAACTGACAAATCGGACAAATCAATACAAGCACAAGCTTCATCAATGGAGGTAATTCAAATAAAATACATTTTAGTCATAAAACATATACAAGAATGATTTACAGCAGGAAAAGGAATGTATGACTATAATATCACCTAAAACCTACTCCGGGTGTAACTTAATGTGGGGGTATAATGAGCTCAGAATTTTCAAAACCAATCTATATTTATGCATAAACTTTCCTCAGACAGCCGTTTTCAAAACCTTAATAATTATTTCAATTCTCTGCAGCATATAATGAACTATAAACCATAAACCTAAGAAGACTATATTGATCAAGCCTTATCCTATGTATGACTTCTTTATAATATACCAAACACCTACATTTCTAGTAAAGGAGTTAACATAACATGAGGTAACAAAATTACCCGAACTGTGAGGGCGGTTTTCTCTCTGAAGTCGTTACAGGATGACTGACATCTGGACTTGTAATTGATTGTTGGTAACGGTCTGCGGAATTAAAATTATACATACATATATATCTATCTACATAAAATCTTTAAAAATTCCCGAACAAGTAAGGTTAAAGAGGAGGTTAATTTTCTTGAATTTGGAGTATTAGACACTTAAGATTCATAGAATTTCTGGCTGTGGTATATACCTTATATTAGGTATTAATCCATAATACATAGAATAGATTTAAGTAGCTATTATGTGATAACTGTATACACTTGTACCAATTTATGTCTTTGTTCTTTTTATGACATTTATAGTGTAATTTGACATAAAAAAATACAAATAATGCTGTAATTCTTACCGCCAAATACACTCTTCTGTTCTATCGTGGAAGATTTCGGTTTATTCCAAAAATCAGATGTTTCTTGAATAAGTTTGGATATTTTCTGTAACTGTTGGTCTCTCCTGTTTGTGGGCGTGGTTCCAATGTGATCTTTCTCATTTTTGTCACCATAGTCATTCCTATGTAAGGTCACATCTTTGGTGGCACTCATTAGCTCATCAATACTGATCTGTATCGTTTTAAAGATAAGACTGCTTTTTAATTATTCAAATGATACACATAACTCAAATCATAATATGATGCTTACAGTTTGGTATGTAGCATGACACATGTGTAAGGTAAAACGTTCAACTAGATGATGATTGAGTACATAATATCATTTAGTGAAGCCATACATTTCAATAGTTAATAATATCAAAATATCTTTTTGAATGATTTCTAATTCTTTCTTTAATTGCACAGTTGATCACATCTTTGATAAATGATTGAAAAAATAAGTCCATTTTTTTTTAAACATTGGATCAAAATTGATTGAATATTCTTGCAGTTCTTTTAGTGTATCATTATACAGGTAAACAAAACAAACCCTTATTATACACCAGAAAGTATTGTGATATGATACAACATGGTATATCATTGCAGCCTTAATTTTTGAAATTATTTGAAAGAATTAAAACTAACTTTAGGAAAAAATGCTCATAAATATGTCAATAAAATCATACTTGACTTTAGAAATTACTGACCTCTCGTTTGACCTTCAACTTTTGACCTTGAAAGTGAGAAAAGTCTGTGTTGATCATATACTGCACTGCTGCCTTGAATGTTACCATGCAGTAGCTGTAACAAATGATTCAATATGGCCGCTGTCTAAACAAAGGCATCAATCAATGATAACATGATTTTCAAGGTCACACAGAAAGGTCACTTTAACATGCTTGTAAGCATGTCATCAATTGATGGTGTGAAAAACAACTAGACAATAATTATTCTGCAACTTCGATCACAGATAAACCATGTATTCATTGGTAATTTTGCGGTAAATTTCTAAACATTCTAATAAATACCTCAGCAATGAATCTGAAACCCTCAAATAACAAGGGGCCCATGGGGCCTGTATCTCATCTTGATATCTCAACTTTCACCTTCAACACTTTTTAAAACACAATTATATTGTTCCTTTTTCTGCAAAAGATGAGGAATTTGAAAGCTTCAAACTATATTTTAACAAATAACAATTCATGCAGACAGAAAAAGAATGATTTTAAACTCATATATCTATCTCCCATAATGGGTCCTGTTCCTCTACAGACTCTTGATTTAAATGAAATTGAATCCCCTATTGAGACCTACCCCTCAGGACCCAAAGGACTGAGATCCACTGTTTATACAAAATTGGTTCCCCTTCTTCATACCACTTACAGATACTTCTTGTCCGATATGAGTGATAACCATTGCTTAGAAATGGAGATATTATTAAAACGAATCTAACAAAACAACTATATTTGGTCTCATTCCTCAGCCGCCAGCAAGATCAGCCCTTTATAATTACAGTTATCTCCCCTGAATGCTTCTATAAGCAAATTCATTTGGGGTTGGCATAAACATTTGTATATTTTTGAAGCATGATCACCTGGAGATGTTTCCTGTCAATTTTAATTAAATTCAAACAGTGGTTAAGAAGTCATTTAAAGAAATTATTGACAGACAAACAGACAGATGAATACTAGATGCCACATTACCATGTAACTTCACCATGCCTTTACCTTTGGAAAAGGTGATTTAATGAAATTCATGCAAGTTGAAATTGTATATGCATTTTATTTTATCAAGGTTTATGAAAATCTAATTGGATAAAGCTCAGTTGCAAAGATAAGTTATTCTGGTGTATCATAAAAACTGAACAGGTCAGTAGAAAACAGAAGAAAATAATGATGTTCTTACATCTTAAAAAATGAAAACATCAGAAATATTGCTGATGGTTGAGAAATCAAGCTGCTAGGGGAAGTAACTGAGATCACAACAAATCCGATAAACTTGCAATCGTTGCTGTATCATTGTTGAACAGAAACTACAATCAATTCAATCATACTTTAGCATAGTATATTTCACGCAAAAACACTAAAATGAGAGAACCGTTAAAATATGTATGTTTACAGTATACAGACACCAGCAATCATCCTTTAGCACTCCCTCATGGCACATGAAAATCTCAATCTTCGTAAATTTTCTCACATTTAAAAAAAACCTGTCAAGTACGCAATCATATACACAAGGAATATGCAACTAGTAATATATTGCTGACGATGTCTTCAATTTCTTATGTATATGGTTCAGTACGAGTGTTGGGAAATTCCAATATTTTTGCCTGGTAGAGCCTAGATGTTTAATGAGACAAGAACTCCTAATTTGTGGAACCAGAAAGTAAATCATGTACAAAAAAAATGTATATCTCTCCACACAAATAATGAAAGTGAAATTTGATCAGTCAAAAACCTATTTATATCAGGAACCATCAATACTCAAGCCTTTTATACGTTGTGCACTTGTGATTAATTGCGACTGAAATAAATACCTGAGATTATCTCTGTCGTTGATCTCTGCCGACCAATGAAACTTCTCTATGTAGAACATATTACTAGCCAGATGTGTACACCGTGCCTGGGCTATCACAGTCACCTGTAAAACAGGAGACTGTGTATTTATAATGTACACAAAATTGTTCACAGAGAAAAACTAATCCAACAATACTGATACATGTATACCTTACTAGACAGCCATGCAGAACACATGAGTGATCAATACAGATGCTGTGTTATAAAATTGACAAAATTCTTATTTTACATGTAAATGATACAGTTACCATTATAAGACTTTTAAACAACTGATATGAATCATAAGAAGTGCTACAGTTTATAATCTACTTACAAGAATTGGAATAAGGTCATCAGAGGTCAGACGTGGAATATCTGTAGTAGAGGGAAATTCAAAGAAATAAACGTACCGCAGATACAATAGATTACGTTTCCTTCTCTCAGTAATACTGACATTACAATACCATGGTTACATATTCATTAACATATTTCCCTAATTTAGGGAGCATTCATAAAACTGAGGTAACAACTGTACACATGCTTGCTGGATTTGTATGTCACAACATTACTTACACCCTGTGATAACAGTTTTAGAGCAGATATACAGCAACCGTGAATTCAATTTGGTTTAAGAAAATTCCAACGGACATGCCCTACAAGACTGAAAGTGACGTCGGAAAAAACTAAAAAAAATTCATTTTTATCAAATGAAGGAGCAAAATATTACTGGCTTCAGTATCTAAAAGTATTTCAATACAACGATAACACTAAAGTGAAAGTAGATTTAATTGTGACTTTACCTACCTTGGGAAGGTACTAATGATATACTGGATTGGTGAGTATCAATTACGTGTGACATGATCGTCTCTGTAATACAGTCCTGAAAAGGAGGAATAGAAACCCTGTGATTATATCTGTAATACAGCCCTGAAAAGGAGGAATAGAAAGCCTGTGATTATATCTGTAATACAGCCCTGAAAAGGAGGAATAGAAACCCTGTGATTGTCTCTGTAATACAGCCCTGAAAAGGAGGAATAGAAACCCTGTGATTATATCTGTAATACAGCCCTGAAAAGGAGGAATAGAAACCCTGTGATTATATCTGTAATACAGCCCTGAAAAGGAGGAATAGAAACCCTGTGATTGTCTCTGTAATACAGCCCTGAAAAGGAGGAATAGAAACCCTGTGATTGTCTCTGTAATACAGCCCTGAAAAGGAGGAATAGAAACCCTGTGATTGTCTCTGTAATACAGCCCTGAAAAGGAGGAATAGAAACCCTGTGATTGTCTCTGTAATGTAGTCCTGAAAAGGAGGAATAGAAACCCTGTGATTATATCTGTAATACAGCCCTGAAAAGGAGGAATAGAAACCCTGTGATTGTCTCTGTAATGCAGTCCTGAAAAGGAGAAATAGAAACCCTGTGATTATATCTGTAATAAAGCCCTGAAAAGGAGGAATAGAAACCCTGTGATTGTCTCTGTAATGCAGGTGTTTATTATGACTATGATGGAACCTTAACTTACAGCCACTTAGGTCCATACTGTCATAGTCATTAAGTAAGCTTGCATGTTTATAACATGTTAACACTTAGTTTAGTTTGGGCCTGCACTGCTCACTAGTGTAAATACATACCACCCAAATATCATGTCTCTAGGCCTTTCAGTTCATGAGAAGATGTCATTTAAAAGTTTTAACAAATTTGACCCCTGTGACCTTGAATACAGGTCAAGGTCATTTATATTCATAGACTTTGTCAGACTTCATCCTAGGAACAACCCAGGTTAATATCATGTCTCTACATCTTTCAGTTCAAGAGAAGAAGTTGTTTAAATGTTTTCGCAAATTTGACCCCTGTGACCTTGAATATAGGTCAAGATAATTTGTTTTCACACTTTGTTGGGCTTCATCCTAGGAACATACCACCCAAATATCAAAACATTGTTCAAATGGAAAGGAAAAAGTTGATGCCGGACGACGGACGCCGCACCACGGCATAAGCTCATAAAACAATACACCAGAATTCCCCTAATAATTATGAACAGTTCTACGGTACTTACAATGGTTGCTTTGAGACAATGTAACTTCTCCAGGGGTGTTCTTAATCCATCAACAGTAGCCAGCTCCACAACCTGCAAAATTCATTTACATGAAGCAGAATTTTCTCAACACTGCAATAAAAAGATACTATTAAATTCCTCCCTTAAACTATGAAATTCTCTTTCTCAACTACAGTGACTTGTAATTATGTTTACATTTCAACTAATAAAAAAATTATGATTAGTAATTGACAAACAACATTATAATACTTACAAAAATTCTGGGCTAAGAAAATGAGTTCATGTGATCATAGATACATGTATCATGAGATTACGTAGCTGAGGATAAACTGAGTTTATGTGGCCAAAGATACAATGGCTTGTAGGAAGTATAATGATACAATATGGAGCTACAATTAGTTCAATATATATGATGACAAGTCTCAATCACAACTTTTTCAACAACGATTACTTTCTTGACATTCACAAACAGGCTCAAATGTTCAGAGAAACGCCTATGTTAATGTAATCTATCATATATTCTCACCGCTCCAGGCAGAGGACAGGTGAAGTCTTGGCTGACTTTCAATTTGTCAGAGGTCACACCCTCCAGTTGTTTACATTTCTGTAATAGGCACTCATCATCTGCTCGAAGTTTGTCACAAATAGCATGAAACAACTTGGTGTAAACACTTCCGACTACATAGCTGCAACAAAATGACACCTAAAGTAAAACTAGACTGGTCATATAGAGTTTCATGTCTCTTACAGTAAACAAACTCTCTTTCACTTGCAATTTATTTTTGAAAATTTTGCAACGAAAGCAAAATTACAGCATGTTTTTTTTTCACACTTTACAGGAGGTCAATGGGCCTTAAAGGTCATCTGATAATCAAATCTTTCATTTAAGAAATTATCTCCCTCGAAAAGTGATGGTTCAAATGAAATTTAGTTGAAATCTACCATACCATTGATCTACCTGGAGTGGGGAACTATGGATATAAAAAAAAAAAATGAATGACCTCAAGAAATTTAGGAATATTCATTTGGGAAGCAAAATTTCAGCTTGCTTCCCAATTGGGGCCTCACCTCCAAGCCTCTTGAGGTTTGATCAAGTCTGAAAGTATTGTTTTAGGTTGTATTTTATCAAAAACCTCTAGAGAGTTTTGGGAGAGTAATTTCAAAGTAAATTCTAGTAAAATTCTTCATTCAGAGCCTGTCCCCTCTGTCTGCAGGGATCAAATAAACTTTCTGAATTTTAGATATGATCGCCCACCCCAAATATTATTTCAAATTATTTTGATAGAAATACGCTTAGGTTTTTGGGAAGAGTAGCATTTGAAAGAAAAATTTAAGCTAAATTCCCAATTCAAGTCCCAAAGGGATGAATAAATTTTCTGCAATTGAAAAATAATGTTTGCTCTGGCCTAATTTTGATTCAGACTGAATTTTACTGTAAAAGAGTTAGCTTTAAAAATAAAATTTTAGCTAAATTCCCATATGGGCCCCAAAGTGCCCAGGTGTCAGGTCAACATTCTAGCAAAGTTATTTAAGAAATGGTTGTCCATCCTTAATGCTGTTTCAGCTTAACATTTAAGCTAAATTCTATTTTGGAGTTTGGAGTCCATCCAACCTCCTCCCCTCCCCCACCCCCCAAATCCCCATTTAAAAGGGATTCTGTTTCTAACAATAATTACCTGATGTGTCTATAGTTGTGTATCTACACATCATTACCTGGTGTCTATAGTTGTGTATCTACACATCATTACCTGGTGTCTATAGTTGTGTATCTACACATCATTACCTGGTGTCTATAGTTGTGTATCTACACATCATTACCTGGTGTCTATAGTTGTGTATCCACACATCATTACCTGGTGTCTATAGTTGTGTATCTACACATCATTACCTGGTGTCTATAGTTGTGTATCTACACATCATTACCTGGTGTCTATAGTTGTGTATCTACACATCATTACCTGATGTCTATAGTTGTGTATCTACACATCATTACCTGGTGTCTATAGTTGCGTATCCACACATCATTACCTGATGTCTATAGTTGTGTATCTACACATCATTACCTGATGTCTATAGTTGTGTATCCACACATCATTACCTGGTGTCTATAGTTGTGTATCTACACATCACTACCTGGTGTCTATAGTTGTGTATCTACACATCATTACCTGGTGTCTATAGTTGTGTATCTACACATCATTACCTGGTGTCTATAGTTATGTATCTACACATCATTACCTGGTGTCTATAGTTATGTATCTACACATCACTACCTGGTGTCTATAGTTGTGTATCTACACATCATTACCTGATGTGTCTATAGTTGGGAATATATACCTTTCCATCAGTGTATCAAGCTCTTCGCGTGTCATTTGAGATTTGCCCTTCTGTTGCTTCTGTCCACACTTTAAACATTTCTGTAACATTTATATAATTACTCTGACATAAACTCTTTAAACAATACTGAAACAGGATTATTTTTGTCACATTCAAGTGTATACAGAAATTATACAATTTGAAAACCTCTTAACCAATTAATTTGATAATGTACTGTTTTATCAGATAAAAAATGTTGTAGCTATTGGTACATTGTTTTACAAAATATTATTGAGATATAGTATTCAAAGTCAAATTTTGTTTTATTTTTTGTTTCCACATATTTTCGTCTTTGATAAAACTGCATACCATATACCATATACCAATTATAAACATAAACAAAAAATATCAAGAAAATAATAACACGTCAACAAAATCATAATTCAAACTAAAATTCAATAAATATGAATCAAAGGAAGATCAACAAAGAGAATAAGACCAGGTGTTCCAGAAGAGTAAGCATCTTCTGCTTCATTAACGACACTCGCTATGCAAACCTAGAAAACCATGTAAATGTCTTGTTCTCAAATGAGAACATGATATATAGCAATGGAACCAACTGGCAAACTTATGAGCATCAAACACGTCTAGCTTCATATCGCAGAAAGAAACAGGATATTTCTCAGCGAGATCACCATGATGACAGTAAAAGAAGACATCCATTAAAATTTTTGACCTAAAAGCTACTAATAATCTAAATAACTATTTATCCCAGTTACTTACTTTACCGTACCTAATCCAGCAATGACACTAATTACAAGAGATTTTGTGAAGACACAAACTTTATATACCATAGAGAAGACTCAATAATAATATTAGTATATAACATATAAATAACAACGTATATGATCCCAATACCTCAACTGCAGCCATGCTGATATCCTGGAGTCGCTGACAAGCATCATCCATGTACTCTGTAAGTATCATGTAGTTTGCCTCAAATACCCGAATACTGTCATCTAAAGACTTGGTCACCTGAACACAAGATTGTTAACAAAGTGATTCTGTGTCACACCTGTACACAAGATTGTTAATAAAGTAAGTCTGTGTCACACCTGTATACAAGATTGTTAATAAAGTAAGTCTGTGTCACACCTGTACACAAGATTGTTAATAAAGTAAGTCTGTGTCACACCTGTACACAAGACTGTTAACAAAGTGATTCTGTGTCACACCTGTATACAAGATTGTTAATAAAGTAAGTCTGTGTCACACCTGTACACAAGATTGTTAACAAAGTAAGTCTGTGTCACACCTGTATACAAGATTGTTAACAAAGTAAGTCTGTGTTACACCTGTACACAAGATTGTTAACAAAGTAAGTCTGTGTCACACCTGTACACAAGACTGTTAACGAAGTAAGTCTGTGTCACACCTGTATACAAGATTGTTAACAAAGTAAGTCTGTATCACACCTGTACACAAGACTGTTAACACCTGTACACAAGACTGTTAACAAAGTAAGTCTGTGTTACACCTGTATACAAGATTGTTAATAAAGTAAGTCTGTGTTACACCTGTACACAAGATTGTTAACAAAGTAAGTCTGTGTCACACCTGTACACAAGATTGTTAACAAAGTAAGTCTGTGTTACACCTGTACACAAGATTGTTAACAAAGTAAGTCTGTGTTACACCTGTACACAAGATTGTTAACAAAGTAAGTCTGTATCACACCTGTATACAGGAATGTTATAGAATGTATATAAGATATTGACAAATAGAGAAATTACCTAATGTATGTTTACAGCACTGAGCTCAAGTAAGTCATATTAATTAATCCATGTATTCAATACACTCAGCAAAACAAAGGTAATATATCATATTGAATACCACATAATTCTAGGTGATACATGAGATATGCCAGAAGTTTTGTAAAGAGGTGAAAGCAATCCATAGCCCAAGGACTAACTTTGATGTCAAAATTAATAAAGGGCTATAACTCTGGGTATTAAAATAAACTTTATCCTGTTTTTGTAAATGTAATCAAATTTCAGTCTATCATAACTTTTTTGAAAAAAAAAATAGTATAATGATGAATTGGTTTATAAACACAATCCAGAAAGTACAATTAGCACAAACATATGTTAGTGCAATACTTTGTGCAAAAACAAAAGCTAAAACAAGAGTATTGCAAAAAATATGTATGTTAATAGTATTCTTTTGCAAGTTTGTTGCATTGAAATTTTAATCCTTTTGAGATATGAAAACCTTTACATGCCTTATTTATTCTGTAATAAGTCCAAGGGACTTAACTTAGAAATTCTGATTTAATGTCAGGTAACTGGCTGATATCATAGACCAATAAAATAGCATTTGTTAGTAATTACATTGAACATCAATAAGTAATAGTTGGGCTTATTACCAGGCCTGGGCTTATTGTAGATAAATACCGTATCAATTCTTAGTATACCTTACCTGTCCATATTCCTCAGATAAAATCTCACGGCACCTGCACAAGACAATCAATGTAGTAAGGATGACATGTTTAATTCTGTACTTACAACACAGTGCCATTACAACATTTTACATAAACTAATAAAATCACGTTAACAACATATACTGCATTTTTAAATATTATTTCTGATTAGTAGGGCCATTTTGTCTTACTTATATAACATCAAACTCTGTGATTAAGTACATCTAGATATGACAATTATTTAGTGTTGAAATCTAAGGCTTAAATTGACTAAACAATACCAAATGATATTGATAGAATCTTACCAATGACACAAACTACTTACTCTTTAACAGACAAAGCATTATCTTTGTCTGAAATTCTTTCACTTCTTTTTCTATCTCTTGCCTGAAATCAAATGTAATCAATCTGTTGTATTTTAACTGATTTTGAAATATTTCAACAAATTTGATTACTGTGACCTTGAATATATGTCAAGGTCATTTGACAACATTGTTGGATTTTACCCCCCTAACCTAACTGTTACGGTATTTTCTGCAAAAAAATGCTGTTACTTTGTTGTCTTTAACATATTAGTGAATGTAATACGAAGAAAAAGAGATCCAACGTCCAAGAGGTAAGGCTGGTAAGTCCGGTATCACTCCACAGCGGATTCCCTGAGAGAATACCGAGTCCGGTACCAAAGGATATAATAGTGAATGTGTCAACATATTTGTTGACAAACAAATACCATAAATACCTCTCTTTAAAACCTAATATGGCTGAATACCTTTCATACACATATCAATGGTGTTGACAAAAACTATATAACTTGTATTTTCAGAAATAAATAGCACAACAGACAGTGATTACAAGATACATAATAAACTTTCTTGAAAACTCTTTGATGATATTTGATTTCATAAAATACATTATACTGAAAAGTTGTGCCCCATAGAGGGACCAGTAATATATATTTAATTATTGTTAAACATCTAAAATGACCACAACATTAATGTTATGGACCAAGCAAGCCTATTTCATAATCTCTGAGTTAAGTTAGGACCTAATATTATTACTTACCTGTGATGAGGTCACCTGATTAAAGGTGTCCAGTGGTTTTTCTATCACCAAGATTTTAAATGGCTTGTAGTCCTGAAAAAGAAATTAAAAAAAAAAATTCAATGATGATGTAAAGATAACATTAGCAATAGTATTCTGTTTTACTATTAAATGTTACAATATCAAAATTATCTTTATGGAGAAAATCTTATTGATAACCTTTTGATGACAGTTATATCAGCAATATTGTTTTAATGAAGCTCAGAGTTATGAAAATCCTACCTAATGACAGCTTTAGTAGGAACAATGTATCACAATCTCTAAAAAAAAATTTGTCCTTAAAAAGCATGTCTTATTGGTTGTGGTACAACAACATCAACTTTGATGTCAGAATGCATACAATTTATATACTGAGATCACTTACTTTTCTTCATAATGTCGTTCAATGTTATGTTACTGTATTGTTTTACTTGTGCAATGGTGAAAACATGTTTCTCCTCATCCTCAACTTAACTTTAATGTGAACATACAAAGAATAAGAGACCCAATACTTGGTGCATAAGTTCGGCAAGTTTGGCTGTCTCCCCAAGACGGATTCCGAAAAGGAATACTGAGTCTGGCTCCAAAGAGTGTAGAACAATAAGTAAATAGGACCAGATAACATCTTTGGTAGATTTCCAGTCAAAGGGCCTGTTTCCAGTAATGTTAATTCTCCATAGGAGCCTGACCCCGTATAATTTCTTATCTAGCTCAACTACTGTTTTTTTCATTTCCGAAAAATAATTTTACACCTTTCCGACACTCAGATTTCATAATTTCAGTGAAAATGTATTTTCACAAAGTTGTCAATTTCAGCATCAAAGACTTAAGTTTGTAAATAAAAGAAGGTTATCTCGAAATTGTAATTCGCAACATAGTATAAATTTCTTTTGATAAATATTTCCAAAACATTGTGTTTATTCCTAAAACATAAAAAAAATATATTCTCGGATGAAAATGCACTTGCAGAGACACAATTATGAAGAAAAATGTCATAAATTTGCAATTTTCTCCCGTTATATAGTTTTGGATGCAAATTTCCATCAGAAAATCATATAGAGCTTTACTTGTTTCATATGTGTACCAAAAATCAGCTAATTCCATGTGGTGGAACGTTCTCATATTGCCGCCTGAATGTGGTTGTAAATTGAAAGAAAAGGGGAAATGAGTAACAACCTTGTCTGAAACCCTATTATATAGCTTATTGTATACAAACTTTTATATTGAATATCAGAGCGGATATTTTCATGACAGTTTTATGATGTGTAACGACTAAACAAATAGTATCGATATAAAGATTTACACTGAGGACACCCTGATACATGAATACTGTTCTATCTCAAGCTGTCCTCTTCTGAATTTTTCTGGCCTTGTACATTTATCCGTATCTTCTTGTCTTTGTGTATACGTTTACGAAATCATTCACTCGACGCTAGCTATTCTTGTCTCAATTTCCTTGTTTTATTGTCCCATCTCCAAAGCGTTGTGGCTCTGTCAGGGTTGGGACCCTGACTTGTCTCACTTTCTTTGTGCCTGCCGACCACGCCACATCGAATAGATAGATTATCCATATGAAATACTTCATTTTGTTCTAAGTAATCAATCAATTCTGCGCTTCTTGGAGGTATTGAATGTGATTTATTATATTGTCTTGTTATTTTGTGTAATTAGTTGTTCGTTATTTATCACACATTTTCGCATAATTGTACTAAACTACTAAGTATTAGCTGTTTACAGCAATCATCGGTGGCTTGCTATTTTGTTATTTTATCGACGCTTCATAAACCAATCGTTATTGTTTCAAGATGGAGGGTAAATGTGTTGGAGAAGAGTGTCAAGTATACTTCAAGAAACGTAGTGGCAATAAGAACAGAAGTGCACGCAATGTAAATAGTCCACAATATAAATGGCTCCTAGATAGGCTGGTGCAACAAGGATTGATGTCAGCAAAAGAACAAGCATTTATTTGCCAGAAGTGCTACATGAAGTATCTTCGGAACAAAAATCAGCCTGAACCTGAACCCGAGCAGAACCAGGAAATAGAGGAAGAAGACGACTCCTCGTCCCATATCCTGCAGTTGCTGACCCTTCATGATCTTTTGAATGGATCATCTTCACACAAAAAATGCTGTCTCTGTCTTGTTACCTTTCCAAAAAATGGAACAAAATCATCAGTCTTACCAAAACGTGCAAGACATCACCTGATCTATTCACACAAACTGTGGTGTCCCACCTCATCCCGCGTCTGCTCCATTCACCTTATTGGTAACGACTTAGATCAATCTACAGAGGTTGTCCTTGATGGTGGATGTTCCTTGGAATCTCATTTACCATCAAAATCGTCCGAAATCATTAATGAACTCCTAGAGGTGTCGCACGTCCTTTCACAGAACCAGTCTGCGTTTACAATAAGCTTTTCTTCTCTTGATGACTCGGCATGCATGGCCTGGACAGGTTGGTCCAAAGATCAGTTCCTCGAAATCCACTCGCACTGTTCCCCATATCTTTCATCTGGTATATATACCAAGACTACACACGATGCACTATTACTGTTCTGGGTAAAACTGAAAACCGACATTTCCTGGAGTCAGTGTTCTTCTCTTTTTGGAATTTCCAAGTCAATTTTGGAGATGGCACCTATATTTATATCCAGAAAAGCAACCACAAGCTCCAGAGAATGTCCTACTGTGGCCAGAAGAAGAGAAACTATGTCAAATTCATGAGCATCGCCTTACCAGATGGCTACATTCTGGACACCGTAGGACCATTCACTGGCAGCAAAAATGATGCTACAATTACAAAAAAAGTCATGGACAAGCTAGTTACTTGGCTACAACCAGACGACAACGTTGTCGTTGACCGAGGTTTTAGAGATGTCCTATCAGTTCTCGAAGCCTCTGGCCTCAATGCTAGCATGCCGTCATACCTGAAACCTGGTCAAAGTCAACATTCTGATGTCCAAGCAAATCTTGACAGAACTATCACCAAATCGAGGTGGATTGTGGAATCCTATCATGGTTGTCTGAAACACTGGACGTTCTTCCGAATGCAATTGGTGTCTAACAGCTTTATCAATGTCATTGAGGCTTTGCTTCGAACCGTCACAGCCTGTCTGAATGGTATTGGAGGACCGATCTACCAGAGATCTCCAGAGAGAGATGCCAAAGATAGGCTAATGGCTGAACGTATGAAGGACCGTTTGACAACACCGAATGGTTTAGCTCAGAGAGTCAAGATAGATCCGGATCTATCTAGACGGGAAAGGTCCGAGTTTGCCAAGATGGGTGCATCTTCCGTACTGTTTCCCCGTCTCGATCTTGATTACTTGAGAACCATTACGTGTGGAACATATCAGATATCTCTGGCTCCTGGTTACATCGCCGAACATTTAAGTGATGACGGCGACTATGAGGTGTGGCTTTACCAGCACTCCCCAGACCTTCTCCGATGTCAAATACATTCTCGACACAAAAGCCAAACGAAATATAACGTTTGGATACGGTTCACTGTTTCACCCGATGTTGAGGCCCCAATAAAGGACTACTACTGCCAGTGCCCAGTTGGAGAGAGAACGATGAGAATGTGTGCGCACATCTCCAGTATCTTGTACTACCTTGGGAATTACAGGACGCTGGAAAACCCTCGACCATTACAACCACAGGTAAAGAAATTCTGACAAAACTTGAAATAGTTTTCCATGTGGCAACGAAGTGCATATGTCGAAAGTATGTTTGGGGCTCGATATGAAAGATCCCCGTTACCATGTGACTAACCAAACTTATAAATATAGGTATTATACAATCGCCCATGGCTATGAACACTCCCGTAAATGCGAAAACCAACCAAAATCATAAGGAACACGTTTTGTTTGTTGTTCTGTCTATTTGTCAGCCAATGTCTTCAACCACGGGGACTTGTGAAGTAGCCATCTTGGATTTTTTATGAAAAAGTGTTTCTCTCACTTTTTTTCATATCTGTGTACATATTCTCAACATACCGAGCAAATACTCTCATTTTTTTGTTAATTATCTAAAGAAAGTCAAAAATCGGCAATTCAACCATAGGCTAATTCAACCCAACATTTGAAAATGTTCCACCACTTACATTTTGATGATTTTTCCTCTCATCAATAGCATATTACGTACTATTTAATAGGATAAAAATCGGTTTGCATCCAACGCCCATAAAAGGGTGTATTCTCTAAAAAACACAGTTTTTGTGTCTAAAATGTTATCATCGAAAATGGCATTTTTGAGATTGTTTCTTCCATAAAACAGCCAAATGGCGCGATGGAAACATGATTTTTTGTCACAATCATGCCATGAATGTATTCTTTACGGTGACTATCATTTGATTAGATTTTCATTAATATTTTACATAACATGCACATTTTATCAACACTTAGACAGCTTCTGAAAGGTACAACTTTGAGGAGCCATAAAAAACAAACCAAGTGACCTAAATCTTTATACTTTATAGATTTGTGACCACAACGGCATGGGCAATGCACCACCAACAGGAAATTTGAATCAGAGAAGGGGCCGTTTTGGAAACCGGCCCTTTAATAGTTTACATGTTTCGGCATGCTATGAATGCCTTCCTCAGAACAGGGTAAATTTGTGAATAACATGTGTAGTTGCTATACATAGGCAGTATATAAAGTCCTGTATTTTGAATTTACTCTGTTCTGAGGAGGGCATACCTAGTATGCCGGAACATGTAAACTATTAAATTTGACTGGAAATCTTCCTAGTTCTATTTACTTGTTGTTTAATGTGAACATGATGGTCAATCTTACCTTGTTATAGCCAAGTTCTTCGCTCAGTATCTTCACTTTATATGGACAGGAGAATCCTACAGAAAGAGCGCAACATTATATAGAAACTAGACGGAGTATAGAAAAACAAATAAGACAAACATTTAATGTCCCTTTTCTATGTTACACAGGTATAACAAGTGTAAATACAGTTTTAGAAATATCAACACAAGGAATTAGCAGAATTATATTTATTGGTAAAAGAATTCAATACTGGATCTACTTTAAAAGTATTAGCTATAGCTCACCATCACCAGTTCGAAGCTCTTTTCCATTTTCTTCTAGATGTACAATTCTGTCACTGGACTTGAGCGTCAGAAATTCACTGTTACAGAGAAGTAAATGTCGCACTAAATATATATATCTAAAAAAATAAAGATATGAACTAATGTTGTCCAAACAGATATTCTCGTGAACTAAATAATCTCACTGAATGATACTCTTTATTACTAACAATGATACCATCCCTCTGAAGCATATTCTTTTTTATTACCAGTCTATTCTTGCCACACCATATAAGCTTTATATACAGGTGACTCATGTAAAAGCTATTTTCTCAGTATTACAATGATCATTATGTCAAGCAAATGATATTTCTGTACCTTTTGAAATATGGAGATGGCCTCAATATGTGAGTTTCTGAAAAATGAAAGACAAAATTTTAAATGTTAATTTGAGGTAAGTGATTGATGTATATGTTGATCAGGGATGTTCTACCAAATTCTAAATTTCACATAAAACTGCTATACACCAACCGGTCCTGATTCAATATACAATTCAGGTATACTGTTAAATGATCCTCATATAAATATCAAATATGTTGTGAATGTAGGTCGTGAGCTCTCAGTCCTTACTGTATTGCTTCATATCAACTCACCACGAAAGTGATGAGCCACAGTATGTAAACAAAAATAATGTGCCACAGTATGTAAACTAAACGAAAGTGATGTGCCACAGTATGTAAACAAAAATAATGTGCCACAGTATGTAAACAAAAGTGATGTGCAACAGTATGTAAATGAAAGTGATGTGCCACAGAATGTAAATGAAAGTGATGTGCCACAGTATGTAAATGAAAGTGATGTGCCACACTATGTAAATGAAAGTGATGTGCCACACTATGTAAATGAAAGTGATGTGCCACACTATGTAAATGAAAGTGATGTGCCACAGTATGTAAACGAAAGTGGTCTGCCACAGTATGTAAATGAAAGTGATGTGCCACAGTATGTAAATGAAAGTGATGTGCCACACTATGTAAATGAAAGTGATGTGCCACACTATGTAAATGAAACTGATGTGCCACAGTTTGTAAATGAAAGTGATGTGCCACAGTATGTAAATGAAAGTGATGTGCCACAGTATGTAAATGAAAGTGATGTGCCACAGTATGTAAATGAAAGTGATGTGCCAAAGTATGTAAACGAAAGTGATGTGCCACAGTATGTAAATGAAAGTGATGTGCCACAGTATGTAAATGAAAGTGATGTGCCACACTATGTAAATGAAAGTGATGTGCCACACTATGTAAATGAAACTGATGTGCCACAGTTTGTAAATGAAAGTGATGTGCCACAGTATGTAAATGAAAGTGATGTGCCACACTATGTAAATGAAAGTGATGTGCCACAGTATGTAACAACACTGAGTGTGTGTGGCACATCACTCACTGTAGTGTAGTATACATTAGACAAGCTGAGATAGAAATGGACGTTTGCACTTTGTTATAGTCTGATCATACACTACACATGCCATTAAGGCAAATATCTTCTGAAAAGGAATACTGAGTCTGGCTCCAAAGAGAGTAGAACAATAAGCAAATAGGACCAGATAACATCTTTGGTAGATTTCTAGTTGAATTAAATAGTTTACACTGACGTCGTTGTAACCAGTGTACTATCTATGACGTCCAATGTGAATAACATGTGTAGTTGCTACGCATAGGCAGTATATAAAGTCCTGTATTTTGAATTTACTCTGTTCTGAGGATGACATACCTAGTATGCCGAAACATATAAACTATTAAATTTGACTGGAACCCTACCTAAGGTGTTGTCTGGTCCTATTTACTTAACATTTTCAAAATTGATAATACACAATGTATTGTCATATATTTTCCAGACATACAGTATAAACTGGGTAATAGTTAATATGACCTATATACAGGTATGTACAATAAATGACAAACTTCGGTGAAAAAGCATATGGAGACCTACCTACAAACATTTTTGAGATGTTGATGTTACTGAGAGAAGACTGTTGGGGGATACAGACAGTGTAACATCTCTCCTGGGCTGCTTCATACACATCTAGGTAAGCAGTCTGTAACATTACCAAACACACACCACATTTTAACAGTGGGGATCCCCTACTTCTAAAAATAGCAATTTAACTTCATGTTAATTATATAATTTCCTTAAGAACTTTTTCTATTACATATTACAGAGTATGTCCAGTTGATATATGTTAAATGCTGACCGACATTGTAATCGCAAAATATTTTGTTTTGTACAACGATCGGTACATTATTTCTAACAGAAAAAATTCTGATATGCTATTTTAACAGAACATCTTTAAATGTAACTGTGCTACAATACCATAACTAATATGAAAAAATAAGTTATATATTCTGGGAAATGTTTTCATCAATATTTTCAGCAAATTACCAAATACTGTAAATAGAATTTATATGAGAGGTGCATATGCCTACATGATCACTGGACTATAATGACTTACAGCAGGGAGACAATGATTGTCTTTTTAACATTGACATCACTTTTAGCAAAATCCCACTAAAATCTATTTTTACAAGACAGAAGTTTTAACGAGTAGTCCTAAAATAGTGGTCATGCATTAATTAGCAACTTATCAATTAGACATTTAATGCTTATTGTTGTCTCCCTCATAAGGCTCTGTCCCGTTGGCCAAAGGACCAACAATTCTACTAATACAAAACATTTCAGTTCTTTGTTTTGATGTTTCAGACAAAACTTGTTTAGAATCCAATCAATTGTTCAGCATGATGAATGTTTTGTCTCAATTTCCCTTATCAGCCATCCCCACCTGTGACCCTGTGCCAAATTGATGCATTAGACTACATGTAAACCTTCAGGAAGAGTTTGATGTCAAAATAACAGCCTAACATCCTTTTTTGGGTCTTGCAATAGGTATGATAATGTAACCCTGGTAAATACTAGCCACAATATTCCATTCAGCATGAGAGAACTTCTCTTTGGCTCAATCAGGGACTAAGGAATAATATGTAGCCCTGCCCAATAAGCATCGCTGTACTGTAACTCCTGGAAAACTCAAGTTTTCTCTTGGAGGAGTATGTCACCATGGTAAATAACTAGCCATGATATACTGATTGAATATACTGAACTTCTCTTTAGCTTGATCAGTTGAATGCCAGACTGGTAAACCAGAAGTCCCAGGTTTGAATCCTAGCAGATGCATTGAAATAAACAATTCCTTTCGTTACTTCCAGATGAGACAGTACAAACGATTTTTACTGAATTTTTAATAAAAGATTATCATTGATTCTATTCACTCCTGGTGTTTTTATTGTAACAATACTTATTGTTTTTATTGAAAACCCCAGCATCTACTGATTTAGACGTAACTTCAAAAAATGATCATTTTGGCTCTACTGTATCTTACTCTGTTACCTACCTTTTAGAACTGTATCAGATGGTGTCATTCCTTTTACTCATCTGTCTTTTGGTCAATCTTTAATTAAATTAGACTTTCAAGAGACATGTTTGAATTTGGAAAAGGGAAGCAAAATGTAGCAATTAACAAAATCCATTTCACACATGAGAAGTTGTGTACTGGGCAGTGTTGGTAGATTTAGGAATATTTATACAGAAGCTGTATCGAACAATTACTGTCGATCAGTCTGACCGTCTGATCTGAGATTAGGTTTATACATGATAATCTACGTGATTAATGTGTTAAAATGTTTTACCTGAAGAAATCGGAAGAACTTGTTAATGTCTAGCTCATCTGTATCCGTCATCACGTTCAACTAAGATCAGAACCCTAAACAGACGATCCTCCTTCACTCTCTCATATGACAGGTAATGCAATTAAATTTACATGGGTAAAGTCAGAAATGTTCCGTATAGTGCTACATGGCGTGTAAAACTCCAAGGACATTCCGATATTTACCTTCATCCGGGGACTTTCAAGATGGTTGCGTTCTATAGAACCAAAATTCTAACTGTCGATTTATGAAGCAATGTAGGTAAAACCAGTACAATTATTTGAATGTTTGGCGTAGACAATAAGCATTTATAAGATTTCCATAACATGCATTTAAAAACATTGTGAATATTGCTTCATTGTAGATGTAATAGCAATCTCTGAACTTAACAAACCCCCCCCTCCTACAACAATCAAACTATTTTGTTCTTCTGGCATGTATGTAGTATGCATAATTCTTTCGCTTAATGTGTCATGTGTGCTGATTACACATATAGAACTATGAAATAATCCATGAAACATACAGCGTGGTATAGCGTTATGACTGGTATGGACCCTAGTTGCTGGTAATGTGATTGGAAGAAAATAAACAGGGAAATGTCAACTGATGACGAATCCTTTAATTAAAACTAGTACTTCTGCAGCAGCAGGCTCCATTTCTACTTCAGTGGAAAGAATATTACAGAATTCTGCTACTCTCCTAAATGTTACCATTGGACAGGAGGTCCCAATGGACATACATGTCTAAAACAAGCAAGCAACCTTTAATAGTTAGAAAGGGGATATTTTGGCCTTGTTTAATTCCAGAAAGCTGATTGCTTTTCAAAACTTAAAGGAAGTAATTGTTATATAGGAAAAAACACTGATTATGAGTCGATCATGACAAACGTTTTGTTTTGTATTTGTCCCAATGTTTTAGTTTCATACAAGATATAAATGAGTTTAAAGGTGTGTAAAAGTCTAGTACAGGACACTTGGGTGGTCAATTCAGTAATACAAGTATGCCCATAACATTGTCAGAATTGCAACATTACAGCTACTTATCTGAAATTTATCAGAATGAAATTCAGATATCATTAAGTTTAGTTTGTTCTATCTTTATAATTAATTAGCAATTCATGAGCTCGCTTGGCTTTGACATCCATATATGTTCTGAAATGAAGTAATTTTTAGTTGGGTCATGTGTACACATGACCAGTTACTTAGGCTAAGATTGACCTGTCCAGAAGGGTTATTACTTAAAACTTGTAACATTTTTCACAATTGTGATGAGTTCCAATATAAAGTGAGTCCTCAAGATATAGGTGATGCCAACAGGAAAAGTATGAATCAAGGATTGTAATGTTCGAGGCCCAAAAATCATGCACTCAGAAAAGTGTAGTAAATTTGTCTGCCAGATGACAAAGGTCACATATTGGCAATAAGAGATTTTGTTTGTGTCAATACTAGTCGTAATATTCATATTATTACTGGGTAATTTGCTGATAGACAGTAAATGCCCATTCAGATTAGGATCCACTTATCATAGTGAGGAATCTTTTTGAAAGATCAACAGGCTTTGTTGAAGGATATTTTGATATAGCTCATACCTGACATGTGATCGTCAGTACAAGGTCTGGTATGTGTCCAGTGCAAGGGCAGATGTATGATATGCAGTGCAAGATCGGACATGTGGTCTGCAGTACAAGGTTTGATGTGTTGTCTGCAGTACAAGGTCTGACATGTGGTCTGCAGTACAAGGTCTGATGTGTGGTCTGGCAGCACAAGGTCCATGGTGTGGTCTGCAGTACTGACATGTGGTCTGCAGTACAAGGTTTGACATGTTGTACGCAGTACAAGGTCTGACGTGGTCTGCAGTACAAGGTCTGACATGTAGTCTGCAGTACAAGGTCTGACATGTGGTCTGCAGTACAAGGTCTGACATGTGTCCAGTGCAAGGGCTTATGTATGATATGCAGTGCAAGATCTGACATGTGGTCTGCAGTACAAAATATGACGTGTTGTCTTCAGTACAAGGTCTGACATGTGGTCTGCAGTACAAGGTATGACATGTTGTCTGCAGTACAAGGTCTGACATGTGGTCTGCAGTACAAGGTCTGACATGTGGTCTGCAGTACAAGGTCTGATGTGTGGTCTTGCAGCACAAGGTCCATTGTGTGGTCTGCAGTACAAGGTTTTGTTTTGTCCCTGTCCTTCTGCCTATTGTTTTGGGATGCTGATACTTTGATACATCTCACAGAGGTTCTTCAGGAATATAAACATTAAAATTTCAGAGTGAATCTAGCATTTTAGCAAATTTTTTGTATGTGTGGGACTTCACCTTTTTCTTAAGTAAAAATGTTCAAGGGAGGCATTTGGTTTTAAAACATTTTGAATTAGTTACCATTCAGTCACTGAATAATTGTTTAAGGATGTCTGTTGAATCTAGAATTGAGAGTTTCTTGAGTGGTTCAACATTGATTTTTTTTCTGTAATTTTCGACATATTTGGGACCTTAGACACCATTATGTAAATGATTTCAGTACAATAGTTCCCAAGGGTTGGTAGGGGACATGTTTGGGACCTAAGACACCATTATGTAAATGATTTCAGTACAATAGTTCCCAAGGGTTGGTAGGGGACATGTTTGGGACCTAAGACACCATTATGTAAATGATTTCAGTACAATAGTTCCCAAGGGTTGGTAGGGGACATGTTTGGGACCTAAGACACCATTATGTAAATTATTTCAGTACAATAGTTCCCAAGGGTTGGTAGGGGACATGTTTGGGACCTAAGACACCATTATGTAAATGATTTTAGTACAATAGTTCCCAAGGGTTGGTAGGGGACATATTTGGGACCTAAGACACCATCATATAAATTATTTCAGTACAATAGTTCCCAAGGGTTGGTAGGGGACGTATTTGGGACCTAAGACACCATTATATAAATGATTTCAGTGTAATATTTCCCAGGGGTTGGTAGGGGACATGTTTGGGACTTTAGACACCATTACATAAATGATTTCAGTGTAATATTTCCCAAGGGTTGGTAGGGGACATATTTGGGACCTAAGACACCATTATGTAAATGATTTCAGTACAATAGTTCCCAAGGGTTGGTAGGGGACATATTTGGGACCTAAGACACCATTATATAAATGATTTCAGTGTAATATTTCCCAGGGGTTGGTAGGGGACATGTTTGGGACTTTAGACACCATTACATAAATGATTTCAGTGTAATATTTCCCAGGGGTAGGGGACATGTTTGGGACCTAAGACACCATTATATAAATGATTTCAGTGTAATATTTCCCAAGGGTTGGTAGGGGATATGTTTGGGACTTTGGACACCATTATATAAATGATTTCAGTGTAATATTTCCCAGGGGTTGGTGAGGACATGTTTTGCTTTAGTACTTGATCCATAATTATTACATTTATTATGATGAATAACAAAATCATTTTGGTTTAAGTATGTAATCAAAGAGATTGATGTGACATTAATTAAAAAGACAACAAATAATCTAAGATATTTGTAGTTAATTGTATCGGATGAAATATTTTTTAATCCAAAAAAAGTGTGTTAATCACATTTTCAAGTTGCATATAGATTCAAGCAAAATAATCAAAATTTTAAGTTTCATCAATAGATACTAAGAAATATACGTATTCAAGAATCCGTGCTTGTAGAAGTTATCATACTGCCTGATTATTAACTGCTCTCTGTATACTGAAGAACATATCGTTAAATACACGTTTGTAAGGATTATATCGGGTGCAACTTGTTTTGGGATAATGTCATGCATTGTAGCTCCTTGTTGAAATTAGTATTGTTTGTTTCAGAATCTATAAGGGTACATTTGTAAGCCACCATGGCGACCAAGCGGCCTGCCGAGGATCAGGCCGCAGGTTCTGGTGGTCCTCCAGCCAAAAAATCCATGACAAGGTTTGATCCTGTCAGTATTGGAAGAGTTTATAATCTGGTGAGTATACCTGTAGCCCAAATGTACGACTCTTTAATGCTCTTCAGTTTTATTTACAGGGTAATTGTTTTTCTGTAATGAATCATTAGAAATTATTTACCATGGCATGGCATTGCTATGATATAACCTTGTCAATGTTAGTTGTGTATTTCCAGCTCATTAACGGCCAACAGCATAGGGATATTACTAGTAATGTAAGCACATTGAAGTTTTCCTCCCTCATGATGAGATAGAAATTCAAATGGTTAATATTAGCATTGAATTGCTTTCAGTTGACATTCATGTGCTTGAAATGCCAACTGGAAAAATGTAAATTCATTATGAAGCATTAACGTGCTTCATTGAATTTGCCCTTATTGTGTCAGCATTCATTTGCCCATGAATGCCAACTGAAAGCAATTTGGTGCTTAAATAAAAATTATAATCTGGTTCAATTGCTACTCTGATTCTTCCTGTTGGATAATGTTTCCTGACTGTCTTTATTAAACATTATTTTTTTTCTCCAATTTCTCAGTTCTTGGCCAGTTCTTTTCTAACACATTTTCATCATTAAGACGGTTATTGAAAGGTGCTGGTCTGTAAATGCCTGATACATGATATAACAGATTGCCTGAAATATAACTGAGAATCTGATACGTATTGTATAAATTCATTAATATCTGATGCATGTCTTTGTTGTCAGTTTCTTGGATGATATTTCTCTAAATTGTTTGGAATTATTAAAATGAAATGTATTGACTATGTTTTATTGTTTACAGGAGGAGCTTGACATGAAAGTACTTAAGTTCCAGAATAAGAAATTAGTGGAAAGGATTGAGCTTCGTCGACGTGCAGAAGATGAGCTGAGGAAAAGGATTGATCAGCTTGAAAACCGTCAGCGCACTGATGATGCTGTACTTATGATAGTCAATAGATACTGGAATCTGGTGAGTTTAAAGGATGTCGTAGGTCTAGGATTTTACTTGATTGTGTTAAGATCATAAATCAGAACCACAGAATTTTAATCCTTGACTGATGTGTCCAAGTGCAGATGCATCTGTATGCTGTAAATCTTTAGGAAGCAAATATACTCAAGATTTTGTTTGATTCAGTTGTCTTAAAGTTGAATACTTAACTCAAGATTGATGTGTTGTGATGACACCAATAACACAAAAAAGTAGTTTTTTGTGGACCCATCATTGTTGTACATACATGTCCTTAGACAATTTTTGTTCCCGTTATTCCTGTACCTCAAGAGTTATCTTTCTTGTTACTCCTGTACTTCAGAGTTATCTTTCTTGTTACTCTTGTACCTCAGGGTTATCTTTTTTGTTACTTCTGTACTTCAGGGTTATCTTTCTTGCTACTCCTGTACCTCAGAGTTATCTTTCTTGCTACTCTTGAACCTCAGAGTTATCTTTTTTGTTACTTCTGTACTTCAGGGTTATCTTTCTTGCTACTCCTGTACCTCAGGGTTATCTTTCTTGTTACTCCTGTACTTCAGAGTTATCTTTCTTGCTACTCCTGTACTTCAGAGTTATCTTTCTTGTTACTCCTGTACTTCAGAGTTATCTTTCTCGTTACTCTTGTACTGCGGAGTTATCTTTCTCGTTACTCCTGTACTGCGGAGTTATCTTTCTTGTTACTCCTGTACCTCAGGGTTATCTTTCTTGTTACTCCTGTACCTCTGAGTTATCTTTCTTGTTACTCCTGTACTTCAGAGTTATCTTTCTTGCTACTCCTGTACCTCAGGGTTATCTTTCTTGTTACTCATGTACCTCAGGGTTATCAAAGGAATTTTCATGGTCCCTCGATCCTCGATTTGTCATTTTTAATTTTGAATCCACACTTCACATCTTCACACGAAAGGACTATTTCAAAGTGCTATATAAATTCTTGAACTATTTATAACATGATGTTTGTGTTACATATGATTTGGACTAAAGACCACAAAAGTACAACCGGGTCACCCAGTAAAAACAAACAATAGAGAACACAAGTTAACACATACAGTTACACATCAAACTAACTTAAAACTTATTAAGATATTACTAAATGTATAGTGGTCTTAGCCAAGATCAGGAAAAAATTTTCAATGAAGTTTTTATGATGCTTTATGTTAATAGTGATAGTGGGCTACTCCAGGAAGTACTTCTCTATCATTTTGATTGTATTTATATAATGAATTTACATTTATCGCTCTGCTTTCATGATTTGTCTTTTCAGCTTGATGAAGATGCTCGTGTCTTATTGCAGAGGTTTGATGCAGAGACAGCTGATGAAACGGAGACTAAAAGTAAAGAAATCTATTTGAAATGTTGCATACCTTACAGTTATATATCAGGATCATATTTTTATTCTTCGGTTTATTTTTATATTTCAGGGTTACTGCAATGCTTGCCCTTGTATTTTGAAACTGTCAGTACAGTTTACCCTTAAAAATGTATGCATGTACTTAAAGGTTACAGTACATATGTACTTCAGGGTTACAGTATATATGTACTTAAAGGTTACAGTACATATGTACTTCAGGGTTACAGTATATATGTACTTCAGGGTTACAGTATATATGTACTTCAGGGTTACAGTATATATGTACTTCAGGGTTACAGTATATATGTACTTCAGGGTTACAGTGTATATACACTTAAGGTTTCTGTACATGTTACAGTATATATATGTACTTCAGGGTTACAGTATATATGTACTTCAGGGTTACAGTATACATGTACTTCAGTGTTACAGTATACATGTACTTCAGGGTAACAGTATCTATGTACTTCAGGGTTACAGTATATATGTACTACAGGTTTTTGTATATGTACTTCAGGGTTACAGTATATATGTACTTCAGGGTTACAGTATATATACACTTAAGGTTTCTGTACATGTACTGCAGGGTTACAGTATATATGTACTTCAGGGTTACAGTATATATACACTTAAGGTTTCTGTACATGTACTGCAGGGTTATAGTATATATGTACTTCAGGGTTACAGTATATATGTACTTCAGGTTTTTGTGTATGTACTTCAGGGTTACAGTATATATACACTTAAGGTTTCTGTACATGTACTGCAGGGTTATAGTATATATGTACTTCAGGGTTACAGTATATATACACTTAAGGTTTCTGTACATGTACTGCAGGGTTATAGTATATATGTCAATATGTACTTTATAATTAATGTATGTGTGCCACAGAATTAATGTTAATGTACCTAAGATCTACAGTATATATGTGTACCAGAATTTTGCACTTTATGAATTAGATCGAAATATAGTATGATATCAATATAGAAACGAAAGGAAATAAGCAACAGCTTTTTATCTTCCTTATTTTTTAACTTTGGTAGTATTACTACAGATTGATGTTTATGTATCATTGGTGTCTGTATCTATTGTTAGATGAAAGTGATGCTACAACAGCATTCCTTACCCTGCTATCTACGTGGGATAAACAGGAACTAGAGCAAAGGCTCGGCCAGCGAGTAGAGTTCTCGAAACGTGCCATTGGCAAGCTGCTGCAAGCCTTTGATAGACTTCTTCAGAGAAATGAGAAACTCAACAAGGCAATCCAGGACAAGGTGGAAACCGAGGCCAAGGCTCATGAAATGGCTGCAGTTGCAAAGGAGATCACAGAAGTCAAAATTGAACCTGAGGTCATCGATATAAAGAAAGAGGTGACCGAACCTGTCAAAGTGGAAGGGTCAGAGGTTAAGACAGAAGCTGAGCAAGGGGCTGGTAAATATGATTTTACGATATTTACATTGATGACAGATTTCATATTTGTAACTTTAAACAGAAACAATATAATTTAATCTTTGTATGAAGATATTTTAGATTTGAATATAACTGAGTTATAAAACAGGAACCAATGATAAGCAACTCAAGTACTTATGTAATCTTGCCAGATTGAAAATTGATAACCATTTTGTGAATCAGAGTTACAAATTCATGTGAGAAAATTCAGGAGTTGAGTATTTACTATTGCTATTGAACGTTTTCATTCATATTTCTAATAAGTACATGTGAATGAGATTTTTCCGTTTCTAGGTGATGTACTTCCAGCAGCTAGTGTAACAGAAGAGGGGGAGACTGAGGAAATCAAACCAGAGACGACTGAAGTAAAGGAGGAAACCGATGTGGAGGTGAAGGAAGAGGCTGTAGAAGAAATGAAGGAGGAGGTGCCTGAGGAAGAGGATGTTCTCTCTCTCCGTGATGTAGTACAGAATGAACTGGTGGTCTTACAACAGGAAAACAAACAGATACACAACATGGTCACGCACCTCCACGCCCGTCACCATGAACACACACTCAAGGTCAGAATCCAAAGTTATTGGAATAAATCTACATTCACCAAACAACTCATAATTTATTATGGTATTGTTATAGATGGTCTATTGTACTTTTCTTTGTCATAGGTGTCGGAGCTACAGGACAAGCTGACAGCAGCAGAAACAGAAATAGCTGAATTGAAAAATAAAATGGATGACCTGGAGTACAACTTTGAAAAGGCTGACTCACGGGCTGAGAAGCTGGATAGACACTTGGCAGATGCTTGCCAGAAACTGCAGAGCTATCAGGATACCACCACAATTATACCTGTGGAGGGTGGCAAAAGTATCACTGGAGTTTCCAAAAATAAGGTACATCATCTTTTTATAAACCAAAATTAAGGTTTATCATATCTATAACAACCAAAAATAAGGTTTATCATCTTTATATTAACCAAAAATAAGGTTTATCATCTTTATATTAACCAAAAATAAGGTTTATCATATCTATAACAACCAAAAATAAGGTTTATCATCTTTATATTAACCAAAAATAAGGTTTATCATCTTTATATTAACCAAAAATAAGATTTATCATATTTATATTATATTAACTAAAATTAAGGTTTATTATCTTTAAATTAACCAAAAATAAGGTACTTACGTAATCTTTAAATCATATTAACCAAAAATAAGGTACTAACATTATTTTTCCATCAACTAAGAATGAACATACTTGATATTAACATCAACCAAATAAGGTACTTACATCATTTACACGTTACATCATATATAAGCACTACCCAAGGGCTTCAATTTCACTCTTCCAAATTTTTGTTGTCCTGAAATTTGATCTGACTTCTTACTTTCAAAAGACATGTGGTTCTTTGATAATAGCTTTGACTCTCCACGCTCGGAGCAAAACACAATTAAACTCTTGATAGTCCAAAATTAGATGTAAACAGTGTAATTTGTCTCTATACTAATTATCCCTAAATTCTTACAACATCTCCATCATTACTACAGTCCTGACTTCCCTGGGTTGTTTAATTACTTTTACTGTTTGTTTCCATGTAGTTTGATGAGATTATACAAGACTTGGAGGAACAAAGAGAGCTTGCTACAAACAGGATGACAGAGCTTGAGAAACTCAGCAAAGAGCATCAGGAGGCTTTAACAGAAATAGAAAAATTGAAAATGGATGTAAGTTGCAAAATCTTGGCTGCTAGGAAAGTAGTGTACCATTTATTTCTGTACACTCTTTCTTTGTACTGAAGAACCTTAATTGCCCCCAAGTCTTTCTGGTTAAAATCTATCAGCTAAAATATGAGTATTAGTAAAACTGATGAACACTCTGAAAAGAGCTGTATTGGACATAAAATTTGAACAAAGGGTGATCATTTTATCATCAAGGGGTTGCAGACCCAGACTTTGATACACTGTACATCCTCTTAGCATGAACAATGTATACTCCAAGTTTCATTATCTTAGTTTTAATGCAAGCAATGATATGCTCATGGCACAAAGTTTGGACATTGATCCTTGCTTAACTGTGAACAAAGTTATGCTCCAAACACAAAAGGATAGACAAACAGTAAACGAGCAGCGACCATATGCTCCCTGGAAAAATTGATTTTCAGGGAGCATAAAAATTAAGATTGAAAAGGATAGATATTTAGACAATATCATCTGAATTATCTTGTATCTGAACGTTCAGTGACTAGCACCAATACAGGATTAGGTATAGGGGATCTCAGGCAGATAAAGCTAATCAGTGACCTGGCCACCACAACATGTTAGATATCTGTTCTTTTCTTTAGTAATATGTTGTCTATTTAATGTCTCTACGTTTACTATAGTTATTTTGTCAAAACAAACATAAGAGTATTTTGTTCTTCTTTTAGATTCATGTTTGTCTATAAACTTGTATGCTGTTTTAGAAAATTTTCATATTGGTCCAATAACCAAAGAAAGTAGTATTGTGTTTGTAACTAGCTTCATCTCCACAGCTCCAACACCTTCCTGAGAGTGTGATCGTGGAAACAACAGAATATAAGTGTTTGCAGTCACAGTACTCGGTTCTCTACAATGACAACATGCAGTTCCGTACTCAGATAGAAGAGTCGAGTAGTCGATTACAGAACAGTAAAAACACCCACCTGCGACACTTGGAACAGATGGAGGTAAGTGCTACTTACAGCTGTGTCAGCAATTTTAACTCTACTGTCCTTCATCTTGTTTAACATTATTTATGTTAGTATAGTCATTTCTGATGAAAGTTTCTGCAAAATATTGAGAAACTGTGTTGTTTGCTTGGGTCTACAACAGAAAAACTCCAGTACATATGTCCCATGGGATTTATATAGGGTGGAATCCTGATGGAGGAGAAAGGAAGCTTTTGATGCTTTGATTTCTAGTCTTACATGGTGCCTATATAAAAAATGTTGTCCATTGAAGTTAATTTAGACTTCTTTGTGTAAGTTTCTAGATATTTAGATTCACTATGATTTTGCAAGTCAGCGCTGTAAACAAATATTGAGCAATGAATTAAATATGCATCATGTGCAAATTAAAGGTTGAAAATACACTGAATGATACCAGAATGCAATTTCAATTGTGAAGGAAAACTTATCAAATGGTCTCTATTGCAGAGTGATGAGCTTGGTGGGCAGAAGAAGCTTAGGGGAGAATGTATACAGCTAGAGGATGCTCTGGCACAGGTCAGGAAGGAGTATGAGATGTTAAGGATTGAGTTTGAACAAACCCTAGCACAGAATGAACAGACAGGTAATTCATCTGATTCAGATCCCAAATGGTTCAAGTTATTATTTCTTATTGTGAAAAAAAAACCTTGATATAAATGGGAAGAGATTTGAATTTTGAAAAAAAAAAATAGAAAAAAAATGAAGTTAGAAATAGATATTTTATGTAGATAGTGTTTCTTGTGTAGTGAAGGACTAATGGCATTTGGATAATTTTCTTTGATTGTAGGTCCGATTAACCATGAGATGAGAAATTTGATCCAAAGTTTACAGAAACACAATCAGCAGCTCAAATCTGAATCCGGCAGGTACCGACGAAGGGCAAAAGAGGCACAAGCAGAAAGTGCCAAGGTAGATAAACAATAACATGATTTCTGACTCTAACAAAAGGTACAGGGCCTCAGTCACATGACTTCTGACTATAACAAAAGGTACAGGGCCTCAGTCACATGACTTCTGACTCTAACAAAAGGTACAGGGCCTCAGTCACATGACTTCTGACTCTAACAAAAGGCACAGAGCCTCAGTCACATGACTTCTCACTCAAACAAAAGGCACAGGGCCTCGGTCACATGACTTCTCACTCTAACCAAAGACACCATGCCTCAGTCACATGACTTCTCACTTTAGCAAAAAGTACAGGACCTTGATCACATGACTTCTCACTCTAACCAAAGACACCATGCCTCAGTCACATGACTTCTCACCCTCACAAAAGACAACATGCCTCAGTCACATGACTTCTCACCCTCACAAAAGACACTGGGCCTCAGTCACATAACTTCTCACTCTTATGAAAGACATTGGGCCTCATTCACATGACATAAGTCACAAGGCCTTTGTAATAAGACTTCTCACTCTGTATTTTTTAGTGGTCACTTACTGGTTGAATTTCGGTTTTTAATATGTTATACTTTTCTCTTTAATATTTAGTTCAAAGCAGAACTTGCAGCCAATGAACAAAAGCCAAGTAATAATGGGACAGGTGAAAATTCAGGGGCTGCAAGTGCTCACAGTAATTCTGGATCTCAGGGATCAGAAACAGTCCCAGCAAAGGATCAGGTTCCTTCACCCCCGACTCCAACCTCCAGCAGTAAATCAGAACCACTTGAACCTCCAGCTTGTTTACTAGCTAAAGAGGAGGATAAGGATGACCTTGAGTACAGAGAAAAAGGCAAAACTGATCTTGAGGTCATCAAAGATTTAAGGTCACAGCTGAAACAGGCTCAGGCTAGTCAGAAGGAACTTAAACTATTACTGGACATGTACAAATCGGCTCCGAAAGAACAGCGCGACAAAGTGCAAGTAAATGGACCTTTAATATTTTTATAATGTTTCAAAAGATCTTTTCAAACAGTAAAATACTTTTCTTAAATTAAGCACATGAAAAAGGAGCATGTTGGAGGCATTTCTTTGATAAGTAGTGGGAAGCTTGGATAATTGTAATCTATTTCATAGATGTATCATGCTCAGTTAACTATTGATATTGTAGGTGTGTCAGAAGCCCTGAAAAAGTATACCCAACTGTTCCCATGTGTGTATATATCCGTATAAACCCTATTGATTTGATAACTTCTCTATATTTCTATGCTTTGTTATAAAACCTGATAACTTCTCTGAATACACAGTGTTGTTGAACTGTCAGTAACTTAATTGTTCTGAATGCAGTGTGCTACTGAGTATGTACGTTGAATTGTAAATAACTGTTACAAATACATAATGCAGTCTCTAAGTGTGTTTAATTTTAGATAAAAGAAACAAAAGATTTCTTTGTTTAAAAAGATCACATAATATCCCACTTGCTTCCTCAGCTGATGGCCAGTGAAAAGAAAGCAAGACAAGAAATAGAAGAACTCAAAACCCATATTAAGAAAATGCAGGAAACAGAACGCAAAGAAAGACGAAAGCTTGCCGAGGAAGATGCCATTAGAAAGATAAAGAAGATGGAAGAAACAATAACAGAACTACAGAAGAATTTGACAAGTCAGAAACAGAAGGAGGAAGCTTTACTAGATGAGATGGAGGTAACTGGGCAGGCATTTGAAGACATGCAGGAACAGAACACACGTCTACTTCAGCAACTCAAGGAGAAGGATGATGCCAACTTCAAACTGATGTCAGAGGTATTGAGCTGTGGTGAAATTAGTATAGGGGAAGTTCATTGTCCTGAATTTAAATATTTGATTCACTTTATTTTAAGGAAATATCTACTGTAGCTCAAACTTCATGGTTTTACAAAAATATGCATTTTCATTGGCACTTAATTTCATGGATAAATCTTTCTCACAAACTCCATGACTGCTAAAATGTCAACTTTTATGTGTTAATAATTTCATTGACAACTGAATTCATAGATTAGGAGTAACCACAATTTTGATGAAAATACCTCCCCCCACCCCCCCACCCCACCCCCACCACCACCACCACCACCACCACACACACACACACACACACGATTTTACTGGATTGCAGCACTGCACCTGTAATGCTACATCCTGATGAATGATTAATGCTACACCACGACCATTATCACTAAGGACATCTACAGTTGTCTGGGTGATCTATAGCTTATACTCAATACCAAATGCCACCAGTACCTAAAGAGCTATGCTATGTAATCCAAGTTTAACCATTGTAGGTACCATGCCATGAAGAACAAGTGTCATTGCCTGTTTATCATGCAGTCATTAGAGTTCCTATTCTTAAGTAAAATGTTTATATGTCAGAAAAGAAATGGCTTTGTATTTCAGAGAATCAAGTCAAATCAGATCCAGAAGTTATTGCGGGAGGAGAAAGAGGTGTTGGCAGACCAAGTGAATACAATCCACTCCCAGGTAGAGGCTCAGAACATTGTAGTGCGAAAACTGGAAGAGAAGGAGCAGATACTGCAGAACACTCTCTCTACTATAGAGAAGGAGCTAGGGTCAGTAACATTGTTTACTATAGAGAAGGAGCTAGGGTCAGTAACATTGTCTAGAGAAGGAGCTAGGGTCAGTAACATTGTCTACTATAGAGAAGGAGCTAGGGTCAGTAACATTGTCTACTATAGAGAAGGAGCTAGGGTCAGTAACATTGTCTACTATAGAGAAGGAGCTAGGGTCAGTAACATTGTATAGAGAAGGAGCTAGGGTCAGTAACATTGTCTACTACAGAGAAGGAGCAAGGGTCAGTAACATTGTCTACTATAGAGAAGGAGCTAGGGTCAGTAACATTGTCTGCTATAGAGAAGGAGCTAGGGTCAGTAACATTGTATAGAGAAGGAGCTAGGGTCAGTAACATTGTCTACTATAGAGAAGGAGCTAGGGTCAGTAACATTGTATAGAGAAGGAGCTAGGGTCAGTAACATTGTCTGCTATAGAGAAGGAGCTAGGGTCAGTAACATTGTCTACTATAGAGAAGGAGCTAGGGTCAGTAACATTGTCTACTATAGAGAAGGAGCTAGGGTCAGTAACATTGTATAGAGAAGGAGCTAGGGTCAGTAACATTGTCTACTATAGAGAAGGAGCTAGGGTCAGTAACATTGTCTTCTAGAGAGAAGGAGCTAGGGTCAGTAACATTGTCTACTATAGAGAAGGAGCTAGGGTCAGTAACATTGTATAGAGAAGGAGCTAGGGTCAGTAACATTGTATAGAGAAGGAGCTAGGGTCAGTAACATTGTCTACTATAGAGAAGGAGCTAGGGTCAGTAACATTGTCTACTATAGAGAAGGAGCTAGGGTCAGTAACATTGTCTAGAGAAGGAGCTAGGGTCAGTAACATTGTCTAGAGAAGGAGCTAGGGTCAGTAACATTGTCTACTATAGAGAAGGAGCTAGGGTCAGTAACATTGTCTTCTACAGAGAAGGAGCTAGGGTCAGTAACATTGTCTACTATAGAGAAGGAGCTAGGGTCAGTAACATTGTATAGAGAAGGAGCTAGGGTCAGTAACATTGTCTTCTATAGAGAAGGAGCTAGGGTCAGTAACATTGTCTACTATAGAGAAGGAGCTAGGGTCAGTAACATTGTCTTCTATAGAGAAGGAGCTAGGGTCAGTAACATTGTCTAGAGAAGGAGCTAGGGTCAGTAACATTGTATAGAGAAGGAGCTAGGGTCAGTAACATTGTCTACTATAGAGAAGGAGCTAGGGTCAGTAACATTGTCTTCTATAGAGAAGGAGCTAGGGTCAGTAACATTGTATAGAGAAGGAGCTAGGGTCAGTAACATTGTATAGAGAAGGAGCTAGGGTCAGTAACATTGTCTTCTATAGAGAAGGAGCTAGGGTCAGTAACATTGTCTTCTATAGAGAAGGAGCTAGGGTCAGTAACATTGTCTAGAGAAGGAGCTAGGGTCAGTAACATTGTCTACTATAGAGAAGGAGCTAGGGTCAGTAACATTGTCTACTATAGAGAAGGAGCTAGGGTCAGTAACATTGTCTACTATAGAGAAGGTGCTAGGGTCAGTAACATTGTCTACTATAGAGAAGGAGCTAGGGTCAGTAACATTGTCTACTATAGAGAAGGACTAGGGTCAGTAACATTGTCTACTATAGAGAAGGAGCTAGGGTCAGTAACATTGTCTAGAGAAGGAGCTAGGGTCAGTAACATTGTCTACTATAGAGAAGGAGCTAGGGTCAATAACATTAGATAAGGGGCTAATATCACATAGGTGTTTATTCCAAATTTCAAAGTGTTGTACAGTAATATTATGAAATGTTTGACATCTGTCATTACAGTCTGACACAGCAAGCTATGGAGATGCACAAGCGAAAAGCAGTAGAGAGTTCACAGACAGCTGCAGACCTCAAGCTCCACTTGGACAAGTACCAGGCCCAGCTAAAGGAGGCTACAGTCCTGGTGGCAGAGAAAACAGGTGCTTTGGAGCAAGAGGCTTACAAACACAAGAGGATGCAGGTAAATTTACACATCCCTCTGTTAATCATAGATGGTTGATGAATGGATAATATTTTTTCTCCTCTCAGTTAAATCACAAAACAGTTGGACTCTCTTTAAATTGACCAACTTCTGCAATATCATAACTACACTTGAGTTGCATAGCCTGGAGATACATATAACCAACCACATTTTGTGTAATTATCAATATTTATGCATGGTGAGTAAGTTTCCTCAAGAGTATGCCATCTCATTATCACTTACACTGGTTTGAAAGGGTATCTTACATCCCTGAATTTTATACATATGTGGTTTAATGCGAAGAGACTTGTAAGACATCTAGATGTATTGCTACATCATTTATTTATTTGCAAACAGTGAATAAGATAATTGTTTAAACCATTTTCTCATGGAACTATTTTGTTCTTAGGGAATCGTCACTGAGGCTGAAGTTGTCACCATCTGCTTACAGTATTTTAGCTAATTGAACTTGCTGTTGTTGCAAATTTTTTAAAATGTTTTCTGAAAATCTGGTTATCAAATGTAAATTGAATGATTGTTATGTATTTTCCTCTTTATATATATATCAAAGTGTATACATAAAATCTACAAATTTATGTAGATGTATTGCTAGGCAACCTCCCATTTACATTTTGACATTTCTTTACATCCATTTTGGCTTTCCTTATTTACTTTCAAGGCTCTAAAATGTAGGCCCTTGGCATCACACAACAGTCTTAGAATTATGAAATGGCTTTCTGGTGCAGATTAATCCATTATTTGGCAATACAATCAAGCATGGACATTGTTGTATTTCAGGGATCTATGGTCAATTTAAACACATGCGACTTCATTATTCCAAGAATTTGGCCAAAATTTCTACCATTATCAATTACGAACATATTTCGGACATCATTGTTTTTCAGGGGGCCAAGTTCAAGGCCATGGTCTCCTTTTCTGTATATAGGAAATTATCAATTAATTCAACACTGAAATTGATTTTGCTTGGTTGTGGGGACATATATGTCTTACAGAATTTTCCTAGGTGTTTTTGGCTAAAATCAGCTGTGCTGTTTGGAAAGATAGGTCATCCCCCTCCTGGTCATTTCCATTTTTACAGATTAATAAAACGATATCTATCACTTCCAAATGACTGATTTGGATTTTGAACAATTGCTGTCAATATATCTACAAAGTTTTGTTCCTAGTTACTACTTGATGTATTTATTTTTCAAATGAGTGTCAGTCTAATAGGTGAGGTGATTAATTGTTCAGTGCAGGGGATATATGTAGCCAGGCACACAGTTTAGACCTTGCTGAATTTACTAGTGCCAGTTGCAAAATATCATTACGTTCCAACTAAGCATAATATTTTATTTATGGTAATATTTCTGTACAATCAATTTTTAGGAAGAAATAGCTAAGCTGCAAAGGAAGCTGGAACGAACAAAGAAGATAGAGATGGCTGGTGCTGCTGATGAAGTCCTCATGGCTGAGATTGCGGAGTATAAGGTAGGTCTGGATTGTAAGATCTCATGGCAGAGATTCAGAAAGTGCCATGTATGCTGTTGGTTTGAATAGGGAGTCATCATGAGAGCAGAGATTGCCAAGTGTAAGATAGGCAAGGATAGGCTTGGATAGTTAGTTCTCACGGCAGAGATTGTTGAGTATAAGGTAGCTAGGATTGTGAGTCTTCAGGCAGAGATTGATGAGTATAAGGAAGGCTGGATAGTGAGCCCTCAGGCAAAGATCGTTGAGTATAAGGTAGGCTGGATAGCAAATCCTCAGACAGAGATTGCTGAGTATAAGGTAGGCTAGATAGTGAGTCCTCAGACAGAGATTGACAAGTATAAGGTAGGCTGGATAGCAAGTCCTCGGACAGAAATTGCTGAGTATAAGGTAGGCTTGATAGGAAGTCCTCAGGCAGAGATTGCTGAGTATAAGGTAGGCTGGATAGCAAGTCCTCATGCAGAGATTGCGGAGTATAAGGTAGGCTGGGAAAGTGACCCTCAGGCAGAGATTGCCGAGTATAAGGTAGGCTGGATAGTGAGTCCTCAGACAGAGATTGCTGAGTATAAGGTATACTGGATAGTGAGTCCTCATGCAGAGATTGCTGAGTATAAGGTAGGCTGAGATAGTGAGTCATCAGGCAGAGATTGCTGAGTATAAGGTAGGCTGGGAAAGTGAGTCCTCAGGCAGAGATTGCTGAGTATAAGGTAGGTTGAGTTAGTGAGTCCTCAGGCAGAGATTGCCGAGTAAAAGCTAGGTTGGGATAGCGAGTCCTCAGGCACAGATTGCTGAGTATAAGGTAGGCTGGATTGCGAGTCCTCAGGCAGAGATTGTTGAGTATAAGGTTGGTTGGATAGCGAGTTCTCATGGCAGAAGTTGCCAAGGTAGGTCTGGATTATATTGTAGACATGAACTATATATTTAGCATACTGAAGGCACATATGTAGTGTATTGTTTATATTTCATCACATTAATCTTAAATCAAATGCTTAAGCTTCTTCATGAAGACAGCATACAGGTTAAATTTGGGTACATGGGTATGTTGAGTACTGATCAAATCAGAGTCCTCTTGCATTTTATTTTATGATAAGTAGAATGCCTAATTCATAGCTTCTATTTATCTGTCAGTAAAACATAAAATTAAGTGTTACACTGTTTGCCATTTCAGGAACAACTAACATGTCCCTCATGCAAGGTGAACCGGAAGGATGCTGTGTTGACGAAGTGCTTCCATGTTTTCTGCCTAGAGTGTCTAAAGACTCGGTATGAGACACGCCAGCGAAAGTGTCCAAAGTGTAATGCAGGGTTCGGTGCAAATGATTATCACAGACTTTACCTTGCATAGCAACAGCCAAGCAAAGTATTAGCATCTCTTATCCAGTGTAGCATGTATTGGGGCCACAGTGAGGAGAATCTCTATTGGGGCCATAGTGAGAAGGGTCTTTGTTAGGGCACCCACAGTAAAGAAGGAATCTTTGTTGAGCCCATAGTGAGAAGTCAGAGAGAATCTCTATTGCGGCCAAAGTGAGGAGGATCTCAGTTGGGGATCTCTACAGCGAGGAATATCTCTATGGGGCATGGTGAGGAAGATCTCTGTTGAAGCCTCAGATGAGGGTCTCTGTTTGGGGCCTCAGTAAGGATCTTTATGGAGTCAAAGTGAGGAAGATCTCTGTTGAGACCAGACACAGGGAAAAAGATCTCTATGGGGCACAGCAATAAGGATCATTATTTGGGTAACTAGAGTAGGATCTCAGATGGGGTCTCAGTGAGAATCTCTTTTGGAGTCACAATGAGGAGGGTCTCTATTGGGGCCACTGTGAGGAAGATATATGCACCTATAGTTTATTATATTCATTGATGGCAGTGGTCCAGATTATTGGGCATCCATTCTTTGTATAATTCGGATTAAGATTGGCTCCTTAGCATGTGTATAGGACTTTCATATGTGTGACAGAGTCATGCTGACTCAGGGAGATGATACATGGATACTGTGAATGCACGTTTATATTTCAAACTATTCAGGTAATTTATTTTGGCTACATTGTAAGGTGGTAATAAGGTCAAAGAACAAGTCCATCTTACAAACATTTTTGCATTTGACTTTGATTGCATGGGTTTTGATTGAGAGAAGAAATGGATTTGAAAAGGAACAGTTTACTTGTAAATTATTGCAAAGCTTTGTACGACTGACCAAATACTGGAGAAAGAACCTAAGAGTAATGATGACAGTCCCATACATTCAGAAAAAATGTAACCTGTTGACAGGGAAGTTGAAACTTTTGTTTAAGCACAGTGATTCAAGACTGCATTATAATCAGTTTCAGGTCACACTACCATATTCTGTTTAAATTGGAATCTCAACAATGTTTAAGGACCAAAATTCATGGTATTGATATTCATGATGCAGATTTAGATATACATTTAAACTACACAAACGGTATACTACCTGGTGATAAAACAGTCATGTTTTGTTTTGCCGAATTAAAGTATGAAGAAAGCATTTTTTTAGTTATCAGCCACAAACATTTGTCAGAAACAAGACTTAAATTTTCAGGTCACCTGAGACAAAGTTTAAGGGTGACCTATTGCGACCCCTTTTTGTCAAGCATTGTGGGTTGTGCGTCATAAACTTTAACATTTTTTACTTCTTCTGGAAAACTTGTGAACAGAACAAAAACCTCCCATGGCAAAATTGTAAATTATATGGTCCCTAACCCCCAGGGGCCTGAGGGATGGGCCAAAAATGGGTCAAACTGACTGAAATTTGAAAAATGTTTTACTGTTCATGGATGGAAGAGTTTACGGGTATGTAAGGAAAATTCAAATTTGGAGTATAATTTCCTTTCATTCAAACTTGGTTAGAAGCCTTAGCATGGGACAGCAGTTAAAGTGATGCACAATTTACATTTGCATTATGTGTACAATGTAGTTAATCTTACTTTTTTTAACAAAATCATTTCTTTGACATGTTACAAGAAGCATTGTAACTCGGGTGACCATAAGGGCCCTAGGGCCTCATGTGATGTTATGCCATGATTTACTACATATTCTTTAAATCAAGAAATTATGGACAAGGGTTGCTTTATGATGACTTTTTTCAAGTCTCTATAAAGTTGTCAAGCAGAGGTACCTGTAAGTTGATCTCTTGATTGAAAATTAGCCTATTTCAGAAATATGAAATTTATCGTTTATAATTTTTGAAGCATGTGTTTTTTTTGTCATTTGAAGAATTATTTTCCCTGTTATGAGTGCTAGCTTTGTTGAATCTCCTTTCTAACCTGATCAAATATAACTCCACCTGTGCACAATAATTTAGTGGCTTATAGTACCAGGCTTGTGGTGCACATAATTTCAAAGCTCTTGCTGTAAAGTTTCCTCATGCATTTTCCTATCGAGAGACACTACATTTTGAAATGTGGACAAACATAACTAAATACATTAAGAAGCTTTCTTTCTTTTGGCAGTCAGAGACAACAGATCCATAGAAAAAACAGAAGCTATGGGAGAAAATTGTACTGTTGGTCCACTTAAACCTAGCTTGAGTCACATTTTTAAATTAAGTCCTGGTGTCGCATGAAAATGTTGTCAGGTGTATGATCCGGTTGACACAAGAAAATGTTGTCAGGTGAATGGTCCTGTTGACACAAGAAAATGTTGTCAGGTGTATGGTCCTGTTGACACCTGTAAGTGTTGTCAGATTATGGTAGTTAACACATGAAAGCATCTTCAGCTATATGTACATATGGTCCCTTATCATTTAAACTTCCAGATTATCTCTAAATTGAAGGAACACTGAATTTTTAACCCTGATTGAGAACAGGCATTTAGTACCAGTATTTTCAAAAGTATTTATGAAATGGTAAATATATATTTTTCTTGTGGTTGAAGTTTAGAATATTTGCAATCTTTTGAGTGAAAATCTTTAAAATTTGGCAAGTACCAGGTGGACTTAAATGAATATTGATGTGTCAAATGTTATGTAGTTTGTATGATTATAAACTTTGAAGAGAGCTTGTGTTTGGATCTGTGACTGGTAGACTTGGTGTTGTTGCAAGGCTGAATTTCATATCATCTCTTGTAAACTTTCATGAAAGCTTGTGTTTGGATATTTGACTGACAAGACTAAGTATTCCTGCATGGCTGAATTTCATATCATCGTATTTATCATGTTTCATATTTAAGTTTAAATTCATAATGAATACAAGTTGATTTATCATTGTATGTTGTGCTATTATGTTTATGGCTGACCAGAGTAAGTGTCCAAAATATGATTACCAGTAAAATGGTATGTGTGTGTGAGAGTGTTTGTGTATCATTATTTAGTTTGTCATTAATATTTGATGAATAAAATCTAACAATAAAATTTATGTATCATGAAATTTGATTGAAACTTCAGACTTTTATTTCTTATATGGAACAGTGCTTATTGTAGAAAACCTGAAAAAATACAGACAAAACTGGATGGATTTATTTGGAAACTCTAGAGAAAATGTAGTGCCATACATCATTATATAGATTGTTGTAACTTTGTTTTAATTATTTAAAAATAGTCATACAATTACAAAATAACAAATTTTAATGACATATTTATAGCAATTACCTGTAGTGTATGAATTAAAATTTAGTTTGTAATGTACAGATTGAGATTGATAAATAGAGCAAAAAAGGCACAGGAAAACTTTTCATTAAGTCTTGTGATTAGAAATAGATAATGAAGAATTATCAAATAAGATTGAATTAAATAGAGAAACTATGATAAAAATGGACAATAAATAATGGATCTTTGATGACCACAAATATCATATATATATATATATATATATATCTTTTTGGTAAAAGAAAAACAGAAACATTGTTATAAGTGAATCCACTAAGATCAGTATTTAACTTTGGCTTTAAAACAAGTATTTTTATCATGCAGCTCATAATAAAAACTTATTGAAGATAATTTAAACTCTGTATCGCAATTTAAATTTTATCTTTCATTATAAAGTTGGGTGTTTTAAATAATGTAGCATGGGTCTAAGAATTTATTCAAGTTTCTTTTCTACATATTGTAGATACATTGCATCCTACCACAGTCAAACTAAGACAACTTTTTTTTTCTGTTATGGATATGAAAAGTCTGAAATTTTCATATTGTGCCATGTCAGTAAAGAATTGAGAGCAAGATAATTATGTGCCCTGTTTGCAATGCCTGTTAATACTTTCACAAACATAAATCACACTAAACACATTGCAAGATAAGCTTCTCAACAAAAATGCTACAAACAGAGCAAAGAAAAGAAAAATTATTAAAATTAACAAAAGTTTTCAAACTCCATTCAAATAAATGTAGCAATTATTCAGCTACAGGAATTTGATACAGCCTGTTTACCAAAATCCATGGTATTTAACGGAGTACAAAGTCCACAACTGTTCAGGAGCACAGTTATCGCCCTTAAATTTCATCACATATCTTCAGTTTTTTTTTCCTTCTGCTGTCAAACAACTGGATCCTTAGTTTGAACTTTGCATTGCATGTCTTTGTATGGTCTTCTTTTCTGTTCTTCAGCATCTCCTTCATGGTATTATACAAGGGGTGTGTGCAAGGAGATTGAGTAGTAACATCACAAAACTGCTCCCAAGAATCAGCTATGCTGCTGACGATATCAGTATTTGTACCAGGATCTGAATTGTCCAGTAGCCTTGATCCTTCTGTAGATGATGTGCCTTCATGACAAGGGACATCCTGGTACTGACTCACTAGGATGATATTGTGACCTTTCATTGGACTAGTTAAGGAAAAGTGGTATGGGGAGAGAACTGCTTGATACAAATGAAAGTCAGTTGGTTTAATCTTTGTGTCTTTAGCGTGAAGATCCGACGAGATGAAATTGTCTTTGATAGTGACAAGTCGTTTTGATGACAGCAGATATGATCCTGGGTTGAATACTTCAGACATGATGGCAATAATTTGGTTATTGTCCTCAGAGGTCAATAAATACACAGGTTGATCAACCTCAGTTGTGTCCAAATTTTTCAGAAACTCACCACCAGTGAAAAAAATGACTGGATTACTCATTGTATGTACTGTTCTGCCGATTTTGTTATGGGATATAAAGACTACCTTGCAAAACTTTTGACAAGGAAAAAGAACTCTTAAATTATTGTCTTCATTCTTTTCCTTTGTCTTTTTCACGCCAGATGGTGACCTGGGCTTCTTTTTCTTTTCTTTAGAACTTATACCCTTTTTATCCTTTGCCTTCCCAGGATTTGACTTGGGTTTTGTCACGCTTCCTTTAGGCTTTTTATCTTGAGTTTTATTTTTCTTTTCACCTTGGATTTTTACTTTCTTGGTATCAGCTGCTTTACTTGGTTGTTTTCTTTTTCTTTCTCTTTTGCATTCTTTCTTTTCTTTTGTTTTCGGGGTTTTGGTTGAGGACTTTTTCTTTGAAATTTTAATTCTAGATTTAGAAGCTACTTCTGGTGAATCTGTAATGGGAGAGGAACAATCAGCTTTCTGCTGTGCCGATTGTCTTTGATCTGATGATGCAGAAAATGGACTTGCATTCAAGGTGTGTAAACGGTACTTCCCTGGAGGCAGCTTCATCGCACCCATTGGCTTGTACACCATGTTAGATGTGGAAGACTTTTCAGGAGACAAAATAACATACTTGTCACTTTCAGACATCTTCATTAAAACAAATTTAGATGGCGAAGTATTAGTCATCATTGTTTGTAGTAGTTCTGGACTTGGTAAGTGTGGAACATTTGTATCAACTTGTTCTTGTGAGCTTGACATTGGCTTACCAAGAAGTCCTGGTGGTTTCAAGTGCACCTGTCGGCTGATTTCAAGTGGTCCTGACAGTGTGTACTGACCTTTTTGTATCGAATGTGTCATACTTTTAGTGAACTCATGTTGAGGATGACTGGACAAATGGTGCTTCTGATGTATAGGACCAAGCTTAGTAACGATCTGGTCATGCCCAGTTTTCATATAACTGCTTCCTATCCCATTTACTTCAGTCACAATGACATCTTCTTGTCTACTCGGCGTCACTGCAGGAGATTTGTATTGTCCAGAATTTGACCATTGACCAGCAATCATATTCACTCCTGGAACAATACTTATACTGCTAGTACACTCAGTCATACTCTCATCAGTTTCTAGATTCATGTTTGGCAGATATGGAGATGTCGCTGTCCAGTCATATTCTGGTAAATTATGGTATTTTTGTCTGTAATTTTTGTGTATAGAATGACTTGCATTTTGGTAAGTTTCCTGTTCATATGCCAACATACATTTTGGGATGGAGGTACTGATTGGTTCTAATTTTCTATAAATACTATTTGCATTAGTTTGAGCTGTGTTTCCAAAAGCACAAGATACATTCAATGGCAGACCCCATTCATTTCCTCCTGAGCACACAGGTGACTTTGCTCCTTGTATCTGGCTTGGACACAGCTGAATCATGGTGTTCAGCTGTCTTGTCTCCTTAGCAACATGTTCAAGTTTGTCTTGACTAGGTTTTATGCTGTTTTTTGACTGTATCTGCCCAATGTTGTAAGCTGACAGTTGTCTATTGAGAGTTGAATCTTGTTTGTTATCTGTAAATAACTCTCTGCTGCTACTAGAGGACACAGATTTGGTGCATACAGACAGAGCTTGAATATCACCAGGTGACCTTGATTGTTGATTGCATGGAGACAGAAAAGGTGTGGTTTTATTGGGCAACTGTCTGTTGGTGGGAGACAATTGCTTGACATTTTTGGGTGACAATATTGGCATGTTTCTCGGTGGTACAGATAAATACCCAAAACGAGGCGATATCATTTGTTCTGTATTGAAAGTCAATCTTTCTCCTTGGCCAAAAGGAGACGCATGCTGCTCATTGCCACTTGTATCAGCTGATATCAATTTTCCTTCCATTCAGAAAAATCTTAACAGTGATATATATAAACTTTGAAGTCACCTGCCTGTCAATTTAATTCAGCAATGGTATGGTTTTACTGTGTCCATCTTGTTCATGTCAGTCTGTCTTACGGAGTGTAACCAATGCTACAACTGAATTTGAAAGAAAAGCTTTCACTAAATTTGTATGGAATTTGATACTGCCTTTACCATGTCAAATTGCAACTGAAGAATAGATTTGCAGATACAAGGTATTTCAGTATAGTATTTAAATGTAGATAAATTAAGTTTAACACAATTGGAACTTTATATGGTGACAAACTCACAAAAAGAATATTGACATAAAGGATATCGTAGTAGTGCTTAATAATACACAGGTAATCAGTTTTTTTTTGTCAGACTGCACTGTCTGAAGACCCTCTTTGGTGTTTAGGAATGTTTGAACATTTTCAGTAAGCTTATCAGAAAAACTTTATTCTAAATGCAAAGTTCTTATAACAACTTATTTCGTGAATCATCAATGTATACCATTTCTAATTATCGAATGCTACAGATCTACAAAAATACACACCTGCCTACACCAACATACGCCGCTGAATCTAAAAGGACGTCGCCTCATCTTTCCGGAAAACATTACGCTGCAACGTCATTCTGACGTCATCAATGAAAAGAGCACCGAGACGAACATGTAGAACAAATTCATTTTAAAGTATTCCAATCTCAAATTCACAAAATTAGTATTGAAACACGCCTAATAGACAATAAATGATGAAAGGTTGTAGATAAATACTTACTTTCTATTGTTTGAAGCGTTCCCGCCAAACCAACAGTCTCTACGCAGAGTTGTCGTTCTTGTTATGGGCCTGGCATAGCAGTGCCAGTGGCCACCGAAAACAGCAATATGGAACAAACTTCTCCAGTAGACTACCTTCGTTTATCGTGATTGAAAATGTGTGACATACTTTGAAATTCACGCGTTTATGTATGGATTTCTCCGAGAATGGTTTGAGGAAAATTAATGGATTTAAATAGGTAATAACTTCGAGTGATCTCCCTTGGTATGAACTCTATTTATGCATGAGGACTGTCATGTGACGCTAGTATATTTACACGATCCACACCGCTCCTTGTTAATTTGTCTCATGTAATGATAAAAGGATGGCGCCGAATGTTGTACGCTCAGCCATAAGTGTTTTCTTCGAATATGATACACCTAAAATCGTCCACATCAAGAGCAAGAAAGTTGGAGTTATAAACAGATTTCTACAGCTGGTCATTATAGGATACATAATTGGGTAAGAAGAAACTGAAAGTAACGGCGCATTGTTTTATTATTTTATCTCTAGCGGACACCTGGGCGCTGACTGATTATGACAAGATCTCAGTGACGTATGAATGACTTCAATTTACTCTTAGAAACTTGCTTAAATTGAAAGCCTCTCACACTGCACGTGTTATGAAGACGCCGGCACATTGTGTGTGTGTGTGTGTGTGTGTGTGCGCGCGGTTTTTTTTCGTTGATTAACCTAGTGACACCTGGTCACAATAACGATATACACGTGATCATGTTGAAATGGAGAATATCCAGATGCATATGTTACGTTATGGTATGTAGATGAAATAACCTAATGTAAAGGCATCTAATAACCTGCAACAAGAGATATAACACTAGTATATTCCAATGTATGTCCCTGTCTTTCTGTTGAATATTTCTGTTGTAGTCACATTTTTATGTAGGTATATATATGCCTTTAACATGTTGAGCTTAATTAATTTGTTATACACTACAGAGACCTCGACCTGGGACTGCACCTTGTCCTAATCCTGGAGTTGATCATAGCATCGAGACATCCGATTTACTAAATCAATGTCCAAAAATGTGCAAGCTAAAGAGAAAGTCTGTGTCAGTATGAAGTGGTTTGTGTTTTACATAGTATATTCCAATGAATGTCCAAAATTGTGTTATAGTAAGAATTGGCTAGTGGTATATTAGGGTAACATTCTCTCAGACTTTGTCAGTAGAAAGTGGCTTGTGGTGTATTTGTGTAACATTCTCTCAGACTGTGTCAGTAGTAAGTGGTTAGTGTATATATATTCTCTCAGACTGTGTCAGTTAACATGTTAGTGAGCTATTAGGGTAATTAATGTTGTTATGGTTAGTGGTATATTAGGTAACATTCTCTCAGACTGTGTCAGTAGTAAGTGGTTAGTGATATATAAGGGTAACATTCTCTCAGACTGTGTCAGTAGTAAGTGGTTAGTGGTATATTAGGTAACATTCTCTCAGACTGTGTCAGTAGTAAGTGGTTAGTGTTATATTAGGTAACATTCTCTCAGACTGTGTCAGTAGTAAGTGGTTAGTGGTATATTAGGTAACATTCTCTCAGACTGTGTCAGTAGTAAGTGGTTAGTGTTATATTAGGTAACATTCTCTCAGACTGTGTCAGTAGTAAGTGGTTAGTGTTATATAAGGGTAACATTCTCTCAGACTGTGTCAGTAGTGAGTGGTTAGTGTTATATAAGGGTAACATTCTCTCTGACTGTGTCAGTAGTAAGTGGTTAGTGTTATATAAGGGTAACATTCTCTCAGACTGTGTCAGTAGTAAGTGGTTAGTGGTATATTAGGTAACATTCTCTCAGACTGTGTCAGTAGTAAGTGGTTAGTGTTATATTAGGTAACATTCTCTCAGACTGTGTCAGTAGTAAGTGGTTAGTGGTATATTAGGTAACATTCTCTCAGACTGTGTCAGTAGTAAGTGGTTAGTGTTATATTAGGTAACATTCTCTCAGACTGTGTCAGTAGTAAGTGGTTAGTGTTATATTAGGTAACATTCTCTCAGACTGTGTCAGTAGTAAGTGGTTAGTGGTATATAAGGGTAACATTCTCTCAGACTGTGTCAGTAGTAAGTGGTTAGTGGTATATTAGGTAACATTCTCTCAGACTGTGTCAGTAGTAAGTTGTTAGTGGTATATTAGGTAACATTCTCTCAGACTGTGTCAGTAGTAAGTGGTTAGTGTTATATTAGGTAACATTCTCTCAGACTGTGTCAGCAGTAAGTGGTTAGTGTTATATAAGGGTAACATTCTCTCAGACTGTGTCAGTAGTAAGTGGTTAGTGGTATATAAGGGTAACATTCTCTCAGACTTTGTAAGTAGGAAGTGGTTAGTGGTCAGGGCTCTCGATCTGCCAGATTTGGGGCCGATCCCAATGCAAAATGGTATCTTTTTTTCCCAATTTAGACCCCAAGTTTTTCGAATTCTAAGGAAAACGCTACTATTTTTCCCAATTCTAAGGGCCCTGTGCCCCAGTCCCAAAATGGGGTGTGAGAGCCCTGGTGATATATGAGGGTAATATTCTCTCAGACTTTTTCTGTAAGAATCGGTTAGTTTCATATTAGGGTAACATTCTTCCACACTGTGTTAGTACTAAATGGCTTTTGTTTGACATTTAATTTAACCTGCCTAGGATCCATTTAAATACTGTTTGACAAACCTACTAGATAATATATATCTGGTTTACTTTACCGTGTGCCAAGATATTTTAAAGCTAAGCTGAATATCTTCATCACAGAAGAATAGAGACTTATCAAATTCAAATGTAACTCTTTCTCTATCAAAATTTGATAATTCAATATTCACCATGGAGTCATAGATAGAAAAAGCAAAAATCTGAAAGGAGTAAGAAAAACATTTTACTAGCTTCAGTACCAGAACAATATATTCTAGAGAATTCTAAAAATGACTGTTGGAAAAAGATGTATAACAGTACCTTTCCACGCTGAAGTGTAGAATGGACATTCTTTAAAGCTTTAGTGTAGTGTTTTGACCCCATATCCCCATTTCCAAGAAAAGTCACATTTAAAAGCAGACAAGTACTCTTTATCAATAAGCAATTGAAGATGGGTATGTATGTACTTGTAATAATCATGATGTACAATGTGGAAACAACTATGTTCCGATCCCATATCTAAGCAGAGTTAGTCATCACTTATTTAAGGTCAACAGTCTCGTCTCACAGAGATTGTGGTACAGCTGTACTGATACATTATCAATTCATACTAACTGATTTATTTACTTAATACACTGGGTCCTTCCTTTGTTGTAAAGAGTTATCTACTGATCCAAAACTGAATTTGATACTCAGACGATTCTTTAAAAAAATATCTTCATTTTGAAAGATCAGGAGATATGTTCACATCTGAAATAGGAAAATCCAACAACTTTCTATAATTGGTCTTTCAGCTTTGAAATACTGCATGAAGGGGGGAAATTTGCCCAAGGTGATTTTTCACCCATAGATAAAATTTGTCCTAATGTATGCATTGAAAATGTATGACAGCTTTATAGTTAATTTTAGGCTTACTATTTCCTTTTTGCTCAAATGGTTGAAGAGCAAATGTTAAACTGCATTGAAAGATTTTTGGAATGCATTAACAGGCTTTTCAAAATGAATATTATTTCCTTTCATTAACTGAAATACATTATTTCCAATCATTCCTATTTTCATTGATATGGCCTGATTTTCTAAAGATACAATCTCACAGAATCCTGCTGATCTTGGCCTTATGTTGTTTATAGAAACTTGTAACATACTTCAACTTTCAACATGTGTAATAATCAGCCATTTCCTTTTCTAGGCTGATCTTGTAAAATTGCCCTGTTTCAAATGCTTCCTTTTCCATTTCATTCCTGTAATCATAGTAATGTACAGACTTAAAAATGAAAGAAGAAAGAAATCATAATATAGATAGTAGAGATATCTACAGATATTTAAGATATATCCCACAGACATCTGAAATATAAACTCATTCAGACGCTGAATCTCTGCAAGTGTGATAAGTATACTGAAAAAATGGTTTTGGCAATGAATGATATGAATTTCATTTTTTTTTTCAGATTTGCCATTATCTTCAAAAAAGGTTACCAGAAGTTTGATACAATCCAGAGTGCAGTGACAACTAAAGTGAAAGGAGTAGCATTTCTGAATGGATCTGAAGTACCTAACCTAGAAAGTTCATTATGGGATGTGGCTGATTATGTGGTTCCTGCCCAGGCAAGTATGGGATGTGGCTGATTATGTGGTTCCTGCCCAGGCAAGTATGGGATGTGGCTGATTATGTGGTTCCTGCCCAGGCAAGTATGGAATGTGGCTGATTATGTGGTTCCTGCCCAGGCAAGTATGGGATGTGGCTGATTATATGGTTCCTGCCCAGGTAAGTATGGAATGTGGCTGATTAAGTGGTTCCTGCCCAGGCAAGTATGGGATGTGGCTGATGATGTGGTTCCTACCCAGGCAAGTATGGGATGTGGCTGATTATGTGGTTCTTGCCCAGGCAAGTATGGGATGTGGCTGATTATGTGGTTCTTGCCCAGGTAAGTATGGAATGTGGCTGATTATGTGGTTCCTGCCCAGGCAAGTATGGAATGTGGCTGATTATGTGGTTCCTGCCCAGGCAAGTATGGGATGTGGCTGATGATGTGGTTCCTACACAGGCAAGTATGGGATGTGGCTGATGATGTGGTTCCTGCCCAGGCAAGTATGGGATGTGGCTGATTATGTGGTTCTTGCCCAGGCAAGTATGGGATGTGGCTGATTATTTGGTTCTTGCCCAGGTAAGTATGGAATGTGGCTGATTATGTGGTTCCTGCCCAGGCAAGTATGGGATGTGGCTGATGATGTGGTTCCTACCCAGGCAAGTATGGGATGTGGCTGATAAAGTGGTTCCTGCCCAGGTAAGTATGGGATGTGGCTGATTATATGGTTCCTGCCCAGGCAAGTATGGGATGTGGCTGATGATGTGGTTCCTACCCAGGTAAGTATGGGATGTGGCTGATTATGTGGTTCCTGCCCAGGTAAGTATGGGATGTGGCTGATTATGTGGTTCTTGCTCCAGTATAAGGTATATACATATAAAGGTATGTTTGTAGATTTTGTTCTTGCTGAAGTTAGTATGGGATGTGTGTGACTATATATTGAGTATAATCCATGTCAGTTACCCCCAAATTCAATGAAAATAAATCCCCCTTGAAAATTAATGACATTGTCATGTATAGAATCTATCTATGTGTTTGTCAAATATCTAAACTTCTCTTGGGGAAGGTAATATAAGAAACTCACTACCTTTAGATTTGTTGATTAGTAAGTAGGAACAGGGGGAGGGCAGAGTAGCCAGGTGAGAGGTTTCTCAATATATTCAATTATTTTCTCAAATGGAAATAATTTTTCACATCAAATTTAAAAGATAGAAAAATTAATGGTTTTGGAAAGGTAAAGATCACTTTGTTGTTTTCTGGAAAATTAAATCATTTTGCAACATTTTAATGCAAAATTGTATCATCAGTAATGGTAACTGTTATCACTGGATTAATAACCTCTTTTTTACAGGAGAATAATGCCTTCTTTGTGATAACCAATCTGATTGTGACGCCAAATCAGAGACAAGGTGTATGTGGTGAGGTAAGTGATTCTGAATCATAAGCAGATTGCGTGGTAAGGTGAGAGAATCCACATCAGAGACAAGGTGTGTAGTAAGGTGAGAGAATCCACATCAGGGACAAGGTGTGTGGTAAGGTGAGTGAATCCACATCAGAGACAAGGTGTGTGGTAAGGTGAGAGAATCCACATCAGAGACAAGGTGTGTGGTAAGGTGAGTGAATCCACATCAGAGACAAGGTGTGTAGTAAGGTGAGAGAATCCACATCAGGGACAAGGTGTGTGGTAAGGTGAGTGAATCCACATCAGAGACAAGGTGTGTGGTAAGGTGAGTGAATCCACATCAGAGACAAGGTATGTAGTAAGGTGAGAGAATCCACATCAGCGAAAAGTGGTGTGGAAGGTGAGTGAATCCACATCAGAGACAAGGTGTGTGGTAAGGTGAGAGAATCCACATCAGAGACAAGGTGTGTGGTAAGGTGAGAGAATCCACATCAGGGACAAGGTGTGTGGTAAGGTGAGTGAATCCACATCAGAGACAAAGTGTGTGGTGAGGTGAGAGAATCCATATCAGAGATAAGGTGTGTGGTAAGGTGAGTGAATCCACATCAGAGACAAGGTGTGTGGTAAGGTGAGAGAATCCACATCAGAGACAAGGTGTGTGGTGAGGTGAGCAATGCCAAATCATATGCAAATTGTGTGTGATAAAGTGAGTGACGCAAAATCATAGGCAGATTGTGTGTGGTAAGGTGAGAGAATTCACATCAGAGACAAGGTGTTTGGTGAGGTGACTCCAATACATAGGCAGGTTGTGAATGAAGTTAGTGACTCTGAATCAGAGTCAAGGTGTATTGTGTGGTAAGTGACTCCAAATCAAGGACAGTATTTTTGTAGTGACATGAATGATTCCAATTTGGAGACAAGATGAGTAAGGGGTGTGAGTAACTCAAATCATAAACAATACATGTGTGGTGAGTTGCTCAAGTTAGAGATATTGTACGTGTGTTTAGGTCACTCTAAATCAGAATAAGGTGAGTGACTCTTTCAAGATGGTGTGTGTTTGTGCGGAGGTGAGTGACATAAATTAGAGAAAGGTTTGTGTTGTGAAGTAAGTAACTCCAAATTGGAAACAGTGTGTGGTGAGATGAGAAATCAGAAACAAGAAAGCAGCCTGTAGAGTAGAGTGAGTACAACTACAAATCGTGGACGGGAATATGTAAATCATATGGAAATCATATGTAAATCATATGTTAATCATATATAGATAGAAATTATCACATGTTACAGTTTTAGTCAAGTTTTCAATGGATTTGTTTCACAAATAGTTGCAATATAACAGATTTCATGTACATATAATCATTTTTTCATCTACAGGACAAAACAGTACAAGGAGCTAATTGTACGAGTGATGCTACTTGTGCCCCTATGGCTGGAAAGTCATTACCAGCAGGCAATGGTAAGTGGCAAAAGACTTTCTGTGGACTTGATCACTGTATACAGTAAATCAGAACAGACCTCAAGTTTTTAGTCACAATTTACTTTCTCAGGAATCACGTAAGGGATCTCCTTTGAAGTCAATCAACGTAGGAGTATGATTCTTATTTGAGAATGCCTCATCTTGGGAATAATCTAAATTTCAAGATGTCTGCCAGTGGCACTTTTTTTTTTAGAAGAGATCTTCTTGAAACACAATCAACATAATTATGATGGGTAATATTTATGCAATGCCACATTTTATTGGCAATTACAAGTTGTTTAAACTCTACACCTTAAGATGGACTGGATGCAGGTTCATTTTCCATTTCATATGTATTCCCTGGTTTATTGATAGTAATGATGCTTAATTTACTTGTCAGTACCTGTTGTTGAGGCAGAGGGCACCTAACATTAACTGTTACCAATGTCTGTCAGCTCCCATTCCAATCAATATCTGAAAAAAACCCTCTCTGAAAATTAATATATCCCTAAGTACCATAACATTAAGTTCTACAACTAATCCCTATTCATGTTAAACTGGCCCTCAGTCAAGGTTAAAGGGTCAAGGGTCAAATGTGACAACTTCATCACATTTATCAGCATTATCTGGTATATATTTACATCTTTATATGTTTAGAAGCAGAAGAATTTGTGTCTTACAGACTGATGTTTTTTAGTTAAAAGAATTTTTTATTTAGAAAGTGTCAGGTTTGTTGGCTATGTTAATGAGGTGAACTTGTTAATATTTGTGTTTTTGAGGAGAACCGATTTTTCTTTTGTTAGGTGTTTTGACTGGTTTATGTAATACCACAACCAGTACATGTGAAGTGCGGGCGTGGTGTCCTGTTGAAAATGGAGGCTTGCATGCGTAAGTTACTGTACACATTAAGTGACTGACAATAAGTAAACCTTAACATTCACTTTGTAACATATTGCAAAAAACTAGCAACTAATAATCAGATACTTGTCTGATATAATTTTTTTTTCTAATATTAAGCTGAATTTAAACTCATTAAATATGCATGTACAATGTGCTACATATGGTACAATGAAGGAGATTAATATTTTCAACATTTATAAATATTCTGATGATTAAATTAATTTGTTTTAAAATAAACTTGCCTGTCTATGATAACTTTCGAACAATAACTATAAACAATGTCACTCCTTAAATAATAATTGGAAAGTAGTTAACTTTGATTATATTCAGACATTTACATAGATTAGGTACACAATAAAACAATGGGAAAGGTTGTCATTTTTGAGAGGCCATATTTTTACTGTTTTTGACGACGGAATGAAGCTACTAAAAGCAGATACCTAAAAATAGATACCTTGAGAAATAAAATGATTTAAAAAAATAGTAAACCATTTCCTGACTTATGTTTAAAGTATATCCTTTTTGCTTTTAACTTCTGGTGAAACGACAAAATTTGAACCGTCACCAAGAATCAAATTGACATATATTGTACAGTATTAAACATTTTTAAAAACTCATCGGCTAGTTATTCAATAAATGATAAAAAAAAATGTAACAAAAAATATATACATATGTACCAACATATTTCCTATATTGTAAGTCATTATTTCCTGGTTTACAGACCTACGAGTCCAGTACTACTACAGTCTAAAGATTTTACTGTTTTCATCAAAAATAACATTGAATTTCCATACTACAAAAAAAAAAGGTATGTGCATTAAATTTGTATTTATAGCTTTTTGTGTGTTTTTGTCAAAATATAGCTTATGTATGGTATGTCTTTATACAATTAAAATATCAGTGGATGAAATAATACCATAACATAAATGTTTTTTTCAAATATGACTGATTGAGTCTCTAGTCCAAGAACACAAAAGGATTTCAGGAGCAATGAAATGTTGCCCCAACACCAAATTAAATAAAAGCAAATTGTATTTGTAGCAAATTTAGTGACTACCCATGAAATAGGATTAAAAAGTTCAAAAGCTCCATAGGGCCTGTGCTTTGACCCATTTAGTATTGTAACCATAGGAGTATGATAGATTTTAATTTTTCCATTACTAAATGATATACTGTTTGATTAACAAGGATCAGTTTGACAATATATTGGTAAATATATATCAAAATATTGCAAAATATAAATAAAACTCATACAGTTTCAAAATTGACAATTTTTCAGCTAAGACAATTTTTTAAAGAACTGCAGCATGTACTTTCAGTTTGAGGACACCTAAATTTTTTGTATGTTATTTGACCCTTTGACATTTAAAAGTCAAAATATTAGTATTTCAATTTTAATCAATTTTGTAGGGGTTCAACAGGGGTCAGTGTTTCGAAGCACAGGCCCTATGGATATTTTGAATTTTTTAATCCCATTTCATGGGTAATCACTCAAATACCTCCCACTTTTTTTATTTGGTGCTTGGGCAAAATTCCATCATTCCTGAAAGAGACCATTTATGATCTCATTGGAAATCTGACAATCGATCATCTGTTACTTAGTACTTGAGTCATTTTTACAAGGAAACAGTGTACCTAGTGACTTGTGCAAGGAAACAAAGTCTCCTGATTACTGGCACAAGGAAACACAGACCATGATATTCATTAAAACCTGTGTATGTTAAAAAATGAATCTTTTGATCAAAGGTTTTGGTTTACATGTATATATACACCTCTGTCATCAGTCTATACATCAATTTATCAGTTAATTACTTCAGTCCTCAGAGATATGGTATAAACATGATTATGACAAGAAACTTGATTTCACAAATTAATTGTGATGGGCTTGTTTAAATGATTTCTACTGACTTATTATTCCATCTGTAATTTAGAAATCACATGAAAGATAGAATTATTGCTTTCCTCAACAAATCAGGGCTCTTATTCATGAAACTGTTCTCATGCTTAAGCATGAATTTTGTGCTCAAACTTTCTGTCTTGTTTAAATGAAAATTAATAAATAAGGCTGATTTTGCTGAATATTTACAAACAATTTTGAAAAGACTTCAAGTCAAAGTTATATTCAAGGTTTAAATTTGACATTTGTATTATTTCATATGATTAATGTGAATTATAAAAAAGTTCGCTTCAGCACAAAATCTATGCTTGAGCATGAGAATAGTTTCATGAATTCGGGCCTAGGTCTCAATTTATTTTCCACATTATGTTGAAGACCGAGAATGATATTGAGATATTCCTGTGTTCTGTAAATTAGACCTCAGTTATTGTGATGATTTCATTGTTCTGCCAACCATCTCTCATTGAAATGGAGCCTCCGTTAAACAAACAATTAATTGATACAAGCCATTTTACATTTTTGTCTTTTCACGTTTTAATACTGATTGCTTTTCATTTGCTGCATACTGTTGTCTTTATTTTCATTTGTGTGATGTTATTCCTGCATTAGACAAAATTTGCCGCTGCATGCAGATTCTTCATACCTCAAAAGCTGTACATTTGAGTCAACGTCACGAGCTGACTGCCCTATATTTAAACTAAGCACCATTGTAGAAGGAAGTGGAAACAATTACTCTAGTGTTGCTGTTGAGGTACTATAATGAGAAACATCTAATCAAGATTGTAGTGGTTATCTGACCAAGATATTTGTAAGTTGTGCATGCTGAATATTCATGTTTTATTTGTCCTTCAGTACTGGAGGTACTACTATCACAATATTTCATTTCGATCAATTGTAATATTGTTGTGCTGAAAATGGATGTTGCCTGACGATACAAAGTTAGTAATAAGATATCCTCTGTACTTTCCCAAACTTACCTGAGTGTCACCCAAACTTACCTGAGTGTCACCTATATTTTATTATATAGATCCATGCAAGGACAGACAAGACCATGCAGTACTGACCAAAGATCTTGATTAGATGATTTATCATAATATTTGTTAATGACTTTAGTGTTTGTTATAGTACAGCCAAAGAAAGTGAGCTGATGTTATGATTGACTTCTGTTACATGAAAATATATTTGTACTAGCACGAAATCTCAACATTTAAAAAATTATTTTCAATTTTTCTCATCATGGCTACAAATTATTCCAAAAAAGAATCCACTTCCTCTGTCCATGTCTATTCAAACAAGCATCTGTCTCTGTTGGATGAAATCTTTTTGGTAAAGGTTTCAGTCTGTTTCTGTGTTAGTATAAAGACTTTTCATGCGTGTCAACCGTAACAAAAGCATTACCATTACACCACCGTTTGAAGTCCTCTCCAGCTTTAGCCGTTAAACTTACAGCACAGATCATATGTTCTTTATATCTTATCATCTTTGGTTGGATTTAAATCTTCTGGACGTGAAGTTACAAATTGATGTTATGTTATATTACCTGTTCGTACATTACAAACAAGTGAGGTTCATTACTCTGTTTCTTAGATGTTACTTTTTCAAGTTCATCTGGAATCACAGCAGCTTGTAGTTTGGTTACTAGAGTAAATCCCTCAAATTTTCTGAAACATAACAAAAAAAAAAGTGTTAAATGTTTACAGTCTTATAAATATTTCATGTAATATGCCAGAAAATATATTTGTCGGTAGACGCTGTAAAATTCTATTCTTGGGGGTCAACTTTTCATGGGTTTGCAAATAAATGCTACTTTGTGTACACTTGATTGCATGGATGAATATAACCCAATGAATCTACTTATATATATTTTAGTAGTTTGTGTACATATTGGTGTACAATGAAACCATTGAAAATAATTTCTCCACAAAAGTTAATTATTTTACTGTATCCACTTAAATAAGTGAGTCTAAAATTCCTGTAAATACTTTTTGAACATTAGCATAAAATCTTTTCAAGGTTTTAAAAATAATGTTGTTGTTATGATCTTCTGATGTAAGTCATAATGTCCAGGAAATGTTTACACTGAGATATCTAACCAAAGAATGATTAGATATGGAACCAAACAATGATCAAATTTTCACAATAAGAGATCACATGTATTATTACTTCTTGTATTGTAGACGGAACATTCTTGGCATTCAAAATGACACTGAACTACGGAATTGTCGCTATAATCCATCTGATCCTGTCAAAAAATTTTGCCCAATTTTCGTACTGGGCGATATTGTTGGTTTTGCTGGAGAAGATTACAAAGCCATGAGTGTATCGGTAAATTATCATCAAGAATTTAACCTTTCACTAACTGTGAGCTATGTATAATGTGGCACAGCCTCTGTCCGTCAGCCCTTTGTATAAACTTCCAAAAATATGAAAGAACCAGAATCTGTTAATACATAGTGTAGAGCAATCTTTTCCTGTTCCATTATATTGTGCTGAAGTGAAAGATTAACTTAGGAAAGTTGATAACATTTTATTGTTTTGGTCAAAGGTCAACTTTGAGCACCAGCACAGGCCAAAGGCTTACACTGAAGAATCTTTATCTCAGATTTTCCAGAAAACCTATGGTCATGTTAAAAGTGGTCAGCTGGCCATACCAAGAATGTAGTTCTATATAGTTTTGCAGTGGCATATAGATACAATAATGAGGTAGTTTTAATTTCACATCAGTCAAAAATATACTAATCATATATATTTTTATGACTTATGATATATATATATATATATATATATCTATAATTTCTAACATAAAAAAAATGTTAGTGGGTAGAGTTAACATGTCTATATTGTTGGTACAACTTAATATAAATATATGTATCTCAGTGTGTTAGGAAGGGAACTGATATTTCTCGACGATGTATATCTGTAGGTAAATCTATTGTATTTACCATTTATCAACAGGGTGGAGTGATGCAGATTGTCATTGACTGGGACTGTAACCTTGACAAGTCTATAGAAGAATGTGTACCACAGTACACCTTTAGGAGGCTTGACAGTAATGATTTCTCTATATCAAAGGGATTCAACTTTAGGTAAGCAGGGTTTTCACACATAGACACCATATCAGGTGGGTCTCTCCCTGTGGTGTCAGAGAAACAAATTGTAAACTATTTATTCTAATTTGTCTTATTTTACAGATTTCAGAATCCGAATACATATATAGAAAAATGATTTAATGAATAAATAAATATATAAATAGATATATAAATAAATAATTAGCAACATTTTTTTTTTTTTTTTTTTACAGAAAATGTTTTTCTTACAACTGTCTTACTAAAATTGATAGCTTTTTTTTATCTAATGCATTGATCGTTTTTGAAGGAATTTGTTGATCAGACATGCCTGTGTTCCTTTACTTACCAGATATGTCTTTAGGGATCATTAAGGATAACTTCCAACAACTGGTAATTTTACTAATTATTTTGACTTACAGGTTTGGAAAGTATTTCAGGGATATCAATGGTACTGAAGTGAGAACGCTGTACAAGGCATTCGGTATCAAGTACATCATCACAGTAATAGGACAGGCTGGAAAGTTCAACATTGTTCCGCTCCTACTCAACATTGGTAGTGGCCTTGGCCTCCTGGCTGTGGTAGGTTTTAATCTACCCTATCATTCTCTTGGCTGTGGTAGGTTTTTAGTCAACAGTGTCAATCTCCTGGCTGTGGTAGGTTTTAATCTACCCTATCATTCTCTTGGCTGTGGTAGGTTTATAGTCAACAGTATCAGTTCTCTGACTGTGGTAGGTTTTAGTCAACAGTATCAGTCTCCAGGCTGTGGTAGGTTTTAGTCAACAGTATCAGTCTCCAGGCTGTGATAGGTTTTAGTCAGCAGTATCAGTCTCCAGGCTGTGGTAGGTTTTAGTCAACAGTATAAGTGTCCTGGCTGTGGTAGGTTTTAGTCAACAGTATCAGTGTCCTGGCTGTGGTAGGTTTTAGTCAACAGTATCAGTCTCCAGGCTGTGGTAGGTTTTAGTCAACAGTATCAGATTCCAGGCTGTGGTAGTTTTTAGTCAACAGTATCAGTCTCCTCATTGTGGTAGGTTTTAGTCAACAGTATCAGTCGCCTGGCTGTGGTAGGTTTTAGTCAACAGTATCAGTCTCCTGGCTGTGGTAGGTTTTAGTCAGCAGTATCAGTCTCCAGGCTGTGGTAGGTTTTAGTCAACAGTATCAGTGTCCTGGCTGTGGTAGATTTTAGTCAACAGTATTAGTCCCCTGACTGTGGTAGGTTTTAGTCAGCAGTATCAGTCTCCTGACTGTGGTAGGTTTTAGTCAACAGCATCAGTCTCCTGGCTGTGGTAGGTTTTAGTCAACAGTATCAGTCTCCAGGCTGTGGTAGGTTTTAGTCAACAGTATCAGTCTCCAGGCTGTGGTAGGTTTAGATACCAGATGAGCAATGCTGGTCCATTGGACCTCTTGCTTTAGTTCAATTTATTTTACATATAGAACTTGAGGAACCATCCTTATGAATAATGTTGACAAAAACAAAACAGTGTCATCTTCAGCTGATAACAGGTGCCATATTGCTATGTATCGTGCTGCTGATTGTAGAAATATAGATGTTCATCATGTGACATCAGCTATCCAATGGAATTTTTATAGGGGGATTATGGACCATCAGCTCAAAAAAAGGGGGGATGCATACATATTAACAAAAAGATGAAAGTGTTGTATGCTTTGGGACTAACAGGTTCTTGACTGTATTTCAGGCGACCATTCTGTGTGATGTGGTGGTGCTCTATATACTGAAGGCCAAGGATGTGTACCGTGAAAAGAAATACCTTAATGTTGTAGGCGATGATGCCTATAAGGTAATACCAGGTTCTTTATCATCAGGATTATGTTAAACTATGGTAGTATAGTTTCACAAAAGATTTGTTGTTTTAAAATAAATTGATATTTATGACCTACTGAGTTCCTGAGAAGCAGATACAGGTAAAGCGTATATATTTTTGTTTGTTTGTTTTGTATATAGTTTGTTTACAGGATACCAGTAAGTGAGACTAGATCTTAAAATTTCTTCTTCCACAAGCAATAGGTCGGGAGTAATTGCACTTTTTGTGGTAGCATGCTTAAAGAATATGAACGAAGTTTGCAGATAATGTTTTTATGAACCAACATTGTCTTATCTGTAAGCAGTAGAGTAGTTGAGAAATTTTTTTTAGGCCTCTTTCATACATAGGTCTTCATAGTCAGATGACTGTTAAAGCTCATGGGCCTCTAGTTACAATTTGTTTTGTAGATGTCTGTCTCAATTAGTACCTTTTCTTCTTCACAGAATCCAGAAAAAAACAAACCTTTCTGTCTTTTCATTAGCTGCCATTTTAGTTAATATAATATTTTTCACCATAACTAACATCAATGTTGCTTAATTTTGAAGAAGTGAAGAGGTTTTTAGAATCCATCATCTTAGATGCTGATATTCTTTCATCATCAGGAAATTTTCCTTTTATTGAATGTAGAAAGTGGTGAAGATATGCTCAGTCTGGTGAGAGATAAGATCACAATTTTTTCTCCATTCAACACACATCTTGACAGAGATATTAAGCGTCATGTTTCAGCCTTATTTATGAAGATCATTATTGACAAGTACTTGCCCCAGTATTGGTAGATGAAGCTGTATGATGGTGAGTCCTGTGTGTTCCCCTATAGGGTTTGAAGACAGAACATGTGAATGATCTTAACGAGGCTATCAGTGCTGCAACTAATCACACCTACCAGTCTCAATCAACTACTCCGACTCCTAATTCAATCACCAACACAAACTCTCATTTTGAACTGTGAAAGTCAAGGTCAGTTCTTTTTGAGTCACCCATGCTTGTATACCTCTACACCACAAGTCCTGGCATCAGTGTCTGTCTCCATTGATAGACAATTATTGAATATTCTTCTCGCCTTATAAAGATATTTCCAACATTGTCATTGCTTTAACAGTGCTTTGGAACTTGGTGTCATTTCTTATACATTTTTCTGTACTGTTTTCTTCGTAAAATTTCCTGAACACTTTTTGTTTTTTGAGGCATTTTATGTGTCATTTTAAGTGTTGATCAACATACTGTTGCACCAGTATCATAAGATATTGAAATTGGTTTTTGCTTACACTTGCAAGTATACAGCAGCATCTCTACCACTAGTTTCATCCCTACTTCATAACTGTAACTTGTCGATCCTTTGAATGTGAACAATGTAGTTGGCTTAGTGTATTTCATCCAACATGTCTGTCCCTCCTACTCCTCTCCTTTCCTGTTTTGAACTACTAAGAATTAAAAATAAACCTTGGATATGAAGAATTATCTTTTCAATGAAGAAATAAAAATACAGGAATCAGGTAGGTATGATACTTGGAATTTCTAGTTTAATCATCGTGTAATTTGATAAATTTTCACCATAAGATACAAGAATGATATTGGAATATTCATGACCCTTTAGGAACCAGGATCATCAAGTTATTTAGACTTAGCTCTATATATACAAGGTTTTTTATTTAATTTTTCATCCACATAAAAATTCTAAGTCGTACTACTTCTGACCATCAAGTAATAACAGGTTTAATTTGTAAATAAAGACTTATTTCACAAGCATTTGTCTTCACTTGACGAGTCGATGTGTTTTATTAGAATTATCAGGTAATTATTGGGTACTTTGTATTGATCAAATTGTTGTCAATCTACAATTATGTAGAGTATGTTGTATTTGTCACACTAATTTTCATTTATCTTAAAAATCTCGATGGAAAGGCCAAATGAACCATCAACACAGTGTGCATTTGCATCACTGCCTGGGATGGCCCCAAACAAAGCTCGTAAAAAGCACTGACCTTGATTTATATTCAATGCAACATGGGTAATATTTGTCGAACACTCGAGCAACTTCTTGGAATTAATCAAAAGCTAAAGAGGCTCATGATATTTAGACAGTTAGGAGATTGCTGATATCTGAGTTTCAATTGAGTTGACTTTGATCCAATTAGAAAAAGGTGTTGACGAAAGTTTGCATCGAAAAAGTGTTAGATATCAGGTGATTGATGAAGGTCTACTGGTCCTCTTGTGATGGTATTAGTCAGAGTCAGATGTGGTTTTATTTCTTTTTCAGACAATGGAAAATGAACCAGACCATGAAGTAAAGGGATAAAAATAACATAGAAATGGACACTAGAAAAACAAGGTCGCCACATCGGTGTGTGCAGGATCACAAATGACCAGAAAACTGCAAGCTTGTCTGTGATAATGGTAATTGTCTGTCTACATATATGAATATGTCTCAATCTCACCAGCACCTTTTTTCTGGCAGTAAATTTGACCATTTATTGACCAGTAAAATTCACAAGGATGTTATTATATGAAGTGAAGACATTTTTCTCCTTTAAATCAATTTTTTTTCAAACTCAAAAAAAATTTTCTGTCAGTACCAAGTATGGTGATAATATGCCGTGAAAAAAGTCCTCCTTATTCCATAGGAGGATATGTTGGACCTTTCTGTTTGTTTATGTTATGACAAGCATTTTGTCATTTATGGGACAAAGAATTACAAAAGCGAGACTCTAGTGCAACTTTTCTGACATTTTTATGTTTAGCTTAGTTACTTATAAAGTGTTTATACAAATAACACAAATACTCAAGTAAGGTAAAATTGTATTGTAAAACTTATAACTACACAATAACAGGTACCAGACTCGCATTATAAACTTTGGCAATCTTAGGGGCTACTCTGCGTGTTTATTTCTAGAGGCATTTAAAATGACTGAAAATTCCTGGTAGACATAGACACTGGGTGAGCCCAGCATGTTGTGGCTGTGTACCGGTGAGGCCACCAGGTATATGCCACTTACCAGGTAAATGAAATGTCAGATAAACCACCAGGTTAATATTGAATACTGAATACATTAAGTAAATTGAGATTTATAACTGTATATATCTGAATTGGGATAAAAATTTTGATCATACATAATGTGAGTCAAACCTGAAATATAGTCACATTATAGTTTAGAAATCCAAATCCAACAAATAGATTACTTAAATAAGATTTTTTGGTGTATTTTTGGGACATAAAATGACTCCAAAGTCTTGATCTGTCATTTTCAGAATTTGTTTACAGTCATATTTGAAACAAGGGCTGTTTCAGACACCAAGTCTCTCTCTCCTTCCTTGAGGAGATTACTGTTATTGGGGTTGAAATGCCATATGAATGGATTTTGAGAATTGAAGAATTTTCACGATTTTCATTCTATGGTTTACAAAGCACCAATATTTAAACATGACAACCATGTATCGATATCACTTACATGTTCTTTATTAGAATTTAATCAGAAATCTGTTAGTTTGAGGAGTGTAACATAGATCATTTGCATTTAGTATATATATATATTCAGATGTATAATTACATGTGATTCTTGTTCAGTGCAGACATTTTCTGAGTGTTCATAATACTTTTTTTTGTAGCTTCATAACCAGAATCAAATTCTTTCATATCCGATTGCATGTTTTCAATAAAAGGACAGTTGCTTTATATAGCAGTGTATTGGTTTAATAATGAATTTAGTAAAATTAGATCAAATGAGGTGTTTCCAATAAAAGTACTGTTTTATATTTACAATATATTTGCTTAAGATGAATGAAAGAAAAATAAATCTTTGCACTTTGACTGTCATGATCAAGAAAATTCTATTTTGTTAAATATTTTGTTGTAATGAAAATCCTTTCTTTGGTACAACATGTTGTGAAATTAAAAAAAATATCTTTATCTCCTGTTTGTAGTTATATATATTTAATAATGTTATGAACATGGATTTTATTATGAAATACATTAATGACTGTGATAATCTAAATATTTAATCATCCCTTTGATAAAAGTTTGGGTTTGTTTAAAGTTCAAAGGTTATGAGTACATGTAATTGTACGTTAACACTTCTTATAACACTGATATGCCTGTAATGTCTAAAGTGTTAAATTGTGTGTAATTCTTTCAAACTGTTTGGATTGTAAAATATTTGACGTCAAAACTGATTTCTCGATCACACATTTGTCAGATGTTTTTTGAGGTTTTTTATTGGATGTGTTCCAACTTGAACTAATCTCAGTATTTTGTTTAGACCTAGTTACTTAACCATAATGATCGTATATACACTGTATATTAGTATTTTTGACAGATTTACATTACGCTCTCCAAAATGAATGTTACTCGCATATTTTATGAGGCAGTTGGAGAATATGGATGAATCCTCGTTGGTTGATTGACTGAATTCAGGGCTCTCGATCTGCCAAATTTGGGACCGATATTCTGCCTCATTCCCAATGCAAAATAGTATCTTTTTTTCCCAATTTAGACCCCAAGTTTTCCCAATTCTAAGGAAAACACCATTATTTTTCCCAATTCTAAGGGCCCTGGGCCCCAGTCCCAAAATCGGGTGTGAGAGCCCTGGAATTCTACCGAAATTTGCAATATATGAATGTGTTTAGGAGTGATAATTACAAAGTATCAAGTTATTTATTTACCTTTTATGGACCCGTGACCTTTTCAACAGATGTGAAATTATAAGAAAGTGAAATAAAGAAGGCTGGAAAAGGTAGGAAGGAAAAGTAGACAGTGGGGAAAGGAGAATGGGATGGAGATGAAGTTGGCTGTTCCTGTATTTTAGAAATAGCCCCTGTGGCCTAATGTTGTTCTAACTTAACTCTGACCAAAGGTAACTCTGTGGTCTGCACATAATACTAAGTACAAGTGTAGTACTGTATGACTCACTTTAGCAAATTTTCAGTGTATAAAGATAAATTTCTACATACAATTTACCTACATTGTAGTTTGTTTTAGGACGTTAAAGGCTGCAGACAAGAATGTATACAAAGCAACTACTGACTGTCAATTTTCTTTCATTATTCTTCAATTATTATTTTGTGCATATTCACAAATTACGATCATTGTTATCACAGCATTTTAGTTTTTTTAGGGGGGAGGGGAGAAAATAAAATTCTAAATTATGAAAACATTTTGAACATTGAGCATGGATTGGATCAACAATAAAGATTGACCCCAATCATTGCTACTTCTAGATTAATTATCAATAAAAATTGACCCCAATCATGGCAACTTATGATTTAATTAACTATGTGATTCGTGTGATTGCAAGATACACGTATTTGTATAATATTCATTTTCAAGTTTGATGTGTAATCACCAGTAAATTTCAATAAAACATGCTGATAATTTTTCACTTGTCTCATGTAACATAAGGATACATTCCACTGTTGTCTGCCATGTCAAGCATATCATTCCAATGTTCTTTACATTTACTATATCATGTTCCAGGTGAAATTTTGCTGTATAGATGTATATATATATATTCTCCATGATACACTAATTCTTGTATTGCGTATGCCAAATCAATGGAAAAATAATGTGACTACCTGGTACGTTGTTACCATGGAGTAAAGAATTATTGTTATGAAATTCAAAAATTTTTTCAGTATGTATAGATATGTAATGACTGAAATAACAGATAATTATGTGTAGTTACCATATTTACCTTGTAATATGCCCAGGGGGCGAACACCTGGGGATGTGATTGTACTACAGGACATTAAAATAGTACATAGTACAATAGTGTATATGTTGGTACAGCAGTAGATGTGTTAGGGTAATCACCAGTCGTGTAAATATGTTGGTACAGCAGTAGATGTATGGGGGTAATCACCAGTCGTGTGTATGTTGGTACAGCAGTAGATGTGTGAGGGTAATCACCAGTCGTGTATATGTTGGTACAGCAGTAGATGTGTGAGGGTAATCACCAGTCGTGTATATGTTGGTACAGCAGTAGATGTGTGGGGGTAATCACCAGTCGTGTATATGTCGGTACAGCAGTAGATGTGTGAGGGTAATCACCAGTCGTGTATATGTAGGTACAGCAGTAGATGTGTGAGGGTAATCACCAGTCGTGTATATGTTGGTACAGCAGTAGATGTGTGAGGGTAA